CGGACCAACCGACCGGATCAACCGACCTCGGACCAACAGACCTGAGTGCATATTTTTTCCTTTTTGCCCAACTTCATGTCCTAACTTCCTTTAAGATTCTACTATCATTATTATTATTATTATTATTATTATTATTATTATTATTTGTGCAAGGATATATAATATAATGAAAAAAAAATTTATGTTAATTTGCTTTTCTTGGCTGAATTAATCAATCACATTCCATTTATTTGTATTATTTGGGGTTATATACATTAAATATAGATTGAGTGTAACGTGTTGGATAGAAAAGTTATATTTATTAATTATAGAAAATTATGAGATTACATATTAAAAAATAATAATAATAATAATAATAATAATAATAATAATAATAATAGATAGATAGAGTCATAGTCGCCAAATTAATAAATACGTGGTTACAAGTTGCAATCTTTGTTGCTTCTTGTTGTCGACAAATTATTTTTATCCATATAGTCAATAAATTGAAGTTGCTAATTTTGTGAAATTGGACACGTGTCAATTTTGATCCAAAATTTGACATATTACAAATAATGAAATTGGCTATACATAAACTTTGTTCCGAAAAATTAATCGATCCTAAAAGTGGTTAGAAAAAATAAAATATGTACCTCGAGCTTTAATTGTTGTTCGGTGGCGACCAAACCCTAACTACGGGATAATGTTAAATACTAATTAGAATACCCTAAGCTTTCTATTACTAGTAAATTAATGTTATATAATTAATGATGTGTTTATAATTAATTAATCTATAGATTAATTAGTTCATTTAGGGCATGTAAGCTCATTTAATTTTTGGACCCTGTTCAATTTGATTTTCCCTGCAATCCTATTGCGTATTTGAATTATTGATTAATTTGTGGACCTAGATGTTGATTTTATTATTTGCATTTTCTTTTTATCTTTTTCAACTCAATATATTATTTTTACCATTTTGATCCATTTCATTATAAAATATTTTTTTTAATTATAGTAAAAATAATTATATTTAAAAAAATTAAAATACTTTTAACTTTTAAAAAATATTCATTTCTCTTGCATTTTTAAAGGAAAAAACATCAGAATATCTTACATATTTCTATTAATTAATAAAATATTATTATTTTTAAATCTATTATAAAAAAAAAACAAAAAATTAAATTGAATTGAGATGAAAAAAGTAATATATTTTGTTAAAAAATATTGATTTGCTTTCTCGGAGCTTATATATTATAAATTGTTATGATGTTTTGTATGCAAATTAATGTTTAATATAATATTTTTGAGAAAAAAAAAATTGAAATGTTAAATTAGTATATTTATCTTTTAAAAATATACCAGGTGAACAATTATTACTATATGTGTGTGAAAAAAAAAACTATTATATGTTAGTTAATTATAGTAAGGTTTGAGCCAGATTCTTTGATCCAATTAAATCCGGAAAATGTTGGTTTTTATTGAGTATTTTTTTTCCCTTATAGTAATTGTTGTTTTTGGAATTATATATATTATTTTAAGGTAAAATAGTGATTAGATAGAATGTTTTGAATAAAAAATAAGTGTTTTTTTTTTATATATATAACGTGAGAATTCGTAATCGTTACTTTACGAACGTGCTCTAGGTAAATCTTTGACCGAACCTAATAGCCTTGATCCATTCCTGACATTTAATTTAAGTCGTCGAACAAAGCATGTAGTGTTGTGGTCCATTGACTTATAAACTACTAACAAATGGTCATGATTATATAATAGTTTTATTTAATATTTTGTAATATTAAATATTATATTATTTTAAGATTATAAAATTACATAGTAATGAAATAAATAACAAAAAATTATTAAAAGAAATAAGCTATTACTTGGTCTTAATTCTTAAATTAAAAGTTCAAAGTAGTGAATAAATTATGGAATTAGCACACCCAACCATGAAAGATGATTAATTAGCTACAAGGTTACATTTTAACATAAATTCAAGTGTAAAATGTATTGCATGTGTTTCTCATTTAGAGTAAATTGATTTTTTTAGTTTAGTACTGCAGCCTTTGTCATTTTAGTCCCATAACTAAAGACTGTCTTAAAATATTTTCGTAAGTGAAAAATTTTCTCAATTTAGTCCTCAATGCCTACGTGGCATCTGCGTAGCAAGTTGGCGGACACGTGTCGGCCAGGTCAACGCCATGTGACTGACATGTGTCCGCCACGTGGATTATTTCTATTTTATTTTTATTTTTTTAGATATAAAAAATTACAAATATAAAAATAAAAATAAAATATAAAAATATACAATTAAAAATTAAAATTATTCATATGTCCTTCGAGTCAGCGCCATGACCTTTAACAATTTATATATTAGTATATTTTTTAATTATATTTATATAAAAAATATAAATTATCCATGTAGTGTCCACGTGGCTGACTTGACGGATATGTAGATAATTTTAATTTTAATTTTTATATTTTATATATTTAATTTTATTACTTATTTATTTTTTATTAAAAAAATTAAAATAATAATAATAATAATAATTATTATTATTATCCATGTTGCAGACACGTGTCAGCCACGTGGCGCTGATTTGACTGACACGTGTCCGTCAGCCTCCCACGCAGATGTCATATAGGCATTGATGACTAAATTGAGAAAACATTTTCCTTACGAAACTATTTTAAGACACATTTAAGTTACGAGATTAAAAAAACAGCTACCCTTTCATTTATTACTAATAAATAAATAAACACAATCTCTAAATATATGCATGAGTGTGTTCTATAATAATATGTCATATCTTAAAATCAACTGTCATATGTGTTGTATAAGACTATATTACGTGTTATATTTGTATTACATTAATATATACTATAACATATTGTGTGTACAGCCAAAAAGCACATGATGTGTTTGTCCATTGTGTTTCCAGATGTATGTATTTTTTATATTAGATATGATAAATATAATTTTAGTAATATAAAAAATAATAATAATTTATATTTAGTTGTTTATTATTTTTTTAGTGAATAATGTATATATATTATATTGTGCTACTATTTATTTATTTTGATAATATCTCTAAGGAATTGTGTAGCTTAAGATCAATAATATTAATTTTGAAATTAAAATAGTTTCATTACAATTATTGTAAGCATAATGGAGCTGACATGTCATGTTTGAATAAAATATATATATATATATATATATATATAAAATGTACACAAACACATGAATCATTTCATTAATCTATCTATCATCGAATCAACACAGTGAGGTTACATATCTTTTTGTCGTCACTATAAAATTTAATTTGACTAGCGTGTTTAATTCAATTGCTTTGTTTAATTGTTTTCGAAATAATTGAAAAAAAAATAAATAAATAAAAAGAAGAAGGAATGATTATTATATGTAGAATGTGATATAAGTCAATGTTGATTGCTATATATTGTAAATATAAAAATAATATTTTTAATATAATATATAAAATAAAAGATAGTGTTTGATTTTATATTTGAAAAAAAAAATCATATAAAAGTTTTGTAATAAACAAACAAACAAAACCCAAGCAAACACACATTAATGAATTTAAAAATTTAATTTAATAAAAATGAATTATCCATAACCTTATAAAATTTATAAAAGTTAATAAGATTAGGTTTGACACATGGTATCATTTTACGGGATGTTTGGATTTCTTGACATTTTTGTTTTCCCAAAAATGTCCAAGATGAATAATTTATTACAAATTTTTTATATGGTATTTTTAATAAAATATAAATATAGAATGTAAAGTTTGGTATTAATATATATATAATGTATTATATATAATTTTTTATATAAATAAAAATATATTACTGAAATATGGACATTCTAGATAGAGGGTTTGGATTGACTTAAAAAATAAGCATAAGCCAAAAGCAGAAGCAGAAGCTAAAAGCAGAAGCAGTTCGATTTTGTATTTGGATAAATTATTATAAAAGCAGCTTTTCGTAAAAAATTGTTTGAACGTTATATAGTTGAAAGTGCTTTTAAACTGTTAAAATTATTTAAAAGAACATGTTGTTAATATAATACTAGTATTTTTCTATAACACTTTTATAATTTAATTTAAATTTTATAAATTATATTCAAAGATTTTAAATTAAAGCATAAAAAATGTACTTTTAAATTTTGATTATTTATATTTTAAAATTTTAATTTAAGGATAATATATCAATTAAACATAAAATTACAGTATAATATTATATAATTTGTATTTTATAATTTATTTTAAAGTTTTATAAATTATATTTAGTAATTTAAGTATAATTAAAAAATTTATGTACTCCTATTTACATTCGGTATTTAAATTTTAAATTTTAATCCAAATATAGTACATAAATTTAAAATAATAAATTAATTATATTTTTTAATTTGTATTAAAATATAATATATAAGTTATTTATTTTTATATTATTATTATTATTATTATTATTATTAAGAATAAAACAGTAATTTTAACTGAAAAAATACTTCGGCTTGTGCTTCTTGAAAAAAGCTTTAGCTTCAAAAGCTGCTTCTGCTTTTGGACAAAAGCTAATGCAAACAGGTTGCAAACTGCTTTTTTTTTAGAAGCAAAAGCCAAAAGCTTCTGCCAGAAGCCAATCCAAACGGGGAAAATGCACATCCTTCGCATAATGAAACTTGTTACATTTAAAAATTTGGTTTAGTAACTCATCGTAAACAATTTAATTTTAATTATGCCAGTGTTAGTAAAAATATGTAAACAAAAATTACAATCTCAGACGAGTTAAATTGCGATTGAGTTACAATTTTCTTCTGATAAATTATGACATTTTACTACGATATATATATATCTAAAGATTTGTTTACTTATATTCATTAACTTTACATATTAATATTGCAAAAATAGCATTTGCAATATTCTATTTATTAAAAATATTATATTAAATAATTATTCTCACTTTCATCGAAATAAAACTATAAACAAGAAACAAAAATGCATGTGAACTCATCTCTTACATTCTCATTGGATACATCGTACTTTTTATTCGAAAGTATTGTGAGTACAATATCTATTTGAAAATAAAAACAAATATACATTACACAAAAATGTATATATTTCAAAAAGTTACGATGAAATGAGAACAACACTCATTATTATTCAATCATGTGATGACTAAAAACATCGAAGCAATGCACGAAATTCTTTTTAATTCTTTCCTAAAAATTTCTTGAACCAAAGAGCTGATTCCTTGGGGATTCTTTTAAGTCCATTTTTGTAATCCACGTAACAAAGGCCGAATCGGATAGTAAAGCCGGAACCCCATTCCAAACAATCGAGAAATGTCCAAGCAAAGAAGCCCTTTACGTTTGCACCATGCCTGATCGATAAATACAATATATTAGTTATTTATAAAATTAAATGTTTAATCGTATCTTCAATAATATAGTATGATATCGAATTTAAAATTTCAAAAATAATTGCAATTTTTTTTTTTTTCTTAATATATTTTACTAGAGTTTCTAGTATCAAAATAATGGATAGAATATATATGAAGCTAGTAAAATTCATATAGAGTTTCAAGAATAGTTCTTATGTAATTTCAAAATTGTGAATAAAAAATTAATTAGAAAAATATAATAATATCATCACCTAAGACTTTTACATAATTACATCTAACAAAAAAAAAAAAAAAACAATTTTTAAATAAGAGATCGTATACATATACTTAATATATACTTACTGAATAGATCGTTGAACAGCCTGAAGATGACTATCATAAAAATTCACTCTTTGAGTGTCGTTGGTTTGCACATTGCCATTTTTCGCATCGGGCATTCCTAAACACGAGAAAAAAATTTAAAAAAATAAAAATCAATAGATAAATCTTTTTCCATTTCATTAATATTTTTAACATGAATGAATCCCAAATTATATTTCAAATAAATATTTTTGTTGTAAAAAAAAAAATTAAAATCAATAGGCAAATAAACAATTCCTATTCCCTAAAACATGAGAGTATACTAAGCGTAATAATTATATTTAAAACATACCAGTTTCTGTGATATAAATTTCAGGGTGGTTGTATTTTTTCTTTGTATAAACTAAAAGTTCATATAGTCCTTGGGGATACACAAGAAATGCTGGAGATCCTGTCTGAAAATCGAATTTAATTATAGCAAATATTAATCAATAAATAAATAAATAATTTAAAATATGGTTCGAGATTAAAATTTTGGATTATAAGTACTTACTGCCTCTCCGATCGGCACACCATTAATACTTGCTGTATATATACACACGTAAATAAGGTAATTAGGATTAATAACATATATATATATGCATAACGATTCAATATCGATGTTTAAGTAAAATTTGTGAAGATATTAAATTAAAACCCGAAAATAACCTTTTAACTTCACAATATTTGAAATGTTATTTTGGAAAACCCTAATTATTTATTTACTTAAAAAATAATAATAATAATAATAAACTTACAAGTAAGATTGACCATATTGTCGGTTGTGCTGCTAACATCTTGATTATGATTCACAATAGGAGATGCATATTTTCCAGTATAATAATTCAATCCAATAAAATCGAATGATCCTTTCAGCATTGAACTTTGAGATTTTGTAAACTGAGGCAAACGATGTCCGACGATAGATCTCATGATTTTCGGATAGTCACCGTCGACTATTGGATCCATAAACCTTCAAAAAATCATTTATACCATCACATAAAAATTCGATAAAAAATACAATACATACATATTAACATAATTATGTTTAATATAAATTAAATTCTAAATTTATTTATGTTTTACTTACCATCCGTACATAAAATCAAGTGCACGATAAGCTGCTTCATGATCGAGTTTGTTTTTGGAACTTGGCACCATCCAATGGCTAATTTGAGTAATTCCTATTTTCCCCTTTTGAGTTGCCTATACAACATTTGTATATCGAGTTTGAATATATGTTGTAATTAGAATAATGTATTTAAATATTCTAACTAAAGTATTTTTTCCGTTCGGTTCTAAGGGTATTATTTATCTTTTGCGTCATTGTACTTAACATTAAAAATATCTTTACATTTGTATAATTTTTTTTTGCATAAATTTCGTTAGAATAGTATTACAAGACACTAATATAAGTATTTTTGTCATTTTCTCTTAATTTGTATTATATTTTTATATAATAATTAATATTCAAATATCAACACGCAAAAAGTAAATGAGACCCTTAGAACCGAACTGAAGTAGTAATTTTCTTTTCAATAGGCTTGTGCAATAAAAGTTCTTTCACTTAATATTATCTAACATACTGTTATTGAGCGTGCTCGTATAGTGATTTAATAATTTATTTTTTTTTCAAAAAAAATAAAACCTGATATTTCTTCTTGTATAGTTCCACGGCAACGGCATGACTGAGGAGTATATGATGACCAACAATATATGGTTCGGTCGCGGAATTTCCTTGACGGCATTTAGCCCTAGAAGTGCATCTTCCGGGCGCTAAATTTCCTACCAAGCCGCCATCATATCCTCCGTTGATAAAAACGAATGGCTCATTGAAAGTGATCCAATGCTTAATGCGATCACCGAATTCTTTGAAGCAAATGTCCGCAAAATCTCTATAATCATCGCTGCGGTCGAATAAATTAGTATGAATAAGCACCTAAATTTAGTGACGGGTTCTTGAAAAAAAAATCGAAAATTATAAATGTACTAAATTTATAATCTTGCGAGTTAATTTACATAACACGAGGGCTTAGGAAGCCTTTATACTCATCCTCCAATGCTTGGGGAAGGTCCCAATGAAACAACGTAACAAATGGAGTTATACCTATAATTCAAAACAAATAAATAATTACGACTATAGTAAAGAAATTACATAATTATAAGGATGAGATGTATGTATTTAAATAAGTAAAAATAAATTTACCATTTTAAATAAATAATTACGACTATAGTAAAGAAATTACATAATTATAAGGATGAGATGTATGTATTTAAATAAGTAAAAATAAATTTACCATTTGCAATGAGCTCATTGAAAACATTGTTGTAAAAAGCTATTCCTTTCTTGTTCACTCCCCCACTTAGCTTTCCACCTGAGAAATTATATTGAGACAATTAAATTAATTTAATTTAATTTGTTTCTTCTTACAAGTAAAATATATATTAAAAATATTTTTTTTATATATAATAGCAATAGTTAAATAAATCATATCCATATTGTCGAGTTGTAATGTAAGCAAACTTACGAGGCAATATTCTTGGCCAAGATATCGACATCCTGAAGCTTTCAACTCCTAAATATTTCATCAATTTAATATCATCCTGCATCCAATTTTTATTTTATTTTTATTTATTTAATTTAGAGCAAATCAAATTAATAAAATCCAAAATCGTATTCAGTATTATTTATTTTATCTCTTTATTTAATTCCATATTGTGTATACAATAATGTTTTTTTAAATTAAAAAAAAAATCTTTTTATTTACCATCTAAAAAAAATTTAAATACAAATTACAAAAAAATTAATGATATATTATTGAATCTCCATGGACTATTTTTTTTTTTTTTTCAATTTTTAAATTAATAATATAAATAGAATTCTATAAGAAAGAATTACCTTATACCGGTGATAGAAATCGAGGGCCACATCTCCATTGCTCCTATCAGCTATTTTATCTGTAAAATTTAAAATGATATTTATATATATATATATATTGAAAGTATTTTGGAATTTTGAAAATAATAAAAATAATTAAAAATTAATTAGAATGTAAATATTTGGTGCATGTAAATGTAACATTTTGTATAAAATATTTTTTAATATAATATTTTAAATAAAAAATAAATATTAGATATATATATTTCAGGGAAAAAAATTATAAATAGCTCCAAAACAAGTTTTAAAAAAAAATCAATATAGAATAATTATATACAAATTAGACAAAAAAAAAAGTAATTTCAAAAATAATATTAAATATATGTATAATTTTTAAAATGATTATATTTTTAATTAAATTTTGGTTTTTTTGTTTTAATTATTTCAATAATAATACTCTCTCCTAAAATTTTTATGCCACTTTTATTGAATCCGGGACATGAAAATTTATTATTAAAATATTAACAAAACTAATAAAAATTGAAAAAACAATGAAAAATTAGTTATAATTATATTATAAACGGATAAATTTTTTTATTATAAACATTTTATGCTTAAATTTGGTCGACAATAAAATAAAATAAAATAAATAAATAAAACTGATGTAATTATTTGGGTCGGAGGAAGATTGTTAAATACTTATAAAGGATGGGCCGAGGGCCCAGCCGGCAGCCGGCCGCTGTGTATTTGGTCTAGAAAATAAAATAAAATACTAAAATTATACTCCCTCTGTTCCACATACCATGTCCATGTTGCCGTTGTTGTTTGTCCCACGTCACTTTTTTTTTTGAAAATGATTACACACTTTAATCGCATTTTAAACTTTTCAATTTATTTTTTTTAATTTTAATTAAACTAATTAGTTATCTTAATCTTAATTTATAATTATTTATATTATAGAATAATTATTTTTACTAATATATGTTTAATTATCTACTAATTACATTTCTTCTAAAATACTGTATCACATGACAGCAGATACCGTATGTGGGACAGCAGACACGGTATCTGGGACGGAGGGAATATATAATATTATACACCATTAATTTGACCAAATAATTATTGAATAGACAAGTTTATTTAAATAAAGTGCAACATAAACAAAAGTTTTTCTTTTTTAAAGATTTATTTTGGTCAGTCACTATTATTCATCTATATTATAAAATATTGTTTCGGTTTTGGATTAAAACTTATATATATAGATATAGATATATATATATATAATATGTTAAATAAAAGATAAAATTTTAATTTAATAATTTTGAAAAAAAAAATAGTGAATTACGACATCAAAACAAGACTTCTACAAATTTTGGCAATTATTTTAAAATTCATATTATTTTATTTTTCATGATTTTTTAATAAATTAATAACATAGTAATAATATCTTATACTCTATCCGTTTACAAACTAATGTCCTATTTTTCTATTTCGGACGTACAATAACTATTGTCATATTTAATTTTTTTAATAAAAATTTTACATTTTTACTCTTCATTCATTTATTACTTTTCATTTCTACACTACAATTATGGGCAAATTTGTCAATTCATAACAAAAAACAATTATTAAAAAAACTGTGCAAATATATTTTAGGACAATAAAAATTGGACGGAGGGAATATATATTTAGATTATTATTTAAATAAAAAAATAAAATTAAAATTAAAAGAAAATGAACGACATCCGTATATTTGAAGGGATCAGCAAAAAGATTTTGTCAGTTAAATTATTATAAATAATAAGTAAAGAAAACATCATGGTCGATATTGTCAGCATACATATCATATATATACTCCATAGGTTAATTTAGATTTAAATTTAAATAAATAATGCAGTAAGGAATAATTCATAGCCACGATGGGACACTACACCAAACTTTTTCCAGTAGATTAATTATATTTAGGGTTCATATCTAAATTGTAATTATTTCTATTAGAGTTTTGTAATACTATTATAACGATATTTGTGCAAAAAATTATAAATGTTTTTAATATTAAATTGACTGCAAAAGATAAATGAGAAAAATAAGAATTTGATAGAATTTTAAATAAGAAAAAATTGAAAATTTATTGAGAAAAATAAAAACTTAAATACAAGAAATTTGAGAATATAAAGAAAATTTATAGATAAATTAAAGAATAATTTGACACTATGTGATGCCAATTCGGTCACATTTTACCGTAAATTATTTTGTACCCGAAGAATTATGAGCGAAAGTATCCCAAATGCTAGGTCCTTTGCCGTCTTCAAATGCCGCTCCTTCGTACTGCAATTCATAAAATTATATTGAAATATAAATATTTTAAAATAAATTTTACTATATTACAAAATAATCGTATTAAAAATACACAAACCAATAAAATATATATTAAAACTATTGAGTAATCGAACTGTATAATTTCGTAGATTTAATAATTTTAACAATTCTTACAACTCAACAAATACAAATATTGAAAAATAAAATATTCGAGTCGATAATCATTTAAAATATAATATAATATATTAATTTTATATCAAAATTAGCAGATGAAAATCAGGTTGGATGCACGTGCACAGCACCTGATAGGCAGAAGAGGCAACTCCGATGAGGAAACCAGGTGGCAAACTGCTGCGGTTGAAATGCGGCCGGCCGTTCGATTCAGATCCGGCGACGGCGGCGGCGGCGGAGGACGGCGGCGAAACTATAATAAGGAGGAGGAGAAGGATGAAGAAACTGCTTACGACTGCAGTCGCCATTGAATAGAATTTCTTCTTTCAATTTTTGAGCAATGAACTAAATGTGCTGTGTTTCCTTATCTCTATATATAGACATGTATTATACATATATTAAATTTCTATTACAATAATTATTAAATTATGTCATTATTTGGTTAGATTTATTATATTATATTTTAGTTTAGTTTAGTTTAGTTACATTAATTAGATTAGAGGTTACTATTTGAATTTATATATTACGTATATTTATTATTTAATTACCAAATATTTTTCATTAAGTCATGTTTCTTGCAAGTACGTTTAATTTGGAATGTATCCGAAGATTTTTTTTTTAATTTCGAAATTCTATTTGTATTTAATTTTGATATTATTAAAACTAGTGGACTATTCTTTCATTGTCATCTCCAATTTCTTTTAACAAATTCAAATTGTTTATGCGATATCACTTGAATCGGAAGGGTTTTACAAATATTTTAGATATTTAGCTTATTGTTCTTATGATTTATTATATCAATTAGATTAAAAGTTGGGTGCCTTTGATTAGCGATTGAGCTTTTGAGTTAAAAAGTTGAGTTTGAAGTAATTTATTTAATTTATGATGGTCCGAACATATCCAACTAAGGCACGTTCAGTTTGTTTGTGTAGTGTTTTAGTTGTAATTATTTTTTATATTAAGTATGAAGAATTGTGTTAATAATATATAAAAATAATATTTTGTATTGAATATTAATTTTATTTTATTTTTGTGAAAAAATAAAAAATATATATACGATATATATTGAAAACTATGTCAACCAAATTATGGTTAAACAAACAAACTCATTTATTATACATTTATTATTAAGGCATTTATAGTTTATTTATAATTAGTGCATTTATGGTATATTATTATGTAATTATTATTAATGTATTTATAGTCTATTTATTGTATATTATTATTATTATTATTATTATTATTATGTATTATACAAATTTAAAGTATTATTTTTACTATTTTCGTGTGTCTTACAACAAAATATTTTTTTTATTTTAGAACAACTTAAATTATATTATTTATAGATTTTTATTTTTATTATCAAATATATGTAACTCCTAAATATAATATATATAGAGAGAGGGGGGGGGGGGGGGGAGGAAATTGAAGAAGAGGTTATGTGTTACGTATATATATAAAATGTAGGTGCATATGAGAGGGCAAGTTGTATGGAAGGTAGGTGTAGCGGTGGGCATTCGGTTGGGTAGGGTTCGGTCAAACCCGACCCGATCCAATGCAGTTTAATTAATTGAATCGAATTAGGGTAATAATAATAATAAATAGTCAAATATCCGAAAAATTCCCGACTTGAATGATGACGACTCCAAAGTAGGTGTACCGTGTATGTGATAATAGTGTGGGCCATGGGCTTGAAGGCCCATTTTGTCATTATTTGGGCCCATAATAGCCTAATTATTTTCGGTCCTGTTATGGCGGCTTGCGAAATTACAAACTTTCAAAAAATATTTTTCTTAAGGAGTTTGATGTGATATTTTTGGAGAAAAAATATTAGAATAGTAAAATATAAAACCAAATCACATGAAATACCTATTTTTTATTTATTATATTACACTAAAATTAAAATTTTACATTCAAAATATTACATCAATACATATTTATATCACATCAAACAATTATTTCAATTCAAAATTTTACTATTTCAATAATATATTTTTATACGAAAAATATATTATATACAAATATTCACACCAAATATATAATATATATTTTATTCACTTAAACAATTTAATATAAAATATTAATTTTTATTTTAAAAATAATTTAAAATATCAAAAAAATATATTTCAAACATACTTAAATACAATTTGTTTGCTTGCAATTTCAAATTAAAATAAATATTATTCACTTCTCTCATAAAATATTATATTTGAAATTGTACAGACTTAATAGTATTGATTATAGTTTAAAATTAGCTTAAAGTGTCAAAATAATAATCAATGCTTACATGACATTTTTTTTTTTTTTTTTGTCTATTTCTTATGTGTGTATAATATTTGTATTTTGAAGTAATTTTAGGGAGATTGTGTTTTATATTATATTTCTTAGGTTATGTGTTTGAAGTTCTTTGAATTATATATATAAGTTAGCAATATAATATATTTTTTTTAATAAAAATAACTTCTAAGTATAAAAAAAAAAAAATTCCATTTGTTTTGTGGGGCTATATAATATGTAATCTTACAATCAACTTATGAGATCATACATCTTTTCAATTGAGATTGCTTCAAGAATTGTACACTCTAAATAGTTTAATAATTCTATCTTCCACAAATTAAGTGTCGTACAAGAAATTATTTGTTTTCTTTATGAAGAAATTGATCAATTAAAAGTTCACGAAAAGAAAAACTTAAGAATATATATAATTTTTAAAAATATCAGTAGAGGATTCACAAATTTTATTTATTTATTTATTTTTTTTAAAAAAAAAAAGAAGATAAAAATTGGTAATTTATTGTTTAGTAAAATAGTATCAAAATAAAACAATGAAAATTCGATTTTGTACCTATTTTTTTATATTTAAATATAATGTTTTATAGAGACAAACAAACATGTACTTTTTTTTATAAGAAATCATAAGGTTGAATATTAGAAAATTTGAAAAAATAAAAACAAAAATTGTTAAGTAAACACACCCTAAGACATTATTAGGTAATTATTAATATATTTTCTAATCAAGAAGTGATTAATTTCAAACCCAATCCACCAAAATTTTGTTAAGAGTTTTATAATTATTTTTCACTAATTATATTGAAGCTATTTAATTATTTTTAGGTGCTAATCACCTGATCACTGTTCAATATATAACTAACTATTGTAAGTCACCATATTGTAGCATGTGAAGACATAACTCTTACCTGAAATTAATTAACAATTTAAAAATTCTCAAATATCACAAATAACACACTTCATCTACATCTACAATGGCTGGCAAAATTGTAGCTGGAAATTCCCAAAATAGAATCTCAGCCAAATATTAACAGATAAATATCAAATCTTTATGATGTTTTGCAGAAAAGAGAGATGAAATCAGGAGATGGAGGTACCTTTCTATGTTGGGAAACTGTCGAAAATCGAAACCGGACAAATGCCGATATCATCCGAGGCCGTGTCTCTGTGGAAACCTTTCTATGTTGGGAAACAAGCTACTTATGCGATCTCCCCTTCCTCGAGTTCTTCATCAATCATGGGACAATCATTGCGATCTAGATCCTTTTGATTAGCTGACACCCCGTTGAAATCAAGAAAGTCAGTGGAGCTTGTCTCCGCCGTAAGGTCATAGACATCCACTAGAGATGATTCGAAATCAAAATCAAAGTCAAAATCAAAATCCAAGTCGGGAATATCAGCTAGCAGCTGCTCAATATCGTGGCCTATAGTATTATCTTCAGATCTTGCGATGAGTGTATTGCCATGAGTAACTGATCCAGTCTGGTTTGTCTTTCCAGCAGGCGGGGGGCTTTGCGCCGGCTCTTTTGATGCACTCTTGGATTCGTTTTTCTCAAGGTTCTTGAGATCTGAAATGCAAGGATCTAAAGATTCATCATCTTCAATTTCTTCCTCCTTAAATACAACGCCTTTAGGACTTGGTTGATCGAGGTGAACTGGCTCTCGAATCTCTGCCTTACTTGTATTCCAATCGTTGATTATGTCAAAATCACATTTATGTGAAGGTAGAAAGACATGGATTACCGGGTACTCCAAGACGGTTATGTTAGCCAATTGTTGACGAATTGGTGCCCTAATGTTTAGCCGGAAAAAAGGTGATTTTGGTCCCTGCATGTTAAGAGAATAATATTAACCAACAAATCCCTCAACAGAATCAAGAACAGCAAAGCCTTTTCCGTAATATCAAAATAAGTTAGAAAAAGTAGACGAGAAAAAACCAAAACAGACTATAGATCACCGTTGGATATTTGCGAATGAAGAATTTCAAGGAATCCAGGGCCTGGTCGCAGAATTGCCTCAATTTGTGATTCCAAGGACTAGGCTTTAGATGTTTCTCAATCACATACGACATAGTTGAATTCTCGTGTACTCTGTAGTGAAAGAACATTTTATATCAACACTACAAACTAGGCATTTTAATGTAATGCAACAACGTTAACAATTCACATGTCCCGGAAAACAATTCAATGCATTAATTCAATTGCCAAATTCCTCACCCATGATCGAGCAATACAACGTCAGTGGAATGAAACCGCCACTCAATGGTCCAAGATATGTATTTATCCCTGGAACAAAGATCGAATAAGTGAGCTTTAATTTTCACTGGTAATCAAATCAATAGGATAGATAAACTCCACATGTTCTTGTCAAGGAACCCTAAGAAAGACAAGCATATACCACAAAATCAATCCCATGGATTTTGAAACTACCTGTTGTTGTAACGAGTACGGTTAATCTGTCTCTTTGACATTCCATTTGAAAGAATCATCAGTTTTGTCCTGCGACTTCCAGCAGCATTTTGAAGACTTTTGAGGGGATACGGAAGCTTGAAACGAGGATAACCACATAATTTAACTCTCATCCTCTGAGCAGAATCAGTAAATCGCTTCACATCCTCAAGCAAGTTGTAATCTATCAAATTTAAGCAAAATAGCCGTGGCAAAAATATTAAACACCTCTCCAAAATAAGGCTGTTCTTATACGAGTAACACTGACTACCAAACTTTACTCCACATGCTGATGAATAAACCAATACACATTATATGGCGAGCAGAGCAAAGAGTAATTTAAAACTCTTGCATTGGGGCAAAAACCAGTAAAATTTAAAATAAAGTGCAATGTTAACGACTCAAAGAAGTTGGATAGATCATGCACCAAAACTATATATATATAACACATTACATTCATCAGGGAGTAATCAAACTACTTTTGAAACACAACAAAGAAACGCAACCATGTAGAAATATCTCACAAATAAGTGAAACAATCTCATAAAAACTTTACTAGACTACTTTACTGATTCTATGCCGAAATCTCACACTTTGTTGTTTATTTTATCAAGAAAATTCAACAATTAACACCTTTTTCCCGCAGTGCATCAATCTAAAATCACTAACTATCCTTGGCTTAAGTTCATATTCAAATTAGATTCCCACATTCATCGAATCCATAAATCTTACGACCTTGCAATTCACTCCTATCTTTTTGTCACAGTGGAATCATGAAATAATATAAAATTAAAAATAATAATTAACCAAATCAAAGACCATTCATTCACAAAAACATCGCACATCACCGCACAAATCAACAGAAATCGCCAAACAGAAACAAAGTCCACAACCTAACTGCTTCCAAAAAGTCTATACATTCAAGCGAAAATAAAAAGTCCACTAACAAACAAGGGTAAACTCTACGAACAACTTCAACTGGCAATAAAAGTGCGAAGATATGAACCCGAATTCGCCTAAAAAAAAAATTGATTATTACCTGAAAGGAGGAGATTATCATCAAATTGTGACGTCGGAACGACCTTGGTGAAGGACCTTTTCCCGGTGCAACCAGTGCGCTGCTTGTGGGAATTGACGCAAGGGAGGCTACACGAGCGGATAGAACAGCCCGGGCACTTGTACTTTGAGGGGTTAATATTGCACTCCCCGCATAGGTTGACTGGCTTTGGCTTTGAAGGAGCAGCAGCCTCTGGGTTTTCCTCCATGGAAGTTCTGGTTCGAGCACCACAGAGAAGCGGGGGCCTGGAATGGAATGGAGGCCCGCGTTGAAGGAGAATTCAGGGGTTAGGGTTTTGTAAAGAATCAGATACGACGTCGTCTCGTTAATTTATCGACAAAAACATTGTCATGTAACAACGGCTATTTTTGTAAATATATGGTACAAACTACAAACCAGCATGACTGCAATTACTATACTAATATCTTATCGAACATGTGATACAAATTTTTCAAATTAAAATATCATAGGTTAATCTTTTATGTGCTCACGGCCAATAGGGCTAATTTCTCAAAATGTTAAAATAATATTATTCATTCCTTACTGTCATAAATCATCTCTTTTTTTTAATAATTTATTTTTAAAAATTTTATTATTTTATAAAGAATAAAATTTTATATAATACAAAAAATATATATATATATTTATTTAGCATTATCAAAAGATATTTTAGATATTCAATTTTAAATTTAATATATTTATATTTAGATTTGATCTTATTCATCATTTGAATTTGAGTTTATCGAAAGTGCGTTTTAATTCGTTGGCCCATTTATTTTAACGATCAATCTGACAATCTCATAATATAGATAAGATATTTTGTGGGACAAACAAAAAAAAAGAAAATTAATCATTTGTGGACCATAGAATAGTATTTATAAAATATAACAACTATAAATTAAAAACTAAATATATATATTTTTTAATGACGTAGTAATCCGCAGTCGCTACCGAAACTGCGCATATTGTGTAATTAATAAATAATTAATAAGTGTATTAGTAAAAATAATTATGATTTAATAAAAATAATTAAAAATTGAAATTAAGATAATTAAATAATTTAATTGAATTATAAATTATAAATTATGAAATTTAAAATATGATTAAAGTATGTAATTATATAGAACAGATAAAAATATAAATATATGACAAAATAAATTGGAAAAAAGTACTCCCTTTGTTCCAAATACATATCAATACAATATACTCTATCTATCCCTCAACAATCTATCTATTTTTTTATTTTGATTCATCCATAACAAAATATTTTTTATTTTTTTAGTAATTGTATTATCTACTTAACATTACAAATATCTTTGTAATTTACAATATATTACACAAATAATACTAATAAGGTTAGTTTAATCTTTTTTACATTTATTTCTACTACATTCCGTACAAAAAATAAATTAATAGATAAATACTAGCGAAGGGGAGTATATTTTATACAGTGGCAAAGAGAAATAAAATTTGTCCGGTAAGGATTGACCTAGTTGGCTAGATTTGTAACCACGTCAGAAAATAAAAAAGTAGATACATTTTTTTCTCACAAAATATCTCAATCACCACAGGTTCGGCGAAAACCAGCCAACAGAAGTGCTCTTAAAATTCGTAACGACCTTCTCTCGCAGATTGAATTGACCTTCTTGGCGAACATACGAACGAACAATTATCCCGTCGGGACCGTACTTGTAGTCACCATCATATATAAACCAGATCACATCGTCTCCTAAATTCTCATCACAATCCATCACTAAAGCCTCACTACCTCCTCCCACAAATATCTCCCGCCGCCGCGCCGCCGCCGGCAAACACCACCCGCCGTTGACATTCCTATCAATTCTCCAAACCTCAAATCCTTTCAATTTATAGAGATACCACAGCGGACGCTTCCCGTACAGTCTCGTCATAGAACTCACCACCAAAACCTCGCCGCCCGGCGGCGGCGCCACCAGGTGATCGCCGTATACAGATTGATCGAAACCTCCGTGTTTTCGATCTTTAATCGCTTTGGCTCCGTACGCCACGATCACCTCCTCCACCTCCACGCCGCCGCCGTTAACCAGGCCGACGGTACGCCGGCCGCCGCTTATTCCGTCGTCTTCTCCGGTAGGGTTCTGCAAATTGCAGTAGACCAAAAGCTTCCGTTTATGGAAGAGGATATCGATCATATGAGCTTCCTTCGTCTTCCTCTCCACAACCGTCCAATGTAAGTCCTCCGGCCTACAAACCACCAATTGCCGGTCGGCCGGCGGCGATTTGTACGGATCTTTAAGAACAACGGCGACGGCGAGGTCGATGGAGTCGGTGAAGAAGACATGCAGTTTCAAGATATAATCTTTGGCAAATCCGTGAATTCCATTCCGGTAGCCTTTCCCGGCGGCCTGCCGGAAAAATTGGATCGACGATAGAGAAGGAAGATTCCGAACCTTGCCGGAGAGAGGACTCCATAGCAGCGCCTCCACATGTTCGGCGGCGGCGGCGCCGCCGCCGCCGTCGCCTGCGATTAGGAGCCAACCTTTGGAAGAGCCGCAGAAGCAGCACCGATTACCGGCGATCGGAAATTTGAAACGGTGTATTTTATTTGAGCTTTGAATTTGTATTTCCTTGGGATTGCGATGGTCGTCGCCGGAGTCCGACGAAAGGATCCGCCATGGACGCTCGGAAGCTGCCGGAGGAATGTGTTTAGCGATAAGAGCGGCGCTCCATGCCTTTGATACGAGTCTTAATCGACATCGATCGATTGCCCATAGCTTCTGGAAAATAAGGTCTGCAATGTCGTTAGGAAGTCCGTCGATGATGACAGATTGAGAAGAGGAAGAAGAACTTGACTCCATAGCAAGGCTAGATATTCTTGAGGTTAGTTTAACAAAGAAAATTTTGATCATATATATATATATATATATATATGTAAATAAATATTGTAACAGAAACTGATTTTTTTTCGAAATTTCGGTTCCTAAGAGTTCTCACTAGAGCTTTTAAAATTTACCCATAAAAATTATGGGCATGTTTCTTTTATCACAAAATTTCAGTTTTCTACTATTAGACTACGTCGTTTTATAAATATTTTCACAAAATATCTCATTATATATTATTTTAATATCAAAACTAAATTAAAATTTTAAAACTAAATCAAGAAACAGACCCTACTTCCATTGTAATATTCGCTAATAAATAAACTAATAAAAAATCGGTAAAATTTAAAATAAAATACAAAATAAGCAACTCAAAGAAGATAAATAAATCATGGACAAAAACTATATATATATATGTATATATATAAAGATAATATAGCTATTTTTGTGAATGTATCATAACCGAAACTAGGGCGAACAAAATATCCAAACAAAATATATAAAACTTAAAAATTAATAAAAGAATTTTCAGTTTGATTTGGATTTTAAATTCAGATTTCAATTGTTTTGTTTTGTTTGGATTGATTTTTTTTTTTTTTTTAAATAATCAAATAGAAAATATATCCGAATTTGGCTAAATCCGAAGTGAAAAGCCAAATGCTCACCTCTAACCAAGATCGATTTTTTTTCTTTCAAGAGTTCCTATAAATTCTCACAAGAAGTCTCTAAAAAGTTCCCAACGATATCAATATTTTCCTAACGTTAGAATTTATGGAGGAAGACCGCACGGAATTACAACTCAATTATGGACCGTTGGATTACGGGAAAAGATCGACGGCCACTGCCATGATCGGAGAAGAAGAAAGTATCTCCATTGATAGTATTTCCATGGATCAATTACATATTAAAGAAGAAAGTATCTCCATCGACAGTATCTCCATGGATCAATTACATGTTAAGAGTTCATCTAAATCCAATGATAATTTGATTTCTTCTAACAATGGCAATGTTCGAATTGATTGGGGATCCTTAGCTACTATTAATGCAAAAAATCCTTTAAGAACAGGGTCATTGTTCGATCCAATAATTCAAAGCCGGATTCGAGACCGGGGAGGATACGACATAACTTTTCTATTTTCGAGAAAGCTAAAGGAATTGGATATCGAAGAAGGCAACATGTTATACATCCCTTGGAGCAATAGGTTAGTTGGGGTTCTCGGAGATTATGAGAAAAAAAATTTATACGGTAAAGGTTGGCTTTTGGTCCCGACTATTGATCCGGAGGGCAAAAAATACAACATTAATTTGAAACATTTGGCTTCGGAAAATAAGATTGTTCTTGCCAACGAGTGGGAAAATTTCATGAAGGCGAATACGTTGATGGAAGGGGATTGGATTCATGTATTTGCCTATCATGAAAATAATGATGGTGATGGAAATTGCCAGCGTTTTTGTTTGGCTATAAATTTCTACAAAAAACGCACCGTGATCCGTAATAGTAACAGCAGTGAAAATAGTAACAACTACAACAACAACAACAACCACGATCCATGAATCCATGGAAGTTTTATGATACAGTGGGAATTGTGGATTTTGAATATAATTGGTGTTATTTTTCTTAGAGTTATCTGAAATTGGAATTTTGAGTTAAATAATAGTATTTTAATACTTTATTTTATAAGTTAAATAAGTATATATATATTTGAAAGGTGTGTAAGCACATTAATTTGTGATTGTGTCGGCTATAGTGTTTAATTTTAAAATTTAATTTTGTATTAACAGCATATCGAATGTTAATATGCAACACCCATATTTTAATAAAAAATAAAATTTATTAATTATATTTTAATATACTTTTTTTATATATTATATACTTAATATTATAAAATAATTATAAAAATATAAAATAACAAATATTTAAAATTTTAGATTATTTTGGTTCGATTTGGATTGAATTTTTTTTTTTTTTTAAATTCAAATTTTCGGATAGATTTGCATTTAAGTAAATCCATACCAAAAATTCTAATCTTCACCTCTAATCAAAATGGATTTTTTTTCGAGTTCCTATAAATTGTCATAAAAAGTCTTCAAAAAAGTTCCCAAAGAAATCAATGTCTTCTATTGTTGAATTCATGGAGGAAGACCACACAGAATCTCAACTCAATTATGAACCGTTGGATGACGGGAAAAGATCGACGGCCATGATCGGAGAAGAAGAGAGTATCTCCATGGATCAATTATTACATGTTAAGAGTTCATAAAAATCCAATGATAGTTCGATTTCTTCTAACAATGGCATTGTTCGAGTTGATTTGGGATCCTTAGGTACTATCAAAGCAAAAAATCTTTCAAGAACAGGGTCATTGCTCGATCCAATAATTCAAAGCCGGATTCGAGACCGTGGAGGATACGACGACGTAAATTTTCTATTTTCCGAGAAAGCTAAAGGAATTGGAGATCGATGAAGACGACGATTGCATGTTATACATCCCTAGGAGCGAGACTTTAGTCGCGCTCTTGGGGACTATGAGAAAAATATGGTATGCGGGTAAGGGTTGGCTTTTGGTCCCGACTATTGATAGAAGGAGATTGGATTCATGCATTCAGGTATCATGAAAACGGCGATGGTGATGATAATTGCCTGCGTTTTTGTTTGGCTATAAATATCTACAAGAATGCGCGTGAATTTAGTGACGGCAACGGCAACAATGCATGAATCCATGAAGGTTTCGTGATGGATTTTGAATATGGTTGGCGTCATTTTTCATAGAGTTTATATTTGATTCTGGCTTCAAAATTGAAATTATGATTTCAACGGTAGTATTTTGATATGATATTTTATAAACTAAAATAGTATAGTAGTATAGTTTTGTAGGAAAGTGTGTTGTATTGTAATGAAACATTAATACCAAATGTCTAGCTTCATTTATTGACTAAAGCCGAGGAATAAAATACCCGGCGATCCGACATTTTTTAGCGACACATTGTCTACGACATCAAGAATGGCATGCAACAAATAATACGCCGGGTTTGGAGACAACTCGCCCCATCGATAAATTATTCAAAACTGAAACGGCGCGCATATATAATCGAATGCAAATTAAATACGAGTGTAATGGACTAACCTCCACCGGATCCATATTTCTTTCCGAAGACGATCAACTGCAGCTTATCATAGCCGGCAAGAACACCGGCACCGGCAACAGCCCTGAGAATGTTCGCCCCAGCGCCTTTAAACAGAGATTTCGGGCCTTCGTTCTTCAAGATTTGAGAAAATGCATCGAATGAGTTTCTGTACTTCACTGCCTCGCCAGAGGTCATCATCATCCTTCTGCGAACCGTATCAAGGGGATAGGATGCTAGACCTGCGCCATTCGTGATTAGCCAACCGAGGGCAAAGCTGGCGAAGAAACTGTCCTGAAAGTTGCAAAAAAATTTCCCACATAGTCCAAAATAAAGTATCGCCATAGATCAATATAGCCGAACAATATAGGTACCTGCAGTTTTCCTGTGAGGAGGACGGGCTTCAAAGAATCGTACATACCGAAGTAGAGTCCACGGTACACGATGATTCCAACACACGATATGTTGAATCCACGGTATAATCCTGCTATGCCATCAGATGCTAAAGTCTTCTTATAGACGTCGATCAGCCCATTAAACTGCCTTGCCCCTCCCCCTTTTGCAGCCTTGGCATCATTGGCTAATCGAGTTCGAGCATAATCCAAGGAGTAAACAAAGAGGAGGGAAGAAGCACCAGCTGCGCCACCGGAAGCCAGGTTTCCGGCAAACCATTTCCAGTACCCGTCTTTATCTTTCTTGAAGTTAAAAAGCCTCTTAAAGTAATCCTTGAAAGCAAAATTTAAAGCCTGAAACATAAACACATAAAGAATTCCCTTGAGCATGTATTTATTGAAAAAAAGTGATTAATCAGACATACCAGACGGAAGGATTAGACGACTGGCCTGAGTAGGGAAGTAACGGATCACATTAGCAGTGTTCCCTCTCCATAGAGAAAGAAATCCTTCATCCTTTATGGTTCTCTTGAAACAGTCACCGATCCCTTTGTATGGTTCGGACAGCCTACCAGACTTGAGCATTTCATCTTGGTTCTGGATCAAAAGTTTGACACGTTCAATCGGAGCAGCAGCTGTTTTAGAGACAGCTGCAGAGACTCCACCCATGAGGAAATCAATGGCGAACGCAGTAAATCCTTTCTCTGCTGGGGCTTGCACACACACAGGAGGAGTTGATGGGATAATCGAAAGGTCGTTGGTTGTTCCACATGGATAAGTCACTGGAAATCGTAATGCAGCATTAGTGTAGGTCATGAAAGATGGACGACAGAAGCCACCTTCCGGAGACTGAGAGTTCCAAGCTGGTGAACATCTGAAGAGGTGGATGCCCATATTCATTCCATTGATGGGGTAGTGTGGTGATGGTCGATCCCTACTCATTGCTCTCTAGCAAAATAAGAAACAAAGCTGTCGAGATAATGTACATATATTAGCTGGCTAAATATGGCACAGAGAAACAAAATGCAATTATCAATAGCTGATGTTCAATATCATACTACTAGCTGATGTTGGATCGAAACTTAGCTGGAATTTTGTTAACAAGTGGTAGGAGAGCGATCATATCGGGAAATTTGCACAATAGTTATGTTCGCACTGATACACAACACGGGAGAAGAAATCCCCAATTTCACACTAACTCAGATTTGGGGGAAACAGCAAACCCTAATTCTGCACTAGTTCACAACACCTCAGACAGCAAATTCCTAGTGCTCAAAAGGAGATATGTTGCATCGTCAAACCAAAATTCAAGTACTCAAATTGCAAACAGACTCGAAAACCGCCAAACTCAATAATTTCCCTCGGATTCTCATGAAATTTAACGAAACAGCTAAATCCAGCAGCCGTCTTACACCAGAAACTGAAATCGAAATTAGGGGAATCGTGAATCGTGTACCTTCCTTTGGGCGGATGATGAGATAGATGGTGCTCCGGCTTCACCCAACTCACGCGAGTGAGAGCGAAGCGATCGAGAAGGTTCGTTGAGAGGGTTTGGAGTATGGAAACAAGCGGCTGAAAATGAAGCAGAGGTAGCGGTGAAAGCACATTGTCATGGTAGAACAGCATTCTTGATTCTTCCATTTCCCTTGATTGGGCGCCTAACCTAACATAGGTGCACAAATGTCGGATTCTCTGCAAAAGTTGTAAAAAGCACGATACGCATACAAATGCCGACACGTGTTACGACTTAGGAGGACGACGTGTCATTTAGAACGACCGATCATGTTAATCAATACATTTAGACATCCAGAGACCACAACCGCCGCCGCAGCCGCAAGCCCGCACAGATTTTCCTGTATCTACTTCTTCTTCCCCAATTTGTTCTTTCTTCTTTCTTGTTTCCTCCTCTTCTTCACAGTCGCAGAGCCGTCGCCGCCGCCTGCAGGTTTACAATAAATAAATAAATAATTAGGGGTCGAACCAAACCGGCGGTTTGACAAATACAAAAGCGGCGAACCGGCGGTTCGAACCGGCTGGGGAAGTCTACATACATCTAGTCCACAGCCGCCGGCGCACCAGGTTCTTCCCCATCTTCTTCTTCATCCCCAATTCTTTCGTTTCTTCCTTCTTCGTTCCTCCTCCCTCATCTTCTTCTTCTTCTTCACAGTCGCACTCGCAGCCGCACCAGGTTCAGGGTTATTTTTATTTTATTATTATTTTTAAGTGGTGGGCCCACGAAGAAAAAATTGAAAAAAAAAAAAAAAAATTGTGAATCGCCATTCATCCTTCCTTCCTTATCTGCTCTCTCTCATCTCATATCCGGTAAACATCGGCGTTGCCCTTCTCTTCTCCTCTTCTTCTCTCTTCCCTTTCTTCAAAACATCAAATCTATATGGCCTCCTCGGGTGGGCTCAACTGCCCACTAATCTCCACGGTTAAGACCGCAACATTCTCTCGTCGTCCCCGTTCTAACAATCCTCCTTTTCTGTTGCTCCCTAAAAGGACTAGTGTAATTTCAGCTGCCGCAGTTCCCATTTCTAATGCCCAGACACGAGAAAGGATGAAGCTGAAAGAGATGTTTGAGGATGCGTACGAGAGGTGCCGGACGGCCCCCATGGAAGGTGTGTCCTTCACCATGGAAGATTTCCAAATCGCCCTTGAAAAGTATGATTTCAACTCTGAAATTGGCACCAAGGTCAGTTTCTTTCTCATCCAAGGCTCTATTTTCATCACTTAATTTTTTCAAATTGTCCCCATGGTATTTGGTAGAGTGACGAGGAAAGGGCGAATTGCTCCCCAAAATCAAACAACCTAGAACTACATAACAAATAATGTGGCGAAGCTTTTAATCTGGAACTAGTAATAATTATGAATTACTATGCCTGAAATCCATACCTTTAGATGAGCATGGGAATCATCAATCACCTTCACCATCACCATCCATTATCTTCCTGCTGTTGATCCTATGGTTTAGTTTCAATTACCTTCATTTTTACAGGTGACCGGCACAGTTTTCAATATCGATGCAAATGGAGCATTAGTTGACATAACTGCAAAATCATCAGCTTACTTGCCTCTCCGAGAAGCATCCATCCACAGTATCAAACATGTAGAGGAGGCTGGCATAGTTCCCGGCTTGCGTGAAGAGTTCATAATCATTGGGGAGAATGAGGCTGATGATAGTTTAATCTTGAGCTTGCGTTCAATTCAATATGATCTTGCCTGGGAACGCTGCAGACAGCTTCAAGCTGAAGATGTTGTTGTTAAGGGAAAGGTAGGAGACGAGGCGGGCCAGTTTGTTCAAAACTAATACAAACTTTTAACTTCAATTGGGGTTTTTTACTCTTTACTATTATGATTGTCGAGCAATTTTTTCATGCATAAACGCTCTATGGTATGCAGGTAATTGGAGCTAACAAAGGTGGCGTGGTGGCAGTGGTGGAGGGTCTCCGAGGTTTTGTGCCATTTTCACAAATCTCATCGGTTCGTCTATTATCTTTATTGCACAATGTCTTCTGTTTAATACTCAACTTACAATTGATTACTGTTCTCAGAAATCAGCTGCTGAGGAGCTTCTGGAAAAGGAACTCCCTCTTAAATTTGTTGAGGTTGACGAGGAGCAATCGAGGTTAGTGCTGAGTAATCGGAAGGCCATGGCTGATAGTCAGGCGCAGCTTGGAATTGGTTCTGTAGTGGTTGGGACTGTCCAGAGCTTGAAACCATACGGTGCCTTCATTGATATCGGTGGAATAAATGGGCTGCTGCATGTCAGCCAAATCAGTCACGACCGTGTCTCAGATATCGCCACTGTACTTCAGCCTGGCGACATTTTGAAGGTACACACTGATCTACCACCAGTTCTTGCTTTCAATCTTATAAATATCCTCAAATGCCAAATGCTGCTTTAGGTAATGATTCTAAGCCATGATCGTGAAAGAGGCCGAGTGAGCCTCTCCACTAAGAAGTTAGAGCCTACGCCTGGTGACATGATTCGGAATCCAAAGCTTGTTTTTGAAAAGGTACCAAATGCCCTTTTCCTTTGCAAGCTAAACAAGCTTAAAAAGGACTAAAACTGTCCCATTTATATGCTCTGTGAAATCATGACTTGTTTGTTCCGGCAGGCGGAAGAGATGGCTCAGACTTTCAGGCAGAGAATAGCTCAGGCAGAAGCTATGGCTCGAGCTGATATGCTGAGATTCCAACCTGAGGTAACTTTCTTGGTTTCGTGGTAATGATTGTTTGGTCTTTTGATTGATGGATTGTTGTCTTCTGCACCGGCACTGCAGAGTGGATTGACCCTGAGCTCGGAAGGGATCTTGGGACCTTTGACAGCTTCAGAACTGCCGGCAGAAGGCTTGGATTTAGGCGACATCCCCCCTGCCGAGGAATAGATTTAGGGATTCGATGAGGAGGAGGAAGGAGGAGGAGGAGGAAGAAGAAGACACACACAACTTATCCAAAATTATTATGCATAGTAGTAATCTATGTATAGTAGTAGAGACTTGGAAACCTGCTGTTGTTCTTATTACACCCTTTTAACTCCACTCCACGCTCTCTATCTAGCATGGACATTCACAGATTGATTTTTTCAGAGGAAGTTGAATGGTTAATACTGTTTTCCAACAAAATACTGCTCTTTGCTGTGTGAAAATAGATACCAAACTTAGCAACACAAAAAACTACTTTGTGCCAATTTGAATGCACAGGCATGAGAAAAACTACGACGGAGAATGAATTAAAGAACCACCGGTAGACAACCCATCTGCAAATACTTCTCTTTGTCTTTGGACAAATAGTTACTAACAGCTAACAGCAAAAAAAAGAAAAAAGCCTACAGGCTATAAACATGTTCAAACCAAAAAGTAAGAAAAATTAACAGCATTATCTAATCCAAAATTCTACACAGAAACCCATCTTCAATCAAGTCCAGATGCCTAAAGATATAAAACAAAAATACAACTAATAGTTGGAACATAAAGGTTGTGTTATTTTGGATTTTGGTTTCCTTTTTCACTATGCAACAATTGCAATTTTCCCTTTTTGAACACTATAGTTTGAGGCCTCATCAGCAATGGAGGATCAGGTCAAGGCCTCCAGGGTATGTAATTATATAATTAACCTTAATTATGTCATGGTTCAAACTATTTGATTTATATGGCTTTCAATAAAAATATATTGTATTACGTTTTATCTTATAAAATATCAAATTAAAATACTATTTAAATCAAAAAGTGAAAAAAAAAAAATTAGACCTTAAACCAAAGCCAAATGCACTTTACATTTATGTTGATTTTTATAAATTATATAAATGTCTATTTTTATGATTTATATTGAAATAGTAATTAGATATAGTATTTTATAAAAATATTTATAAATTATATAATAAAAAAACCTCAAAAGATCATAACCATTACAGTTTTCTTTTTTTTTTAAAAAAAAATCATATACAAATTAAAATACTTAAGCAACCAAAATATGCCCGCGATTTTTCTATATATATATATATATATCGTAATAATTAATATTATTAAATTTCTCCAACGGTCGAAAACTCATTTAATGCGGAAATTTAAGAATAAAACAAAATCACACCCCGTATATGGACCCCACTCACCGCAACGGTCCATTTCTCTGGTTGTGTTTGGGCGTCTAAAAGCCACTCTTCTCCTTCTTCTTCTATAATCTTTGCTCTTAACAACTCACAGTGAGAACCGATCCATAACTTGTAAATCCATTCGAGCCGTATGGAGGTAGCAGTAATCGATTGGAAAAGCATAGATTCGAGATTCGTGAAGGACGAGCTGTACGAGCACATCAATGCCCCCAAATGGGTCGATTTCTCTGCCCCGGAACGCCCCGTTGATGATGAGGCCTGGTTCTGCCGCCCTGGTGAGTGAAATTTGAAAACCCTAGATCCTCTCTCGTTGTTGATTTTTTCTAATTTTTATGTGATTTTGAATTCTCTCTATCGTTTCGTGTGTTTTAGGCTGTAATCATCCCAAGACGGCTGAAGATTTCCTTAATGAGAACGTCAAAACGCCTAATTCGAGTTCGAAGGTTTGTGTTGCTGCCCTAGTTCTATTCTGGAATTAGTTGATTTGGGGATTTTGAAATTGTGGTGATGTGGAGATGAGGAATTTGAATCCATTTCTTACTGAATCTGCTCGAAGTTTATGTAAAATTTTGGATTAGGTATCCGAATGAACAGATCCAAACTTTGAATTTAGGGTTTTTTTTTTAGCAAACATGAACATGAAAATTATGGATCTGATTCAGCCATTCCTTAACTTCCATTGCAGCTAAAAAAATCACGAACAGTGTCTGACGTTTCTCCGTTGGGAGATCGAAACAAGAGGTATCATTAGATTATGCTTTTTGGCTGCAAACTTTATGATCTCTACCCATTTTCTGCTGCTAGTACTAATGAATGATTACACGTTTAATGGATGGTAGGGAAGCAATGCTGAAGAAAAGAGGTGTGGCGAATAATCGAATTGTGGAAGATGGAGAGAATCATGACCCTAACCTGTCGAATTCATTAAACCACAAAGCTAGAGGTGGAAAAGAAGGGATCAAATCCAGTGTGGAGAGGAAAGAAATTCGCGACGATAATATGGTAGGGAAAGATCAAACAAGAAAGCTGAGGAGCACTCTGTCGGCGAGGAATTTGTTTGCTGGCGGCGATTTTCTAAGTAAAGTTGCCGATTTTTGCAATGAGCTTAAAAGACTGGCGGTGAGGCCGAAAGATGGAGATACCGAGATTGTGGAGAAGCAGGAGATTTTCGGAGGTCCGGATGAAAAGGAAAGGAAGCCATTGTTGGAGGTGAGGAGTAAAGAGAAATGTGAAGGAGCAGTGAAGGGCCAGAGGAGGAAGAAAGTGTGAGTGAGATTGATCCATCGATCTTCAATTGGATTCAAAGATGATGATGATGATGATGAATGTGTCCTTTGTCTGTGTAGGAAAGAAGATGATGATGATGACGAACACTCCGGTCCAGCTCGATTTGATGAAGATTAAGCAACAAAGAGAAGTCGGGGGAGGTCTGTCGCAGATTCGAACTTCTCCTCCAACTCCACAATGCTTTTCTGGCGGCGCGGGCCATGGCTACCAGAAGCGCGTCCGGCAGAGGCCTCTGGTGCGCGATAGCGACGAATATATGATAGATTTAGTTTCTGTAAATCTTGGTTGATGTGCATCAATTTTAACTATCTTCACAGGAGAGGGGAGTTTTGCAAGAATTGAAACAGACGACGATGACGACGAGCAAGGAAGCGGCCACGGAGGATCACCGCCACGTCGGAAAGGCCGCCGGAAGCAGCCATGGTGGAGAAGCAAAGCAGCCATTGGATGTTTTCTGGTTCCTCAAGCCTTGCACAACACTTTCAAGTTAGTTCATCATCATCCGCCATGGTTGATCAACTTCTTTATTGCATATAAATACACAGATATTCTTTGATTCGTTATGTAGTTATTAGTCATTCATTGGTTCGACAATAAAATATTTTCAATAAATAATGTTTATCTGTTCCTTCTACTACTGTTCTTGGAAATTCTTCAAACCTTTTTGCATTTTTCTTGATACTTTTTTAATGGGGTTAGTTTTGGATAATTTGTTCCTCGATTTAATGCACTTTTGAAGAGATTTTTTTTGTTTTTTTAAAGTGGAAATAAATAATATATATTTATTAAAAAGATTACATAATTACATAATTAAAAAAAAAAAAAAAACATGATTCGTCGACTTGCTTGTCAGGTCTAATTTACAGGTATTAGGGGTCGGGGTTTATTCAGTACTTTACGTGGGTTATCACTAAATTAACCCGTTAGTATTGTATGATATAAAAGGTATTTGTGTAATATATTATAAATTTGAAGGGTATTTTAGATAAATAGTACAATTAAATGGATATTTTGTTATGAAACGAACCAAAATGAAAATGAAAAAATAATAGATGACGAGTATATATTAAGACAAATTTATGATATATATATATACATTTATCAAATTGGTGTGCGTGCATCATTTTTCTTTTTCTTTTTCTTGCAATTATCTAAAATCGAAACGGAAGGTTGAGAAATTCTTAAAAACTGCAAAGTTGGTCTCAACAAAATTTTATATTTTAGAAAATATCATAGTTTTTATAAAAAATAATAAAATAAAACTGTAGCACTATTTTTATAAGAAAATAAAATGATTATACAAAAAAGGAAATAAAAAATGGGAAAAGGATATAGACGTCGAACTCACAAATCATTCCAAAATTCTCCATGCCTTATAGGACAAACCTTATCCATCCCCACTTGCAACTTTATTCCCCAAAAATAACAACACTTTTAATTTCTTTACTTCTTTCAAGACAAAATAATAAATTTTAAAAAATAAAATAAAATAAAAACAGCAGATAGATATGCATAGATAAGCATAAGAAACTACAGTAGCCATGAAAATCAAACAGCGATGAAATTTTAACCGAGTAAAAGATCAAAAGCATCAAATCAAAATAATACGTTCATGAATCATTAACATTATTATTTATCACAGAAAAGAAAAAACAGAATATAATTAATTAATTAATTAAAATGGAGAATCGTAGTACAGCAAGAGAGAAGAAGGAAGGATGTTCTAGAATGATGGATGGTTAATTACAGCAGAGAAGACAGTGGAAGAAGATTCTAGAACAGGCGCGGCGGAGGCGAGGATAAGCCCTACCGACCTGCGCGGAGGCTTCCCGCCAGGTTTCCTCCACGGCGTCCATGAAAGCAGTGAAGTTCCTTATGGGAGGAGGAATAAACAGATTCAAAGGAACTGCAGAAAACGCCAGCATCACCAGCAAATCCCCCATCGCCGACCCTCACCCAGCTTAAACCCTAATTTTATTTTATCTAAGGTTTTGGAATGAGGAATTTGAGAGATATATATATATGTATATATATGATACGTACAGTCAGTCGTACATCTCACATTTATTTGTTTCCCTAACAATTTTCTGTTTCCTTTTCCCCTCTTGGCTGCCTTTTTATTTTAAGGCCTGATTTCTACCTTTATTTATTTATTCATTTTTTTTTTTTTTTTTTTATGTTTAAATTAGACTGGACAAATTATGTGTAACAAGCTAGATTTGAAAGCTCATATTTGAATTACTTTTTACTTTATTTGTCATATTTTTTTATTAATTTTTTTTTATTTAAGAGTATAATTAATAAAAATTATTGAGACAGATGATTTAAAAGTGTCAAAATTTAAACTCATGATATCACGTGTTTCAGGTGACTCTTGTGATTTTGATTTTGGGTTTTAATTTTCAATAGTAAAATTTTAAATTAAAATAGTTGTTTGATTTAATATAAATATATATTGATACGATGTTTTAAATGGAAATTAAATTTTACGGTAACGAAATACTTTGACTTGTGTTTTTGAATTGAATGTCATGTGACACAAAGCTATATCATATCCGAACACACCCTTGTCTACGTGGATGTAATGTTTCCACAAATCGACCATCCGATGGTTTCGTCCTTCATTACAAATTTACAATACCAATCCTCCAACTAACAAATATTTTTAATTAAATTAAATAAAATAGCAATTGGCGTTCAGATCAGATCAGATGGGGGGTTCGCGAGCGCTGAAAATCTACCCAAAAACCTTCGCTACTCTCAACCCACCTTCAATTGTTCTCTCGAGATTTCCACAGCTGCAAATCACCCAAACCCTCAATCTTCGTCCCTTCCGCTGTGCACTGACCGCGCCGACGAGGTATAGGAGTGAGAGCAGGACCAATATCCCGAGTGGCTTGTCTTTTAATTGGGGCTTGCAGAGCTTTTTGAAACGTAGGGTTTTCGCCATGGCCGGCGCACCTGGATCCGTTCGCAAATCGGAGGAGGAGTGGCGAGCTGTTCTTTCTCCGGAACAGTTTCGTATTTTACGGCAGAAGGGCACCGAGTATGTCTGATTTTTGTTGTTTGTGCTACTTTTGAATCATAATCTGGGGAATCTTTTTCTGAAATCCCGTGTTCGTTTGATTTGGGTGTGAGCTGATTGTGTTCGTTCGTCAATTCCATCGTCGTCTCTGTCTGTATGAGTGATGAAAATTGAATTTAATTTCAGAGAATTCGAGTGGTTATTTAGGGTTTCATAATTAGGTTTATGCTTACGCAGGATTTAGGGTTTAGGGAAGGAACTGCAATTTTGGTTTGATGATGTGTTCTGGAAGTGGAAACTAAATCAAGTTTTGAGATTTAAGCAAGCATCAATGACCTAATTTGAAGAAATATTGATGCGACTGCTCATAAGGTGATGATAATTTTTTCGGTGAGATTTAGGCTACGTCTAGATAGAAGTTTTGCATTGTTAGAGTAAAGTATATCTGATGTATATCGTCAAAAGTTTCAAAAGTGTCTATCTAAACAGAATCTTAGCAATGGTTATGGTCCTCAAGAACTGATTGGTGGCCTCGATTGATTGTAAAGTTGTGTAGAATTTTGGTGTTCGATGATATATACTTGGTGCAGGTAGAACAGAATCGATTGTGTTGAGGTGGTAGAAGCACATATGGTTACATTTCATTTCACATAGCTCTTAGCTAGTTGTCCATTTTAGAATCCGTGAAAATTTCAAGTTTCTTCGAATAAATTAAGACACCTTAGTTGTGAATTGAAAGCTTGCGACATATTTGTGTTTAGCTATGATTAAATTCAATGCTGCAAATCTTCATAGGAGAGTTATTTGCTTCTTAAGACGAAGGAACTGAAAGGAGCTGTGCTGTTTCAGCTAGATTATGATAATATCTTTTTCTACTTTGTCATTGTTTGTTGCGATTGTTTGGGCTTTTTTTTTCGTGGGCTTTTTAGATTTCAATTTGTTTCTACTGTGACTCCTCCCTTTCATCTTTTTTCTGTGTCTTCGACACCAAGAATAATTCCATCATGTTGATGACTATGCTATCAAGGGTTTATTTTAGACCATTATACGTAAAATAACCATAGCCGGTTGTTATTACCTGCACTTAGCGTTCATACATGAGATTGGTGATGCACAGGTTCCCGGGCACTGGAGAATACGACAAGGTTTTCCAGGAGGGCATTTACAACTGTGCAGGATGCGGAACTCCCCTCTACAAGTCGACTACCAAATTCAACTCCGGGTGTGGTTGGCCTGCATTCTTCGAGGGTCTCCCAGGAGCCATAAATCGAACGGTAAGTTTTACTTTCTGATGGTTGTGTCCACTTAACACTGCTGTGAGCTCTTAGCTGATGCCTTTGCCTGCATGTCTGTTTAGCCTGATCCTGACGGTAGGAGAGTCGAGATCACGTGTGCGGCGTGTGGGGGACATCTCGGACATGTGTTTTCCGGCGAAGGGTTTCCGACGCCGACGGACGAGCGCCATTGTGTCAACAGTGTATCACTTAAGTTCACTCCGGCGAACTCCAACTCTTCCAAATAAATGATGCACACAACACGGCCGTGCTCATGGTTTTGTGCTCCCTTCGAATTTTAGTTTATTAACGCCTGCCATGCCCTGTATTAAAAATAAAAATAAAATAATCTGTAATCAAGATGATGTCAATGTATTATATTTTCTGTTTTATAAATTTGTTTTCATCTATATTATTATAAAATAGGTTTGGGTCGGGCCAGCCCGATCCAGTTAAAGATCATGTGGGCCTAGGCTTGTAAAAATTAAGTTGTGCCCTTGGCCTGGATTTTAAAATTATAATATAATTTAACAATTTTAAAAATATATCTTGTAAAAAAAATTAGATTATTATTATTACTACGTATTTTTAGGCTTTAATGTCTATTACATATCCATTCCAATAAATTTTATACGTATTTATTTTGTAGTTTGTTGTTTAAATATTCGACGATTTTCTTGCTTACTTTTAACAGATTAGTATTGTAAATTGTAATTTTATCGTGTACCAAATAAACTCACTATTATATGGCCATGTTTCAGAATTAATATACTTTGCAAATATATTGTAACCTAAATAAATTTATATATATATCGACTATAGTCCACAAATACATTTAATTTATCGTACAAGACTCCATAATACTATAGTCATTATGGAACACTTATCATCAATTTTGTTCCTACTTTTGATTATTTTCTTTGCTTTGCTGAGTGAGTCCAAAGTGTTCAACGTCGTCAATTATGGCGCCGTCGGCGACGGCTTAACCGACGACACCGATGTATTATATCGCATTTGTGATTGTTCTTGTTCAATTATATTTATAAATGTATTCGCTCGTAATTTTGTTTTTGTTTTTGGTCTAGGCTTTGGCGAAAGCATGGGAGGAGACTTGTACGATGGATTCGTCTTCTCCGGTTATGCAAATACCGGAGGGCAAGACGTTCTTGATCCAACCCTTAAGGTTTAATGGCCCTTGCAATTCAAAAAGTATTACGGTGCAGGTATGTAATTTTTAAATTGAAATAATTGTTTGATTTGATATTTTAAATGCAAAATAATATTGTATAGTAAATTTTTTTTCTTCAAATTTTTTAATATCCTGACAACTTTAATACATGTGTGCATATATATATAGGTGTTGGTCAAGGAGTTAAGGGTTTCGCCAAAAAAAAATTTGTAAATATTGAAAAACAAATCAAATTACCTAAACAAACACCAGTCTACTAAAATAAGGCAAGACCCGAAAGTGTAGGATTCGAAGTATGACATCATGGTCACAAATTAACTTTTACGCCACCCACCAGATAATCCGTTATGGGATAAAATATTTAATTATATTTGTATTTATGGTTAATGTTAGTGGTTTATAGGATTATATTTTGCTATCTATTAAGTAGGCGAAATAACATAATTCGGTAATTGCATACCATTATGATTAAAAAGTTCATTTAGGATAATGTTTTGGGTAAAAGAAGAAAGATTGATTTCAAACAAAATGGATATATATTAATTTCCGATGAATGAAGTATTTATTTCTTAACTACAGCTATACAATTACTAATATTTATCTTGGGAGCATAATTTGATCGATCCTATGATGTTATTGTTAGACCAAAATTTTATTGAAAACCGAGCTCAAATCATAATCAAATAAGAAATCTGATTAAGAACTTATTCGAGTTTCGCTTTGCACACGATCTCTTCGAAACAAATTCGGTCCGTCACCGATTGCTTCCCCAAGATAAAACGATCAATTAGGGATTCACGATTTCTCCATTTCTTCTAATCTCCTCCAAGAAAAACTTCCAAAAAGTTTTCTTGGATCGGTTCGTGAAGAAATCGTAAATCCCTAATTGATTCGTTTTATCTTGGGAAGCAACCGGTGGCGGACCAAATTTACTTCAAGGAGATCGCGTGCAACTCGAACCTCAAATTTGTTCTTAGTCAGATATGTTATATGATTTTGATTTGGGCATCTCGGTTTTTAATAAAATTTTTGTCTAACAAGTATTATATATGTATGTTAACGATCGACGTTCTTCAGATCGACGGAAATTTGGTTGCTCCGGAGAATCCTTCCGACTGGAGTAGTTGCAATGGCGAGCCTTGCCAGGAATGGATCCACTTTTTCGGCGTCGACGGCCTTAGCGTTGTTGGCCGCGGCACAATTGACGGCCGCGGCCAAAAATGGTGGGATATGCCGGTAAGTCCTAATCCTCAATCTCCAGGGACTTGTGGTCAAGCCGTGTCATTTAGTTCATTTATACTCGATTTTATATATATGTTTTAACACGATCTCTTTTTTTTTCTTTTTTTTTTTTTATTTTAATTTTGCAGCGAGGAACGAAACCAAGTGTGAGTCTTGGCTTGACTCGACTCAAATTGGCTTATTGAGTCGTTTTCTTTATTTATTATTGAAAAACATTAAAGTTTTAAACCCGACTGTCTTTGTTTGCAGGCATTTCAGATCGCGGCCGCGAAGAACGTCTACTTTGGAGACGGATTGCGGTTTAAGGACAGCCCTCAGATGCATATTGTCCTAAACGGGCTGTCGTCGGTTCTAGTCTCGAATATAACCATTGTCGCCCCGGGGAAAAGTCCCAACACGGATGGCATCCACGTCGTCGGTTGTACTAAGGCTGTCATTGATCGGGCTTGGATTGGGACAGGCGACGATTGCATTTCCATCGTCGACAAATCATCCTATGTGTGGGTTAGCAACATAGTATGTGGTCCGGGGCATGGCATAAGGTTTCGTGTCGACAAGCTATTTTGTTGTCTTAATCTTGTTGCTATCAATCAACTAAAATACCGATCTTTTTGGTGCAGCATTGGGAGCCTAGGGAAGAACGGAGCTGAGGATAAAGTCGAAAAAATTGCGGTTGTAGACGTTGTCTTCATCGGGACACAAAATGGTGCAAGGATTAAGACATGGCAGGTAAGATCTAGCCGCGTTTTTTTCTTTTTTTTTCAAATTATCATTCTCATTGTCGTATGCGGAATTGTTGAGATATTTTAGATTTAGGGTGTGTTTGTTTGGGGGATTGGATTGGATTGGATTTACACTATTCATTCAATTTTTTCCTCTAAAAACATCAAATCAAACACCTATTTTTTATTTTTTATATTATACTAAAAATCAATTTTACATTCAAAACATCGAATCAACAACTATTTATATCACATCATACAACTATTCAAATTCAAAATTTTTTCTATTCAAATCCCAACTCAAAATCCAAACCCCCAAACAAACACACCCTTATATTAGTAGATTTATATTTAAATTTGGTTTTATCCATGTATTAGATTATTTTTGTTTAAGTCAATCGAGTCCTTTATTATTATGATATCAACGAGACAATTTCATTATTTTTCCTCAAAATTACTAATAGGAATTCTATTCATTCGTTTTTTATTTTTCAATCATCGCGGCACAGGGTGGCAAAGGCTATGCTCGACACATTATATTCGAGCGAATCTTGTACCATCGAACGGCGAATCCGATCATCATCGACCAGTTCTACTGTGATCATCAGGAATGCGTGGAAAGCGTCGGTCCTAGCTACTCGAAAAATGAATTCTTTTAAGAAATAGAAGCACGCCGCCTTCGTCGACTAATTCGATCTGCTTTGCAGGAATCCGCGGTGAAAGTGAGTGGCGTTACATTCAAAGAAGTAGTCGGAACTTCATCGACGGAGAGGGCCGTGACGTTGATGTGCAGCGAGGCTGTCCCGTGCCAGGACATTATTCTCGACGACATCCACATCCGGACCACAAACGACGAGGAGCCGTCGTATGAGTGCCAGAATGTGCGCGGGAGAGCTAGTGGCGATAAGGTTCCGGAACTCTCGTGTTTGAAATGAGTCGAAGCGAGCTGAGTAATTAGTAATACCATGTATATTGTAGGAGATAAAACATCAATACATTGTTTGAAATTGAATTTTGATTTGATATTTTATTTAAATAGGACTATGATATAATATTTTATGAGAGTAAATAGAATTCTGCCCGTTTCATGCAATATTTGTTTTCATGAGAATTTAGACAAGTAGTATTAATTAAGATAATTTGGGAAATAAATAATACGATGAAAGAGAAATATATATATATATTTATGTGGGTGATGCGAAGTTTAAAAAATAATGTTAATAAGTATACATTTAATTTTAAAGTGAAATTTAAAAAATAATATAATTTTATCTTTACTTTTTTAGGATAAATGTAATAATTTGATAGTAAAATAAGGATGTCATTAGTTTATGATCTTGAGTGATGAATAATATAATATTTATATTCATATGATATAAATATATAATATTCCTTTTTGTCTTAACTAATTTGTGCACCTTAATTGGACACAGAGTTTGTAATTAATAAATAATTAAAAAGTAAATTAGTAAAATAATTATATATTAAAATTAAGATAACTAAATAATTTACTTCAAATATAGAAAAAAAAAATTTAAATTATAAATTTTAAAATAAAAATAAAATATATAATTATATTTATAAAGAGAGAAGACTAATTAGTTTTTTACATCATATTTTTATATAAAGAAAACATGAGTAAGCAAAAGTCAAAATTGTACAGGTATATTTTAACCCTAGTTGCTTGTGTTCCCACTTAATTAATACAAATCAATTTTAATACTACATTTAACATTAATGATTAAAACAAGAAGTTAAGGACAAACAAAGTCGCCATAAGATTATAATAATAAGAATAGTTAGGCCCGTTGATATGCTTGTCAGTTTTGACGTGCTTCTGTAAAATATTTTTTATTTTATTTTTATAAAAAAAAATACTTATTTATGTTTGTATTAATTTTTTTAAAAAAACAAAAACTGGACTTCAAAAATATTTTATTAAAAAATATATTAATCAAAAGCTAATACAAATATAAATAAATATATAAACATTTTTTAAAAAAAAAAACTAAAAATAATTTTCAAAAGTCCATCCAAACAGACTTGGCAATCCTACCTAATATATATATATAGTGATCGTTATCCTAAAAATAGGACATCATTTGACATGGATTCATTGGTCAAAGCAATGATGGACACCGTCGTCGGCGACAACCTCGACGACAACCGCCGCCGCCACCGGGAGACGGAGGAAGAGGAAAATTTAATGAAACTGTTGAAATCCAAGGAAAAGGTGGCCAAGCTCCACTTCTACCTGCACGATGCTCTCGGCGGCGGCGATGGCACGGCCACTGTGTGGGAGGTGGCGCGTGCTTCCATCACCGCCACTTCTGCCACCGGTTTTGGCCAAGTAAGCATAAACATCATATATTCTGTTAAAAATTAATTTTTTTATTATAATAAAAATAATATATATTAATACTAAAATATACTTAATTTTTATATAAATTATAAATATAAAAAATAAAAAATATCAATCTTATACATATTTATTAACTAATAAAATACGATTTCTATAATTTATTCCAAAAAGCTAAAGCGGTGCTTTGGACGGAACCGAGAGAATACTTATTTTTAGTCCAATGTTCTGACTAATAAAATATTATTACTACGTCCGTTCGGCTTTAAGGGTTTCATTTACTTTTTACGAGTTGATATTTGAATATTAATTATTATATCAAAACATCGTACAAATTAAAATAAAATTGCAAAAATATTTTTATTAGTACGTTATAATACTAATAGACAAACATTTGTACACAAAATTATACAAATATAAAGATATTTTTAATGTTAACTACAATAAAGTAAAAAATAAATAAATAAATAAATAAAAATAAATATGACTCTTAAAGCCCAATGAAAGAAATATTCCTTTAATCTACTTAAAAAAAACTAAAATGGTACTTTCTACGAGAACAAATAGAGAATACTTATTTTTAGTCGTATTTTCAAACGTAAACATATTTTGAGTGAGGTCGCAGGTGAGGGTCGTCGACTCCTTGATAACGGTGACGCCGGATATAAATTCGGAGAAGCTCGGGAAGGCTCAGGGTATGATCACGTTCACGGGGCTTGATGACCCGGCGCTATCGATGAACTTGAATTTCCACATCACGGCGGGGGAATTTAGCGGGAGCTCACTTTGCGTGGTTGGGAGGATTCCGGCATCGAGCACGAACCGAGAACTTCCGGTGGTGGGCGGCACGGGCGTGTTCCGGATGGCTAGAGGCTACACCATCTCGAACACCTATTCATTCGATATTACCAAGAACTATGGAGTCTTGGAGTACACTGCATATGTTGCTTATCCAAATAATGCTCGAGATTGATTGTTCATTCTCAGACAGAAAAAAAATAACAAAAATATTTTTGTTAGTATCTTATAATACAAAAACTATATAAATATAAAAATATTTTTTAATATTAAATATAATATTATAAAAAAATTATTAAATAATTTATAAAAAATAATGAAGTAAGTATAAAAATAGTGATATTTCTATTACCCACTCCGTCCAACTAGAAAGTATATATATTTCTATTTTGGACGTCCAACTACAAAGTAACCATTTCATTAAATACTCCATTTTTTCCACAAATACTTCTACTTTACATCACATCGTTACTTTTGTACCAAAAAGTAAGAGCAAAAATGTTATTTAACTGCTTTTACCTGCACACTATAATTAAAATATTATTATTCTTTAATCTCCGCGCCAAAAATAAATGTATACTTTTAGCTTGGACGAAGAGAGTATTATTTATTAAAATAAAGATAATAAAATTGTGTAAAGACAAAATTGTTTATTTATAGATAAAAATGCACTAGACAAACAGAAAATTGCATAATTTTGATGAAAAATAAGAATAATAAATATTTTTTTAAAAAAGCAATATGCATATTTTTTATTAAATATAATACTCAATTCTCCACTTATAAATTTACACGTTTATTTAATATTAAAAATATAAAGATATTTTTATTATTTTTTATACAAATGTGATTGTTTATTTAACATTAAAAATATAAAAATATTCTTATTATTTTCATACAATTACATATGTATTATAACACATTTGTTTTTTTATCTTATTTTGTATTTTGATATAATAATTAATTTTTAAATATAAAATAAAAAAATAAATATAATAATTTTAAATAGTCGGAAACAAACAGTGAGAATATATTTTCCATAGAAATAGTAAAATAAGAATTAATTAATTAATTAAGCCAAAATAAAAACATACTGATACTGACTGTGTTGCAAACGGGCTCCAAAGTCGAGACAAACACTGTACTTGCCCTAATATGTGACTGCGTAATTCCCAGCACACTTCTTCCAAGCTCCAACCTTGTTCTGCCCTCCGTCGCGTCGCCTGATCTCGCTTCTCACCCCTAAACCTCAGGTAGACGATTACCCGCCGCGTATCGACTGATTTCTCCACATTTTGTCCGCTGCAGTGTGGAGGAAGGGGTTGGAGTTGAGTGGATTTACCGTTCCGTAGCAGAATCAGGTGAGGCCACTCTCCAGCTTGTATCGTTTCTGAATCTCGCGCCTCTGTGTTTTTTGCTTTTCTATATTGTGCAATGTCATTGGGGTAGAAATAATAATTGTGCTTCGAACTGATGCTGTAACTGCAATTTTGGTGATTGGAAGTATCGAGCGTTGGGTAAAAGAGGGAAGTAAGTGTGGTAAAAAAAAAAAAAACTTATTTGAAATGTGCATTCTGAGATTATGCGGATGATTCTTTTTGTGTTGTATTTTGGTGGAGGAAATGATGATTGTGTGTTGTAAATGGGGGAATGAGTCTGCACCTTTGGTTTTGAATAAGAATTGAGCGGATTTTATTTGATAATCTAGATCAGTGTTTTGACCACCTGTTGGAGTGGACGAAATCATGTCGTTTTTGAAGTCATTGCCCAGCCCCTCGTTTGCCCCCATTCATAAAAGCCCTATGCTGCGACAACCTCGCTCATTCTCGGTGGCCGCCGTGCAGATGGATTCGAAAGAAGTGAAGCTCTGGGGTGGGCGCTTCGAGGAGAGTGTCACTGATGTTGTTGAGAAATTCACCGAGTCAATCTCATTCGATAAAGCTCTCTACAAACAGGATATCTTAGGGAGCATTGCTCATGCTACCATGCTTGCCTCTCAGGTATGAATAATGATTAATGCTGGGCGAATCTATGTTGTTTTAACAAGTCCGTGTTATATTTTGATTGTCCTCTTTGTTATAGGGGTTGATCACAGAAAGTGAGAGAGGTGCAATCGTGGAAGGGCTTGTCGAGATCAGAAATCAAATTGAGAGAGGAGAGTTTGTGTGGAGGACAGACAGGGAGGATGTCCACATGAATATTGAAGCTGCACTTACTGACTTAGTTGGAGAACCAGCGAAGAAGCTTCACACTGCGCGAAGTAGAAATGATCAAGTTTCTACGGATTTACGTCTATGGTGTAAAGATGCTGTTGTTGCAATCATGTCCCGAATTAAGAATCTTCAGGTAAGTTTCTCTAGTAACTTGTCTGTTTTTTATCTGTTCGCAATCAATTGATCATGGGACACTTTTTGGGACGACTTCTGCAATATTTAAAATGATATTCAAACTACAATTTTTCTTTTTCTATTAGACGATAAAAACTGAAATTCAGTGCAAATTTATTTGTATACAAACGCCTTCATTACTGGAAAATATATTCTACAATTCATATAGAACTATTGAATCCTTCCATTTATATAATTATCTGTTTTCTTCTTTCAATGTTACAGGTTGCATTGGTGAAGCTGGCATTGAAGAATGAGGGTCTAATAGTTCCAGGCTATACGCATCTGCAAAGGGCGCAGCCTATTCTTCTGCAGCATCTTCTTTTAGCATATGTTGAGCAGGTTTGTTGGTTCCAGCAGCATGATTATTTATTCAACATTTTTGTAGTTGGCTCTTAGGAGCTTCTTAATATTTCTGCTTTCAGACTGATTTCAATGAATGTTTGTTTTCATCTACTTTAACTGTAGCTTCAACGTGATCTATTACGTTTGATTGACTACCGTGTGAGACTGAATCACTGCCCCCTTGGTGCCTGTGCATTAGCTGGCACTGGCCTTCCTATTGACAGAATTAAGACATCCGATGCCTTGGAATTCTCACATCCCCTAAGAAACAGGTAGGATGTTCATATTTGTGAATACACAATACTATGATGTCCTTGCATTCAAAGCACGTTTTTCTTTATGTTTCATTGGTTTTGCTTTTGTAAAACAAATGATCTTCATGTAAGAAATATCTTAGAAAACCTATGAGAATGGAAATAGCTCACATTTTAGGAAATTAAAGCATTGAATCATGTTAGAAGAGTTGTCCTCTTTCGTTTATGTCTCCTTGTTGGATATATATATCCTTTTTGTTACCCAATAATTTATAGATAGTGCATGATTTGAGAATAGGTAGTGTCCTTTATCGAAACAAACATATTTGACCTGCCTCTTTTGTCTATGGTCTTCACCTGTGACATGTCTTTGTGCAGCAGTCTAACTGTTTTAATATATCTATGATTAAGTACCTATGCCTAACTTTAATGATGAGGCTTAAGCTATATTACCCTGGGGATTTACCATCATAATCTGATAGTCATGGGATTCTGTTAGAAGCATGCTGAAATGGAAGAAATGTGTGTTTTAAGGAAGAGTCGCAGCTATAATGGTGATGATAATGTGATTGATCTGGTTTGTTTTAACATTTAAGGACGAATTGAGTACAGCTATGCGGTATTGCATCTATTCAATGCTGTATACATGTAGGAATAGGATTCACTTATACTGCAATCACAAAATGGCTAAATCTATCTGTTGTCAGGCGTTAGTTTTCCATTGACTCAGTAATTTTATTGTTGTTGGTGATGCCATCATTCAATTATTCAAATATCATTTTATCTTTGGTCTTCGTTATCTTTATTTCTTTCCCCACCAATATTTGGCATTCTCAAGTTATTAATGATATTATATTTATATTGAGCAGCATTGATGCAGTTTCCGATCGAGATTTTGTTATAGAGTTCCTATCTGCAAATGCCATCACAGCCATCCATCTCTCTCGACTTGGTGAAGAATGGGTACTGTGGGCATCAGAGGAATTTGGGTTTATCACCCCTAGTGACTCTGTTTCAACTGGAAGCAGTATAATGCCACAGAAAAAGAACCCTGACCCGATGGAACTCGTCCGAGGGAAGTCTGCTAGAGTTATAGGTGACCTGGTTACACTTCTTGTATTGTGCAAGGGCCTTCCTCAAGCATACAACCGAGATTTGCAGGTTAAACAGTCGCACAATTTTCATCTTTCTGGTTCTTAATTTACGCTCAGTCTGTTCATATTCGTCATTTTGTTATATTTTATTCGTCAAATTTTTATGCTACATAAAGTTGATGCTAAACGTCTTGAATTCTCAGGAGGACAAAGAACCTCTATTCGACAGTGTCAAAACAATAATTGGAATGCTTGAAGTGACTGCAGAATTTGCAGATAATATCACCTATAATAAAGAGAGAATCGAGAAATCTCTGCCGGCAGGGCATCTTGATGCAACTACACTTGCTGACTACCTCGTCAAAAAGGTACATTTAGTCCACAAACCATTCAATCTACCGCAAAATATTGCAGTTTCTACAACTCCCCCAAAGCTTTAAAAGCAAAACAGTGAATTTGATCGTTCTGGAGTAATTCTTGATGGTGTTTATGATTGTTTGAGCAGGGTGTACCATTCCGGACTGCTCATGATATAGTCGGTAAATCTGTTGCTTTATGCGTTTCGAGAAATTGCCAACTCAAAGATTTGAGCTTACCTGATCTCAAAGCTGTAAGTCCGGAATTCGAAGAAGACGTGTATGAGTTTCTTGGAGTCGAAAACTCGATCAAAAAGTTCACTTCATACGGGTCCACAGGTTCAGAATGTGTAGCTGAGCAAATTCATTATTGGGTTCGTGAGTTAGGCTTGTCTTAGGCAGCAGAAGCAGCAATCGTTAGTTTTTATGAGGTTAGTGAATGCATACTTGCACAACTCTTTGGCTTAAACAAACATTTTACTGAATAAGAGAAGGGAGATTATTTTGCTCTTATCACATTATACAATTATCTTAACTACTGTTGATTTCATTAAATCAAAATAGTGTTCTTAGTAGTATGGTTTTCGTTTTTAATCCAATATATATTGGATTTATATCAAGTTAGACGATTTTTATTTCAAAATAAAATCCTCTACCTGTATAAAAATAATATATATTCTTTTAATCCAATATATATTGGATTATATGAAGTTAGATGATTTTTTTTTTTTAAATAAAATTTTTGTAATAACAACAAATATACATTTGAAATTGGGGTTTTGATTTGAAATCGAAATTTTAATTTAAATAGATTTTTAATATGATATTTCATGCATCTTTTGTCAGTCTCTAACGGTCATATTTATTCATTGCACTTAACATTAATATAAAAAATATTCTATAATTTTTTTTTTTTATATAATAATTAATATTTAAAGAAAAAGTAAATGAGACTAAATGTGACCCTAGTAAATAATAATAGACACAAATTTTAATGTGCTACAAAAAAAATTTAAAAAAATAAATAAATAAACACAAATTTAGAATGGCAGAAAATATATTTTTACTACCGAAGCAAATATTTTGACTTCAAATATAAACTAAACACACAGTAAAACAACATACCAAAATCAGCAACATATACCAACACTAACACTAGCTAGAAGATGGATCGATCATTCATTCATCTTCATTAAGTGTTGACTCGAAACATTGAGCTAGAGCAAGAAGATCATTCTTGCGACCCTTATCATATATCACAGGAACCATCCTTGCAACATTAAGACATGCATTTCTGAACGATTCCGAGAAAGGGTTTGACGATGACGACGACGATAATGCGCGCTTGTTGAGTTTCTTCCATGTCTCCGAAACCTTTTTCATCACATGTTTCTTCGCCACCGCGTGCGATGATACTTCAAAATCCTTCATGTAGCACTCGACGTACGATCCATCGTTCCCATAACATTGCTCGTCCTACCAACCCGACTCAAAAATATCAACCCTATTTCGTGCCAGTTTTTGATGTAATATTTTAAATAAAAATAAGCTCTGGAAACGATAATGTTTTATGAATAGTTCAAAAACAAGTTTAAAAACATATTTGATCTTTAAAACTCGAATATTTTGATACCTGAGCGCTCCCCAAGTCATCGAAGAGGCGAAGAATCATTCCAACCAAATATAGGATGTTGTTATGATCTCCATTGCTCAAAACTCGGTGAGCTTCTTCGCTCCAAACATTGTCGCCGAGAATGAAGAAGAGATGTGTAAGAACCATCGGCACTCCAGAGCTCACAATCCCGTTGCTTAGATACTCATCCGCCTTCGCCAAATGACCATTCCCAAACCACTTCGCCTCTGTTAAAAATGCATCGAACAATTCTCCCCACTACACCGAGCAATAATCATGTTTTAGGCGATCTTTGATAGAAATTATCTACAATTGGGGAGATATTAGGTAGTTGAAGCATTTATACCGATCTTTTTAAGATGTTCGATGGATCAAATCCGTGATTTTGGTAGACTATGTCGATTATTTCTTGTGTAGTTTCTTGAATTGCTTCAAAGCACGTCTTCATGTAGTTTGGTAGTCCTTCGCTATCGAAAATCTCCCATCTATGAAAGTACATACGATGTTTTCTAAGATGTTGGAAATAGACAAAAGGCGAGCCGGGGTATAATTTACTAAAAGAAATGTCGAAAGGTAAAAATTAGTTACCTTTTGATCGCATTTGTAAAGAGTTCGAGTTGATCCATTGTACCATAAATGTCAAAAATATCATCAACAATGTAGACAAGGGAGACCGGCTTTGTGAGTAGTATTCGGTGCCAAGACATGGTCGGATCTTGAAGCACGGACATCGACCACATGTGCCATTTCTTCGGTTGGTCCCTCGCGGACTCTAATTCCTTTGTTAGCTCGAGACCATCCCACCACCTACCACAAAAGATCGAGAAATCCCAATTCAATCTCTAAAAACATCAGAACAAATTTTGTATATATATAACTCGAACTGAATAAATTTATTTTAATCACATATATGAAAAAGAAATTTGTCTAACGGGATATTTACTTCACAACTTGAAGTACTTCATCGTGAAATAGTGATCCAACCACGGCCTGATCCATTCTTGCTAAGTCTTGTAGAAGAATTGTCCACTCATTTTTGGGTACATTTTTTTCGAGGAAGTTCTTGGCCACGAGCCTCGCCATTGTCTTGTGGCGCGGGTTTTGCAAAGTGTATTTAACCGGTTGATCGTGTTGATCTTCAAATATTCCTACAGAGTTTGTCGATAGAATTCTCGCGCTAAATGTTGCGGCTTTGTCGAGTATTTGCTCTCCTTCGAAATCCAAATGGGAAGCTTCGTACAATGCAAGAAGACCTTCCATGTCTTCACGAAGATCTTCGTCGAATTCATTCCCATTTTTGTTCATAAAACACTTGAATACATCTGATATGCAATAAGGTGCAAATATAAACATTAATCTTGTCTCAGTATTTATTATTTTTCTATCATAAAATAGTTACGGATTCTTTATAAAAAATTACTATTTTTTTTTTTACAAAATATTTCATTCAAATTATATTCAAATTCTTTCAGAAGAACACACTTTTTGTAAAACTGTAACTATTGTAATTTACATGAAAAATACATTGCAAAATAATACGACAAAAACTATTTGTTTTATCAATTAGTAATATTTGTTATTGCAATATTACTATTTGTGATTAATGAATGACATATTTCTTTCCTTGGTATTTTCATATTACTTCTATAGATCAAAGTCGAATGTTTATGCCAAATCTTTGTATAATGACAAATTGAGAAATATTATTTCTCATATATATAACAAACAAAAAAATAATAATAATAATTTCCTTTAAAATATTTTTTCAATAATATCATCGCAAATAAGTATTAATTATTTCACAATAACTTTATTTTACCTTGAGTGATGGGAAAACCGGCTTGTCTCAATAGTCGAAAACTAAGACAAACAGTGTATAGATTGTCGGGCGTAATGTGTGTTCTCTGAAAAAAGTGTCTATGATGTTCACGTAACATTATCCGAATTTCTTCAGAGAAATGGTGTTCGAGAGCTAATTGTTGGACAACATCGATAAATGACAAGCTATCGAACCCATCTTGATTGATGAGGCTCCTTAGTTTCTCCAAAATTTGTTCGTATTTAACGCGAAAACATTCCTATAAAAATCAGAAGATCATCAAAAAAATTGATCATCATATCATATTCAAAAATTTCATAATTTGTTGGAGATTTTTTTTTACTATTATTATTATTTTTAATCTATATTTCATATTTACTCGTATTTTAACATAAAATAAATCCTCAATAGACAATAATATATGCATTGTATCAATTTCATTTAAGAAATTAGATTTGCTCAAAATTATTGATCATGATAATATTAATATAATAAGTAAACAGTAATAATAATTAAGGTTGAATGCATGGATGATGAGAAGACTGTGTGATGAATGCTTACCTTTTCTTGGGCACAAAATTTTGCCATTACACAAAACTTGTTTAAATTACTTATAATTAACAATATCTTTAAGAGGATTTGTTGATGGAAATTTGATAGTGGAAGATGAGGATTTCTTCCCTATTTGCCATTATATTTATAGACGTATTTGAACCTACGAATAGGTGTGACAAAATTAAATCCTATCCAAAAAATAGAACCTGTTCGACCTGAAATTTTTCAGGTTTAGATTTGGGTATTTCGAGTTTGTAAAAAGTCGGGTCAACTCGAACCCGAAACAAAAAAATTTTCGGATCGTGTTTCGGGTTGATCTGATAATCCAAAATATAAAAATCAGGTAAGATTTCGGGTTTGATCTGAAATTATTTATTATTATTGTATTAATTTATAATATCTCTATTATTTTAAATGTAAAATAATATAAAAATAAAAATAAAAATAATTTTTTTTTTAGTTTAATTTAATTTTTTTTTTTAATTTTCGGGTCTGTTTCGTGTCGAGTTTGTATCATGTTTGTTCGGATTTCAGATGATCTGAAACTAATTTTAGATCAACTTGAACCCAACCTGAATAAATTCCTATCGTGTTCAGATCTAGGGTTTAAAGTCAATTTTTGGGTTCGGTTTGACAATTTTTTTGTTACCCGATGATTCAACTTGACACGAACACGACCCGAAAATACGATTTGACACCACTACGTACCATATTATTTCCAAAGTCCCATCCCATCACGTCACTGTTTGATTTGGAACGTGCGTATAAACACTTACCCCTAATTTCTCAGGTGTGTTTCTCATGAATAGTAATTCAAATAAATGTTTAATACATTCTGGCTGTCACTATATTAGATTTATATTTTGTATTATTGTATTTAATATTAAAAATATATTTATATTTGTATAATTTTTTTTACAATATTATAGGATACTAATAAAAATATTTTTTTATCATTTTTTTTAATTTGTACTGTACTAATAATTAATATTCAAAATCAAGTAAATATGGCCTTTACAGTCCGATCAAAATAGTACGATATAGATATATATAGAATTAAATTCTAATATAATATAATAAATAATAACTAAATATTAAATTTGATTTTGTTATATAAAAAATGAAATTGTAAAATCAAAATAAATATCTCACAAATAATTTAGACAATTATTTCGACCATTTGGTACTATATGATTTTGGAGCATCCCGTCGAAATGCAATTTTTTTTATTTTTATTTTATCAAATTATTAATATATTTAATTAGTGGAAACCACTATTATACTATAGTATTTAATATTAGTAATAAATATATTTCACATATACCTTGTATTATTTTAAATGATTTATATTAATAATTTTTTTATTATATAAAATTTTATTTTTTATAAAATAAAATATAAAAGATTAATTATATTTATATTAATATATTGCAAGATTAAATTTATTTTATTTTTCTATCAAAATATTAAATTAATATTTTATTTCACATCCTCAATTATAGTATTATTTATTATAAAAAAAATAAAAAAATTAACAATTCAAATTCAAAATTTTTCAAATCAATTTTCTTTTTTCAAAAATTCATGTCTAAGCAGAGCCAAATAGAAACAAATAAAATTGATGTGATATTCTTAAAAAATAAGTAAATAGTACCAAAATTTAAAATTTTTTATGTAAACAACCCTAGTGTTTGGTTTGTACTTTGTTATTTCAAGTAAAATAATATGATGTGTTTTTTTGGAATTGAATTGCTAAGATTTAATTTGTATTTTTTTTATTTAAATAATATTTGATTTAATGGCTTGTGAGATAAAAATATTCTCCTTTGTGTCAATTAAATGTTCTCATTTTATTATTTTCGTTCATTTCTTTATTAAGTAAAAGTAATCATATACAAATATCAAAATATTCATAATTTTTTTTTTAAAAAAATAAAAATTCATGCATTTTGTATTTATAAGGATAAAAATATCAAAATTATTTCACACTATCAATACACAATAAAATATTATTATTTCTTAATTTACTATATTAAAAAAAACACTATATAAATTCGATTTGGACATAAAGAACATATATTTTTCGAAAAAAAAAAATTATAATTCAAATAAGAAATTTATTTAAAAAAAAACCATAGTGATTGGATATGATAAAATATTTTATATGTAAAATTAATATTCCTTCCGTCTGTATAAACTAATTTGTTTTGTAAATTACAAAAAGAATCGGTATAAAATTTACAGATGAAAAGAATATATTTTTATTAGAAATATTTATACAATGATCAAAAGACAAAGTCCCAATTTTATAAGGCTGTGTAGTCGGTAAGGGATAGGCCGGTGGTGTGGGGTTGGACCTCAGGTCACTTGTCACATATGGTTTGCCTAATTTGCAGGATCAGAATTTACCTCATACGTATTTTCGGGTAGGAATAGCAGACTGGGTTCCCACGTCATTAAAACGATTTATTTTATTTATTTCGTACAACAATTATTCAGCACCATGTAAAACGTTTGGATCGTTTTTGTTTTCAAATTTGTAGACAACAATAATGTCAACCCAAAGAAAAAAGCAATTAATAAAAATCCGAAATGATTGACTGCTACATGTTTTAATTCAGCATACTGAATAAACAAAAATTAATTATTTTTTATTAATATAATTAAATAACATAATTAATATTAATACATATAATTAATCTACAGCTATTCAGTAGGTCTTGAAAACATTTGTTCACACCTGATCTCGCTCCAATAAAAATTACGTGTGCATATTTAAGACAAATAATAATCGAGACCAAAACTAAAGCTCAGTTTATACATTTTTTTTTTAATTATTTTTATTTATTAACAATAATTTTTTTGAAAATATATATATCACATCACTTATATATATATTTACAAGATATCATATTAAATAGTTAATTTTTTACTATTTTCAAATTTTTTAGCCGAATTTTGGGACAATATTGCAGCGGCAAACAAAAACTTTGAATGGGTTCATACTCACAAGTCACAATTATAATACAAACACAAAAAACGTTACTAATAATAAAAATATCTAACGTAATTACAGGCCCGTTCTTGACTTTTATTAGGTCCGGGGTAAAATTAGAATATTGAGTCCTTAAATATATTTCATATATAATAATATAATATATATTTTTTAATATAAATGTATTAATAAAATATTTTTTTATATATTAAAAGATCGAAATATAAATATAAAATTAATGTGATATATTTAGTATAATATAAAAAATTTAAAAAAATATATTTGATTTAATATTTTTTAAAGAATATTTTTATAAACAATCAAAAGTCTTTAAAAGAAAATTTTCGAACAAAAATATTTATTAAGGGTTTGTTTCTTTTGATTGGTTTAGGGAAAAATTTGGTTTGAATTTGATATTAAGATAATGTTTGATGAAATGTTTGTGAGAGAAAAACGCATATAAAAATTAGAAGGTTTAGATTAAATAAACAAACTCAATGTTTATATAATACACAAATTTTTAAAACTACTACTAAAAAATATAATAGATTATACAAATTTAAACATATAAATATAAAAATAAAAATAATAAGAACACTAAAATATTACTCTATCATATCTTTTTAATTTTACATAATTTACAAAAAAATATAAAATCATACCATTAGATAAACATACTAAAACATACAATTAAATAATTTAAAAATTAATGTAAAAATCATTTATTTAAAAAATAATTATAGAATAAATTTTTTATTTAAATTTTATTTTATAAAAATAATAATATATATATTAATATATAGGGGTATATATATTATTGGGCCCTTATGGGCCCCTAGAGGGAATTGGCCCTGGGCAAGGGCCCCATGGCCCAGGGCAGGGCCTGCGTAATTAATAAATTTATCAAAAAGAAAAAATTTGATCCACATGAATCACTTTGTCCTTGAATTGATATTAAGGAATAATATTATATATCCGTTCATTTACAAAGTGTACATATTTTTATTTAAAATTATTTAATTACAAAGTAAATATTTTAAAAATATATATTTTTTTATAAATACTCATATTTTACAATTATATTATTATTTTTATATCAAAAAGCAATAGTAAAATTATTTTTAGACTACTTTCAACGATACATTATAATCAAAATACTATTATTTTTTAAATTATACATTAAAAATTAAGTTGTATTTTTTAGTCGGACGAAGCCAAGAAGGGAGTATATATTATGAAAAAGAAAAATTGGGTATGTTTTATTATTCTATTTTTGTGTTCATATAATAATTGTTTTTCACTATTCAATTATTATAATTTTTTATAAAAATATATAGTATTTTTTGTTAACAATATTAGGAGGAATTTGGGATTTTAATATTATTTTTAATGTGGGATACAATCAAAGAAATAAAATATCACATTTAAAAGCAATATTAAAAAAAAAAAAAAAAAACCCAACTAAATACATCCACTATTCTAATGAAATGTTGTTTAGGTAATTCATTTAAATTATAATATAATATATTTTATTAAAAATAAATCTAAAATATATTAAATTACTTTAAATTTATTTCACAATAAATATATTGAATATGAACATTATTTTATATAATAATAAATTCACTAATTAAGATCATATATATTTATACATTACTAACATTAGCACAAAAACAAGTAGGTGTGTTTTTGGGGGAGTTTGCACAAATTTTACAATTTATCGATTTTTTTTTAGTAAAAATATGAAATCAAATAATTATTTTTTATTTTATAATATATTAAAAATTAATTTTGCATTCAAAATATTGCTTCAACGCCTATCGCATTATACAATTATTTAAATTTAAAATTTTTTCTATTCAAATCCCAAATCCAATCTCTAAATCCCAAAACAAGGAGTGACAAAAATAAGTACGGTCCGAAAGTCCGATCCAAACACAACACGAAAAAATCATATTTGACTTTAAAAAATAGGCGCAAAAATTTTTGAATCGTCTCTGGCCCGGCCCAGTTTTTGAAATTAATATTTAAATTTTAATAACTATATATATGTATTAATTTTTGAAATAAAACAAATTACAATATGACTTGTCTGTAAATTTCTTGGTTTTTGTATATTTTTTGTTGTAAGTTCAATTCCTCACTTTTATTATTTAAATATATTTTATTTTAAATTAATTCAAGCCTAAAAAATTAACAAAATAGTTTTAAAATAAAATAAAATAAAAAACGGGCCGATCGGAACTGCCCCTACCCAAAATAAACACATCCATGCAGTTCACATCCCACAATTAATTTATATGGACAGGGTTTCAATCTTCAAAATATCATAATTATTTTTTTTTTATGATGTGGGAATACACAGCCGCTACTAAAAAATGTGTTACCTTGCAAATTAGACCCGACAAAATAAGTCACATTGGGCGAACTATGCGTGACAAGTAACCTAGAAACGTCGAATATTTAAACTTATAATTTTACGGTCACGAGTTCATCCTCGCACCAAGAGGTCATCTCTTACGAGACTTTCAAAATATCATAATTGGTTGACAACACAGTTGTGGCAATGTTGTTACAAAAATATGTTTACACAACAATTTAGAGATTTTAATAATAATTAATTATTTTTTTAAATATCACATAAATATTAAAAAAAAAAATCAAAATATTACATTAGAACTAATATTTTACTATTTTTAAAATTCCAAAAATCTCTTGCCTAAACGAAACATACCTATGTCTCAAATATTTATATATATTTATATTCAGTTATTTTTTACAAGTAAATAATTTTTGTGTGATGAAGAGGGATTTCAATCTTTAAAATTTGACAACCGAATAGCTTATAAATAGCACACTTATGGTAATATAGTATTTTCTTTTTTTTTTTTTATCGGACACTTATGGTAATATTGTTGTTACAAAATGAGTGTGTTTACTTATAAGATTTTAGGACGTATTCTTTTTGTGAGAAAAGCATATATTTTTTCTCAAAAAATTAATATATTACATATTTATTATTTTTATATTATTTATACAATTTTCTATACTTACATAAAAAAAAAATAAAAAAAAAAATCTCTTCAAACTATTTTACAAATCAAATATACCATAGTTTTAAATTTTGATTTTCAATTGTAAAATTTTATTTGAATAATTATTTGATATGATATAAATATATATTGATCAGACAAGTAAATAAAACCATACTCTCTACCTAAAAAATGTAAATATATATATGTATATATTTTTTATATGTAGATAATTTATGTATGTTGGAGAAGGCTTCAATCTTCAAAACATCAATAATTGATTGACAGCACAGTTATGAGAATATTGTTGTTAAAAAAAAAAAAAAAAATTACATTTCAAATGTGTGTATTCATTTATTTTTATTTTTAGATAATTTTATTCACATTTGATTGACAGCAGATCTATGGCAATATTGTTACAAAATATGCTCTCCACATCCCAAATATACCTACAGATAAATTATGTGCTGATGACGTCATTCCTGTGTAAGAATATATTGACTAACATTAGATTGACCACATAATATATAAATAAATTACTGTACGTAAGGAATGATCTGATGGATTAGACGACACCGAAAATGACGGACTACTTCTTAGATTATATTATTTATTTATTATGCATTGTTTTAATCTTGTTCACTCAAAGGGATCTTGACTTGATCATCTTTTAATTTGCATGGGAAAAATAAATTTTTGAAATAATTACATCAAAAAATTAAATAAATAAATAAAATCATTTAAACATCTTATTCAATCCATGCTAGTTTCCAATTAGAAGTACACATAATTGAAGCTTCAAATAAAGTTGAGGAATCTGTGACTTATTCGACTTGGCATTAGGCAACTCGATCATGTGTCGTAATTAATATTCTCTTCGTCCCATAAAAAAATATCCATTTTTTTATTTTAGTCTGTCCCATAACAAAGTATTTATTTCTTTTTTTAAGTAACTGTATCTAACATTACAAATACTCTTACAACTTACAATATATTACACAAATGTCATTACATTTGTATTACACATACTAATAAGATTATTTTAGTCATTTCTACTTTATTCCTACTACATCCAAATATAATACTAATATTTCTAAAACTACGTACAAAAAGCAAATTAAAGCAAATTAATATTTATTTATGGGATGGAGTATTATTATTATTATTATTATTATTATTATTATTATTATTATTATTATTATAGCATGTAATATTTTATAAGATAAATATATATATTCAAAATATATAGTTCAAATAATAAAAAAAATCATATAAAAACCGAGAAAACACACCCTAATGTTTATTTTTAGGTCAATTTAAGGTTGACATAAAGAATATTGTATGTATTAGTTTTAAAGTATTTAATATGGCTGCTTTAATTGAAAAAAAAAAAGAAAAAAAAAAAGAAGAGAGAAATAATGGTGGGGTCATTATAAATGAGAACCTTAAATTCATAAAAATCATATATGGCATGGGATCCCTGCAATCACATGCAACACATATTTTCCCACACATGTTTTGCGCGCGCTCCCTACTATTTTCGTCGCCATCCCATCCAGTAATTAATGATTTTACTTTCTGGTATGTTCTAAAATAGTAGTTTTATTTTTTCGGTAATAAACTCTCAATATTTTACAAAATTATTTCAATTTTTCACAATAATTACATAAAATATGAGCATTTTGATTTTTTAAAAATATATTTAAATTACTATAAATATTATACTATTAATTTTTAATTATCATATCAATCTCAAATGTCTTGTTGTTTTGGACGGAGGGAGGATTAGGGCTCCAATCATCAACGTCATTATTTAAAATAAATATATATATAAAAAATTCTAATAAAAATAAAATAAAAAAAATAAGTGAAACTCTTTTAAATAAAATTTCATCCGTCCACTTGATAGTTCTATATTTTGTTATTTCAAGTTATCTAAATAAAAATTTATTTATTTTTTTAGTAAAGGTAAACTTCACTACATATTACAAATAGCATCTTATTTATCCTTATTTACATCAAATACATCTACAATAATTCTCACATTTATACTTTTTTACATTAATACTCCACAATAATTTCACAGTATAAGGATAAAATAATTTTTACATACAAAACCATTACAAAGATTTTATCTTTATATTTTAATTATATATAAAAAGGTATTAATTAATGTAATAAGCTTAAGTAATATTTAAGTTATACTATATTAAGTACATTTTTACTAAATATTTTGTATTTAGATGAATAACTATTAGTCATATTTGATTATTTCATATTTGTTATAAAATAGCATGTATTATTTCAAAATTTAATTTTAAAATAAATAGATCTAATATATATTAAGTATATATATAATAGGGTGACATGAATAAAAGAGAATATTACTCTTTCGAAATTCTGCTTCCTCCCTACCGTAAAATTATATAGTTTGGTTGAGTAAAAGAGATTTAGAAACAATAATAACATTTTAATATAAAAATAGAGTAGATAAAAAAATAAAATTTAGCTATAATAAAATGCAACATTAGCTAAACGTACAGGGTAAGGATATAATAATAAAAATAGCCTTAGCACAAAACAAGAAGAATGGCCAAACTGGGCTTAGAATGTATCATCAGTGCAGACAAAGAAATGTAGTTGGTAAAAAAAAATAAAGATAACAGATATAAAAATAAAATTGAATAATTTAAGAACAATAATACCATATCAGAATTGTCGATTGTACCTAGCCAGCCAGCCAGCAGCATTGTTGCCTTTCGAATTTTCGGCAGCGCCTTCGTCACCAGCTAACGTCAACGAGAAAGCCTCCAAAAATGTACACTTAAAACATCCTAATAGCCTTCTGTGTTCTCTCTAACCGAATAAAGAAGCTCACGCCACGAGCTGATCGAGTTGCATCTGCTCGAGCCACGAGCTCAAAGCCGAATGATCAATGGAGTCAGTTTGAGGAGGGTTTGGTTTCAAACACTCACCGGACGGCGCAGCAGCTGCGCCAGAAGCCGAAGAAGCTGCTGCTGCTGCAGGACGCTTGTTGTCCATCATCTCGGGTGGTGATTCTTTGACGAGGGATTGCACCCATGACAGGTCAGGGGCGTCGTCTCCATCAATGTTGTTGTTGGGGTTGACAAGAGATCGGTTTCTGTCGAGGGACCAATCCACTTTCGCTTCAGGGCTTCCCCACTTGTTATTATTAGCCCAATCGGCGACAGGCGACCCCATTGATGGGGCGCGCTTAGGTCCAAGATCCCAGGGGTGGACGAGGCTCTGCATCTGCTCGTGCTGAGGGAATGCCGAGAGGCGAGCACTCATAGGAGATGGATTCTCTAAGCTTCTAGGCGACATCCTTGGAGAAGGGATGCCGAAAGAAGCCTGAGACAGAGGGTGCTGCTCGACGCCCCTAGGAGAAAAGGAGTTAGTATTGATCTGTTGCTGCTGAAGTTGATTAAGAACAGCTGATTTGCGGGTAGGGGAGAAAACACCGGAAGCAGCAGCCATTTGATCGGAGAATCTAGGTGAAGATGTAATCTCAGATAAAAAGAGATCTTCAAGATTGGAAGGAGTCAGCATGGGTTTAGATGATCTACCAGAATGATTCAGCATCACAGGAGGATTAGGCCGCGACTGCAAAAAGCAAGCCAAATCGCTCAAACCCTGCGGCTGAGGCATAGGCTGACCATCGAAATCATATATAATGTTGAGATCCTCAGGCGGGATGTCGCGAGCACTTAGGGAAGATCTCAGCCGACTGGACTGGAGATTGCTGCCGGGGAGATGAAGAGCCGGAACACTCGGTTGAGGCCAACCAGTAGACGAATGAGGCATTCCATTTGCGGTAGGGGACATGGCGGTTGGATTGAATCCAGGCGAAATTACAGACTGTGATGTGGGAGATCCCGGAAAGTGGCTCAAAGCTGCTGCCATGTCCATGAAACCAGCTGCTGATGCAGCCGACCTTGGAGAAGGAACTCCCGATCCAGTAGAGACAAACAAAGGACGCAACTCCTGCTGGGTGTGAGCGAAAAAGCACACCTGTCTTGCACAGCTAGTTCCGTCTTTGCAAAGCCTTGTTCTATACTGAGCAGGGTGCAACCAGCATTCGAACACACCGTGTGCATACTCACACATGTCGCCTCGCCTACAAGTGCCCTTTCGAAAATCTGGACAAGGAACGCAGCTGTAATGATACTTTCTAGGGTCTCTTCTGCGGGCATTTTCACCGGGGTGAACGAAAGGGCATTCGGTCCAATCATGAGAATAGGCCCTCGAGCAAGGTCTGATCTTGAATGAATACATCCGGAACTCATCAGTGGCATAGATACTATTTCGAATGTCGGGAATAGATGGATCCACAGGATATTGCTTCTTCTCAGAGATACAATTACCGGGAATCTCACTCCCCTTTCGGACCATAGGAGAAGAAACGGAATCAGATGGTGAACAAGGAGATCTGCTCTCCGGAGATGACGATAAAACAGGCGATGATGCACTTGACGTAGACAGAGAGACCTGTAAATTACAGCCCCCAACCGAACCATCAGATGTATTGTTCATAAGCAGGTCCTCAAGCGCACATCTTGCACCAGGAAGCTTCGGAGGAACTTCGATCACATCAACCGAGCGTAGGCCATAGGCATCCTCAACATTCGGATCGGCTCCAGCAGACAACAGCATCTTCACGACATCATAGGCAGTAAGGGATCCTCCAAAAGCAGCACAGTGCAGTGCGGTCCATTTGTCGCTGCCACAGACTCGATTTAAATCAACCTCAGGTAGCGCAACTATCAATCTTAACACATCAACACTGCCATAAGTAGCAGCAACCATCAACGGTGTTCTTTCTTCCTGGATTATCTGCCTCGACCCTTTCTTCCTAACATACCATACTCCAACTTCATCAATTGCAGACAAATCAAGCTCAATGAGTCTCTTGAAAGATTCAGCATCGTTGTCAGCAGCAAATTCAAGTAAACTAGAACAGGAATCTTGAATCTCCACAGTTAATTTACTGGTGTCGCTCATATTTTTAGATTTTATAGCAGCAGCAATCGGTGGAAGGGGGGTTATTATTTGATGGATCTCAACCACAGCACACACTCCAGTCTCAACTGCAATCAACCAAAAAAATGTAGGTTCGAAGATTAGACATTAGCATAACCTAATGTCTGCAAACAATATTAAAATCACAATCAAAACAACAATTATTATATTATATTCAAAATTATACTAACAAGCACAAGATATTATAAATCTATATTTTACAATGACCCACAAGAGCAATATTTCTGGTCAAATGATAGCCCCTTATAAACAGAAAGTCACCAACTTTACACAACCTCAAGAACTCTTGTAATAGGATAATTTTTCTAGGCTCAAAACAGCAAAGACAACTATCCAGAACATGATACCAAATGTAAAGATATACAATATATATATATATATAAATACCTAATCAAAAGATCCAGAGTATTCCAATTGTACTTCTCTCTTCAGGTGCACTACGATTTCCATTTAACAAATTCTTTTAAAAAAAAAAAAAAAGTTGAATACACAGCCAGAAATGGGATTTGATATCCAATCCATACCAGAAAAGCGAGTAATTCCTTCATATTTCATTTAATTCAATCACTCACATAACTTCAGCTCTGTAAACTAAGCCCTAACCCTAGCAACAATCGGAAAATCATCAAATGCCAGCAACATCCAAAGAAAAAGCTCGTTGCAAAATGAAGTGGCATGAATCAGACGAAAACCCTAACAAATGATTCGAGTTTGAGTCCGTATATACAAAAATTAAAGAAATAAATACTCCGCAACACATATCGGACCAGATCAATCCTGACTGAAGTCAACGCAACTCAATAAAAGTTCCAAGCAGAACAAAACTCACCAAAGGCTGCAAAAATCAACACTTCCACCCAAGATCTGCGAATCCATCACTCGATCACCGATCCGACGCTGGGAGCGTCAAAAAGTAGCACACCAAAACATCCGAAGCAGTAACCGAGATCTCCATCATTCAGATTAGTCTAAATACAACTGCGAACGGATAAGAAGCGGAGCAGAGAAGAAAGCGACTGGCAGGAACCCTTGGGTCCGGTGGAGGAGAAGATGAAGAAAGACAGAGCCACAGAGGGGGGGTTTGGCGGAGCGGTTTTGAAATTGAGATTCAAATGAAATTGAAATGCAAATGAAATGACATTGAAATTGATGAGAAATGAAATGAAATTGCTAGTGGGGCCCGGTGGAATGGTGCGTACTAGGTCGTGTTTGGCTGCTGTCAACAAGACTTTTTCATGCTTCCTATTATTTAATTTTACTATTATTATTATTTTAGTAATAACAATGAATCTATAATATCCGAAGCCTATAAATATAAAATATTCTATATACTACATTTGACTAAAATTTTTTTAATTAAATTATTTCTAAATTACAGATAATTATCTTAGTCAATTCAAGTGATTGCATCATTAGTTATATTTTAATCACTACTAAAAATATATATAATTAAAAAAAAAATAACTCAAAAGAAAACGGAAGAAAATACATTTATATATAATAATAATAATAAGATGATGTACATATGTAGTTTATAGTTGATTAAGTTGAGCTACCTATATTAATTTAATTTAATTTAATTTAATATAATATATATTATTTATTTAGTGTTGTGATCGTCAGAAGGCCAAATGATGGTTTCTAGAAGCCTCTCTCTCATCAGCTTCAAATTCTCTTCTTCGATCTCTTTGTACATTTCCCCATGGTCGCATTTCTACCTCCATAGCACCCACAAAATGAATCACTAAATTAATCATACAGAAAAAATAATAATAATAATAATAATAAAAACTATTTTAAAATTTATTTTTATATTTCAGTAGTCACTATTTAATTAAGTAAATAAATGATAAGTAAGAACCCTAAATCCAAAGAACATAGTAATTTGTAAAAACTTACCTTAATCCATCGGCTGTAGAGAGCAAGGCGTGTGATCATTACTCGTTCGGCTAGCTCTTGTCTTTCCTGCATTATAATAACATGTTTTTTTAGTATTTTTAATTAATTAATTAGATGAAAATTTCATTTTATAGAGTTTAGATATTCAGAAAATAGTGTATTGGATTGGATGGATATATATTTTTTAGACTATAGATTACATTGTGCAGAAAAAAAGTTGATGAAAAACATAAATAAACAAGTATTAACCTTAAGTTATTGTGGATTAGTTTATTTGGTTGTTCGAATATTTAATTATTGTAATAAATTAACAAGTAATCATTCTGTCTGACTTTTCTAACCCACAGTCGCTATTTTTTCAAGTGTCTTTCGAATATATTTCTATCGAGCATAATAGTTTGCGAACTAATTATAATAAGACAAGTCACACCGGCTAAATAAACCATATCTGAGCAAGTAATCTCGATGCAATAACATTGTTAAAAATTGTAATGTTTATCTTGTCAAGATATTCTCAAATTGAATGTATATGAATTATTTATAGCTATATACAAATCAAAAATATTATTCACGACTTAATGCGTCGATCTTATTTAGATTTGATTAATTTTTACGTTAATTTTGTAACGATAATAAAGCTAAACTTTGGCTCGAAATAAATAGTAAGCCTAATCTATCTCAATTCTCAACCTAAGCCAATGAAATGTCAAGGTTGTAAACTTTTACTCTGATCAAGTTAACTTTTATTGAATGCAACGTTTTATATAGAAAAATAAATATAAAAAATATAAATAAAAAAGAACATATTTTTATAGTTCTAAAAACAACATGAATGTACTCAAACCTCAAAGTTTGTGAGAATGCACATTGGATCACAAACATATCGACATCCAATACTAATGTCTTCGCAAGTAATCATATAATCGAGCGACAAATGTAATAAATTTACCTTGACAAGACTCTGAAGAAAGCGCTTCGCTTTCCTTGGCTCATTATCTGCAGCAAAGCTGTGATCAAAGCGTCGCAATTAAGTTATCTAACCATAATTCCGCAACCATATATATAGTAGCTTTATTCTTTTTAATATTTTCTCAATTTTTCTATTATACAATCTTATTGTTTCCATAAAACGTACTCATTTTTTTATAGAAAATATCACATTCAACCACTATATTACTTAAAAAAAAACACACACATTTTGTCGGCACGCTCGCTTACTTGTTGAACCATTTGTATTGCGGCGGATTGAGTTCGTAGAGCTGATCAAGAACTGTCCTCACTGCTTTAATGGTGAAGTAATTCATAATTTGCTGCCAAAAAAATGAACCAAGTTGGTAAATATTGCGTTGCATTTCTTAAACTTTTTTAAGTGAGACAGTCATTTAATAACCGATAAAATTATTTATGTAAGTAAATACTTTTTTTTATATATAGAAAATTAAGTAGCTGACCAGTTTGACATCAATGAAAGTGTCATCATACTGTCCTCCTAATTCATCGACAACTCGGAAGCCGTTACTACGTCTTCGTCGTCTCGTCATCAGCCCACCGTTTCTCGCGGTGTTGCTCAGCATTTTGGCTATGAATGAGCTGCTCAAATCGAGCAACCTTGTCGGGATTTGTCCTCCTTTGCAGGGGTACGACGACGGCGGGGAGGGGAGGCGGCGAGGCGTGTCGGTGAAAGGCTTCAATGGTGCAGCAGCAGCCACTGCCATGGATATGTTCTTTAGAATCTGTGTGTGTGTTTTTTGTTGTTATATATGAGATTTTTTGTAGGTAGAAAGTAGTAAAGAGATGTTTTGATGAAAAATGGGATCTTTGTGATATGTTTTTTGTGTTGGTTGTTTGTTTGAATTTTGAATTTTGGTATGTGGCTGAAAAAGATCCACAAGAATGAATTAATGGTAATTGGCAGCCAATTGTGGTCTTAGTTTCCTGTTTTGAGGGGACATTATTAAAATATCTGCAGGTTTGGTTTGAAAAGCAATATTTGGGAAATCAAAATGTTTGGATTTATTTCAAAATTACTATTTTCATCCACTAAATTTATTTTTACTTGGTCTGTTTAGCTAAATTTATCATACTGATTTAACAAAAGTCACTTTGAAAAACAAATTCAAGTCCCATGTTGGAAATTAAAAGAAAAAATCACTCTTATGACCTTTTGGAAAAAATTCAAAATCAGATCGGACAGGCTCAACCCTATTAGTGTTGAATTGATCCAATTTTAAATTCAAATATTTATTTCCAACAAATATTACTAACTATATTACATTCAATTTATTTATTTATTTTAATTTGTAACTAAAGTTTAAAAAATACCTTCCACGGTCATTTTTTTAATAAAATATTAATTTTTGTTAAATGGAACTAAGTGAGCTATTTCTAATGGACAAAAGAGTAGTATTTAACCATAATAATTTTAAAAAATAAAAAACTAAATATATGTAAAATTAACTGGGAAAAAAATTGCTTACAAAAAAAATAAAAAAACCTACAAGCACGAAAACTATTTAACTATTATTTCAATTAACTTTAACACATTTATATCGACAAAAAGAAAGGAGTATAAATTGGCTTATAAGTTACAACATACAATTTCATGTGATCTTCTCAGACAACCAATAATTATAGCAGCTTCAAGTATATCACTCTCTAAAGAATATAATAAGCACATAAATAATCACAATACCAATATGATCATCTTCAACCCAGACAAAAAACATGCACCCAACGTACACCACCCACCCGTGAAGAAGAGAAGCCTTTTACCTAGCAGTTGATGCCACACTGCTCGACGTCGGGGCCGGTGACTTTCGTGGTGAACGGGTCGATCCGAACCCATAGCAAAGAAAAGATCGAAGCAAGCAGAATCGACCACACGACGACAATGGTGGGCGTCCTATTCTGGCGACCCATAAGACCTTTGAGGAAAGGATAGAGATGAACGATCACCCAGAAAGCGAAGAAAAGTTTGCCGAAGAGGGGGCCCCACGACTGGTATCCGCTGTTGATGGCGTAGGAGATGCCTGCGACGACGCCCACCAAGTTTACGATGAGGAGGGTGGTGGGGGGAATGAGGAGGGTGGTCCATTTGAACATGTAAAGTTCGGCGAAGTCTCCATCTTCGTCCGAGGCTTTGGATGTAACAGTGAAGTTGGTGTCGATTCCAGCGAGCACCTTGAGAAGGCCTTGGAAGACGGCAAAGAGATGAGCTGAGACACCTCCGATGACCCAGAACTGCTCGTTCCTCCACCACTCGTCGATCCCGACGCCGCTCCACCTCATCTCGAGTATGCCCGTGGCGAAGATGGACAAAAAAAGGGATAGAAACCAGATACTCGCGAGATTACTAATCTGCAATGGAGATTTAAGTATTTATTCATTAATGTGTATTGATGGCGTGAAATGTATCGATTTTTGGAGGGAGAAAACAGACCTGTGGGATGATGAACTTCCCCGTGAGTAAGCAGACGGCGGGCAACGTGCAGTAAAGTAGGAGAGGAATGGCGGTGACGGGGTATATTGTGGTGTTGACATATGCGAATCTTTCTAGCCATTTTAGCCTTCCTTGGTAGCCATACCATATAGGGCAATGCCTGCTGAATAAAATCTCGACAGATCCCAAGGCCCACCGGAGCACTTGATTCAAACGATCTGAGAGATTGATTGGAGCTGATCCTTTGAAGGCTGGCCTAGGCGGCATACAGTAAATTGATCGCCATCCGCGTGCATGCATTTTAAATCCTGTGAGAATATCTTCTGTGACAGAGCCGTAAATCCATCCTATCTGCATTTAGCATGGAAAAAAACCAGCGTTCTTATTATGAACATTATGGTAATGAATCTATCCCATTCAACATTCGGAATTATCTATCAGGTAAATTACAATTTGTTTGGTGGACTTTCATTCTAATGAGTACAAAACCTAATTAAATTTTCTTTTATGGTAATGAGTACCTAAGGGTTTCAAAACGAAGAGATTCCTAAATCAAATTTAGATTAGTTTTCCGAACATGAAATTATAATCTCATTTATTCAGGCATGCTATATGAATTTTAATAATCACAAATAAAACAGCATTTTAGCAAACCATACAGAACATTGCATGAGAATTAGTAATACTGGTTTACCTCACTTCCCCATTCCGTCTTATCTTCATAACCACAACTAATGACATGAATGGCCTCTTTTAGAAGATTTTCGGGAGTAGCAGACTGTGGAACACCACCATTCTCCATTAAGGTCGACGCAACGAAAACTGCAGATTGACCAAATCTTTTTTCGAGGCTCATCTGGGACATGAGCAGTGACTTCTCATCATCAAATCCAGCACCTGACTCGGATTCAATACAGGTAAAGTTTAGCACAAACTAATAGACAAAATTTCTTTGTATTATTTCTTGAATCTATGAGCTAACAGAAGCATACCTTCAACGCCTTCCTCTATATCCTCCAAGCTGAAAATAGGAACAGTCGGATCAACATGCTTGCCAGATTTCTTTTTATCAGAACCTTTCTTGCTTGATTTAGAATTTTTCTTTCTAGATCCACCACAGAGGGAAGATAACACCCCAGGTTTCTTATTCTTAGGTTTGTGAGGAGGTTCATAACCATATAGTGCTGTTCTATTGAAGACACATCCTGTGCCCACATACACAGGGCCCTGAATTCCATCTAAACCCCTCAAGTTGATCTGGAATGCAAGAACAAGAGCAAGCAGAAATTAGTTGCAAAGACACAAGACAAATACAACATCTAAATATAAAGTAATTTTCCCACTTCAGGTAGTAAAGAGTAGCTTCTCCTATGACCGATTTTAAAAACAAATGGCAAAGATCAACAACATCAATAGTAGTGATGAACTCACATCAAAGAAGACAGTGTTGCGGTTAGCATATCGATCACTTTTGTCTATACCATCAAACCTCTGTGGAAATTGAACATAGCACACATATTTCCCAAGGTTTGGGTCCATGAGGAAGCACATTGCCTCCCGCAAGGCCTTGCTGTTGTTTATGTAGTGATCACAATCAAGATTCAACAAGAATGGACCATTTGTAAGAACTGCAGACACTCGGACCTGCAATTAGGTATGTTTAATGACAAGCCTGCGAAGCAGGACAAAATTATAAAGTGAAATTCTTAATATTTGATGACTTACAAGTGCATTCATAGCACCAGCCTTTTTGTGATGCTGAAAACCTGGACGCTTCTCACGAGAAACATATACCAACCTTGGCAACTCATTTCCATCACTGTCAAGGCCCCCACTTTGGCCCAGAAAAACCTGTAAGAATAAAGATACAAATAATGCATCATACATACACATATATATACTGCGGCATATAACTATATGCATGTCAACATTATATCTTCCATCCAAATAAATAGAAGAAAAACTACAACATTCACCTGGATCATTCCTGGGTGATCTCGTGTATTATTTCCAGGCCATGGTGTACCATCTTGCATAATCCATCCTTCTTCAGGAACCTTTTGGGCCTTGGCAACAAGGGAATTGATACGAATTTTGAATTCTTCGTATTCTCTCTATAAGAACAAAAACAGGACGAACAAACATATGATACCCGACAACATTGTCAGCCAATAGTTCCTACAATAAAATTACAGAGCACAACACTCACCTTCATAGCCCTGCGATCTTTTACAAAGGATGGCTGAACTTTATCCTTCAAGTAGTCAATCTTCTGAGCAAAGTACCACTCAGGAGCTCGAGGCTCAATGTTGTATCTTTTGCAGAATGGTACCCATTTCCTTGCAAATTCAGCTGTTTCTGATAGAGCTTCAAATGTCAACATTGCAGAACCATCATCAGAAACATAGCATGAGACCTTGTCTACTGGATAGTCCACCGAGAGAATTGATAAAACTGTATTAGCTGTAACAAGAGGAGGCTCCTTTAGAGGATCGACAGTACTGACAAATATGTCAACAGCAGCCAATTGTGATGGTTCTCCTTCACGATCATATCTGTAGCACGTTTAGAGATGAATTTCCAAATCAGAGGGGAAAATCAACCATAATCTGAAGATAGAATCAGAACAAGAAATCTATGAAGAAGATTATGATCTAGATCGTTGTAACATTAAAAAGAACTAGAGAACATATGTTACAATTGTAGAAGCTAAGCAGTCTTTTCATCTTCTTAGGCCAATTACAATATATGGGCCAATCAGTATACAGCACTTGTAGCTGAATAATTATCTCACCTGATAGCAAGTCTGTCGAGATATGTTTCACGGTTTACTGGTAGCCACTTTGGGAACTGATCCAGAATCCAGGATATAGCAAACCATATCTCACAGATTACAGAAATCAACCACAAAGCATACGCATTGGGAACAGGATTCGTTATTCGGTAATGTAAGAAAATGCAGAGAATTGCCAACCGCAAGACAATAACCATCCTGTAAGGATTTATCCTAGACGATGGAATGGAAACCTTCCTGGATAGAGGCTGTCGAGCTTCATCATTCCTGCATCATAAAAAATAGTAAGCAAAGTAGAAAATGGTAGTTAAGAGTCAGTTTTTATATGAACATGTCATACAACAGATCATTTATGAGCTTCTTGCACTGATATATGACCAAGCTGAGGCTTTCCATGTAATTCATACAACAGATACAAATGCAGGAACTCAACAATGGTCGAGTTAGAGATACAGGGAGGGTGCTGCAATTGGTGAGTGTTTAGTGTCAACTGTTCCCACGCTATTCAAGGGCAAGAAATGGGCAAGAGGGATTGTTATATGATGTGACACTTGGTCAACTACATGATGGCCACAGCATTCATATTCAATTTTCAACGAAGCAAAACTCACAGTAGAGAGTCATCGACTAATATGTCTGTGCTTGCATCAATATCCCCAGCTCCCCTTTCTGAAGGAGGGTGGCTTGCAGTCATCGGTGCAGCAGGCTTTTCATGTTTCATCTTCCAACCATCAACTCTTTCTTTCCAGGCAACATTGCCTAAGCCAGGGGATCCAAACTCCCTCACAGGATCGACAATCCTAGCTGCAAAATAAGATCATACTATACCTTAAGAGACTCAAAAGCGAAAAGTAAAGATGATGTGATTGATTTAAATTGCTTGCAAAGGACTACATTTTCCACTACCACCAGGAGGAGGAGATGCCATTGAAAGGCGCCCAGGTGATGCTGCAGAAAGTTCTCCAGAAACCTAAAGGCCACAGGAAGTATTTATGTGAAATTCTGGCATAAATGTATTGTCATTTTACATACTAACACAAACCACTTAAGCTTACATCTGTTCCGTTTGTAAGCAAAGGAATGTGGTTGTGGGAGACTTCCTTATCATACTTTGGTGCATCATCCGCTTCTCCTTGCCCATGTTTCATGTGCCAGCTAGACATGCGTTCTGAGATTTTCTTCTCAACATTCTGATTTTCTGAATAGTGAAGATCATCACCGCCGTCATCAGCAACATCATCTTCTTCCCTGTCGCCACGAATTGCAGGGCTTCCTATTTACAAGTTTTTACTTACTTCAGATTATCTTCTTTGATAGAAAGGCAGTGATCAATATTAAGTGCAGGATTTCACATTTACAGACATAATTCGTTGGGAAATGAACATTATAAATAATCACTGTAGTTGATTTGCCACAATTATAGGATCACTTTTTTACAAGGACTCAACATCATACCTTTGTGTCTCTTGTATCGGGTTTTGCACTGAGGGCAAGACTGATTCCCGTCCTTTCTCTCATATTCATAGCATGGCCGGCAGACTGGAAATGCACAGACATCACAAGCAACAAATGGATCGCCATCAACAGTCACCCCCACGTTGTCACCACAGATCTGGCACACCTGACTGCTCATGTTCTTCAAGGTTTTACCCTAGCATTTGTGAACAATTATATAGTTAAAAGAACAGTTACTCGCGCACATGTATATATGCATACATGTAGAGAGAGAGAGAGGAAGAAGAAGAAAAAAAAATACGGATAACATATCAGGTCACTGCACCAGAGAAAAAATATCTCTCAATACTCAATCACCCAACCAAGAAATGGATTCAGTATCCATGCGTATCAATGCATACACATTCTTCCAAATTGATAAAACAGCCGATGGTCTTCTACTAACCTTGGTTTCTACTTCAGATTCCATTGGTACTTGACTTGGACAAGAAAAACCGATGGGATCACAACTAGCTAATTACGAACCTCCTTTAACATCCCCAATTAGCAGAACCACCCCTGGAAAAGATATCAAACATCATCAGCTTAAACATTTTCAATTGGAACGCCAACAACAATAACAACAACAACAACACAACTTCGAATTCCTCGATCAACACTCAATAGATCAGATTCGCTCAGTTACCAATTCAGAACAAAAAAAAGACGAAGGCAATCACGCAGTGGAAAAATAAAAACTAAATCCACACAACTTAGATTTCGCCTACTCCAACGCCAAGGAAACGCAATTAAGTCGAGGCAAGCAAGCCAGTAGTCAACTAAACTTCAATTCACACGAATACTCCCTCCTCAAACAACACTACAAGCTGCATTGCACCAACACCGACGGAACGGCTAACAAACACACTACACGGCATCGTCTTACTCACCTCACGATCCAATGGCCGCCGCAATAACCGCCAGCTCCGAGATCAACTAAATCAACATCAACACCGATCAATCGACCACCAGATCTGGAAAGGAAACGATCGAAATCGGCAATGAAATGGAGAAATCGGTGGCGACATAAAAGGAAAGATAATTCGAGTGAGGGTATGTGTACCTACTGTCGGCATGTGTCTCCGCCTCGCCAAGATGAGCTGTTACTGAGCAGACAATTGCAATCAAGTTGTATATAATTACCGTTATTATTTATTTATTTCTATATATAAATGAAAAAGGAAAATGGCGTGTAATGGAAGAAAAGGACAGCAGAACTGCCCCGCGAGTCCACCGACAGGACGACGAGGCGACGAAGATGGTGGTACTCTGGTTAAAGCATGCTTAGGTCTCTGCATCGAATGCTTGTACATTTCGACCTGTTTTGCCCTCTTTACAATTGATTTTTATTTATTTATTTATTTTTGAGATGGTTGTTGAGACATCATTGATTTTAGTTGCGTTGCAATGATTCAAGGGTTCAAGCTATTGGACCGACGGAAGCCTTCTAATGTTAGTAAAATAAAGCGGTGTTAAATATTTTATGACATAAAGAAAAGTATTTAATATAATTTTTATAAATTGTTTTTAATATATAATATTTTAAAAAATTATATAAATATCTATATACATATATCCTTTTTGATTTAATTGAATTTTGTAAATTTAACTCTTGTTCTTCTAATGTTTTATTTTGTGTTATAATTAATTCTACCAAGGGCCTTTTTATGTAATTGTTTCAAAATATATTGTTGTATATGTTTACTATTTTAGTTTGAAGTGGTTTTTTTTATATAATGTTGTTAGGGTAAAAGTTCAATGATAAAAAATACAATTCTAAAATATATTTTGAAGAAGTATCTGAGATTACTGATCCTAAATCAGGTAGTACATGTACATAATATTATTAAAGAAAATAAAAATAAACGTCGAAAATGATAACTGAAAATAACACGATGATCCCTAATGATATTCTCTTTGAATTTTGTCTGAATGTCCCCTCTCTATCGCGCTAAGGGTGCATATATACGTGTCAAACCGTCCAAAACCACTTTTATATTGGTTATCCTTGAACCGCTCAAAAAACCGCTTTTATGTCGATAACGGTCAAAAAATTGTTTTCACGTCGGTAATCGTAAAAAAACTGTTTTTATGTTGGTTACAAATTATCCAAAACTGCTTTCTCGTCAGTTACCGATTTGAACTGTCCGAAATCGTTTCGTCATTGGTTACCAATATAAAAAAACTGCTTCCACGTTGATTACAAATATGAACAGTCAAAACCACTTCCACGTTGGTAACTTTTGTTGTCAACCAACCAACCGTCCCATCAAAACCGTTTACACGTCCGATCAAAAAAAAAAAAAAATTCATTTACACATGGGTAACCTTTTTGATCAAACCAACCGTCTCAAAACCCACGCTCAAATGAAAACTGTCCGTTAGCCAATCGTTCAACCGGCTTGGCCCAACAACCATTCCGACCTAATGATTCTGATCTACCACTTGGATAGTGTCCATCTATTCATCCTTAGCTCAAACTTTAATTTTTTTTTTTTTTATACTCAATAAATATAGGAATCAAATATAAAAAAAAAAACAATATTTTGAATTAAATGTAATTTTTTAGATATTTTCGTTCGTCTATATATCTCTTTTTATCTAGTCTAATAAAAATAATTCATATATAAATATTAAAATATTGCAATCTTGTATAAAAATATTCAATTTTTTTATAATTATAAAAATAAAAAATATATAATTCATTTTATATATAAATACTAATAAGAGCATACAAAAAATTATTTATGTGAACAAAGTAGTAGATGAACAAGCCAAATTGTAAATTCACATATAGGCTATGAGTCAAGCGAGGCCCAAAATCAGGCCCATTTAGAAATGATATTAAATGGGCTCTAGCCTAATAAGTTATTGATGAAAAACAAAATTGAAAAACGAAATTCGGGATGGCTTCCTCCCACTCCACCGCTCTCTTTCTCCGCCTCCAATCGCCACCGTACTCCGCCGCCAGCCACTTTGCGGTCACTGTGTGACCATCAACACCGGTCCTCCTTTTTCTCATATCATCGTTTTACGGCCAGAAGACTTTCTGACGCATAGCTTGAGGTATTGACGATAATAACACTTATTAATATGAATTGAGTTTAGATTGTACCGAAAAGGCATCTTTTGTTCCGGTAGGCTGTTAGTTTACCAAATTCCAAGCTACTGCATTTGCACTGATTAACTCTCGAGTGTTGTCTAGAAGGGTTTTGAGCTTAGGTTGAGAATTGAACTCCGCATTGGTTATCTAGTGAAATAATTAGTTTGAATGAGTTTTTTCTTTTTTTTGGTGGGGGGGGGGGGGGGGGGGTTTAGAAACGAAGAATTTCGTTAGGAAATCATCAGTGCTCTTATACCACTAGTAGTGAGGAATAGGAGAATATCCAAGCAAACAATTAAACCATGAATAAGAAAGAGTGGTAAAGCTATTTTCATGATTTTTGTTGATATGAATCGTACACTAAATAATTGAATTTGAATTAGAAATTTCGACCCATCAATATGAATTTGACACAATAATAATTGAAGGCTTCAATTTTAATCCTGAGATAACAATTTGATTATAATATATTAATATTATTTAGTTATATATAAAATCAATTTAATCGGGTGGGTTTGAGCTGGTCGAGTTCTTCGTGCATACCCATTGCCTGGACTCCTCTGGATATAAACTCAATCCTATACGAAGAATAATACTTCTATCCACAGGAGAGTTCTTGTAGCATTTAGATGATAAAAGTCTAAACATATTCAAATAGACTTTCAATGAACTTTGGGATAAAATCTTGAAAGCTCTTGATTTTGTTTGGGGGGAAAAAAAGAGGGATATTTGCTAACTACTTGCATGTAATCTGATTGTTGTAAGCAGATAAAATGCTGGTGCACTTGAGGTCTCGATTATTGAATCAGAGTTTTTCATCTCTAGTCAACTTTTCGTCTCTGCATCCCTACAAAACCACATCCTCCCCTCTTTGCCTGGCACTGCAAACATCCATTCTTCGAAAATGCAACATCCACTATACATCTGCTGCCAAGTCTCCAAGACCAGTGACAACTTCAGAGGAAGCCAGCCGGTTCGTGCGGAATGTGCTATTTGTGCCACCTGGAGTTGATCCAGAAGAAGTTACTGAAGAAATGGTTTTGCCTGGATCAAATATTGTGATAGGGCCATACGCAGGTGATGCCAAAATCAAAGAGGTAGATTTCGTGAAAAGTAGTAACCGGCCAAAGGATTGTCCCAAGGATGATCGACCTGAGTTCGCCATGTTGGGCCGGTCTAATGTTGGCAAATCTTCTCTCATTAATTGTTTGGCACGAAAAAAGGAGGTTGCTCTCACTTCCAAAAAGCCAGGTGACATTTTTGTAGTTTTATTTGCCTTGCTTGTTAGATACTTATTAATCAGTTGTCTCTTTGTTTTCTTTTCAGCTTTTTTAGGCTGGGTAATGTTGTTTTAAGTGAACGATGGAATAGTTTGGTTTCACTTACTTATTTCAAAGATATTTTAGCTGCTCTTTTATTCTATTTTATTTTTTCAAGGATATTGTTTGATTTTATCTTATTGTGTAATTTTCAGGGAAGACTCAGTTTATTAATCATTATTTGGTTAATAAAAGCTGGTACATTGTGGATTTGCCTGGCTATGGGTAAGCTCCTGGTTCATTTCAGTTGTTGAACCATCTTATGTAGTTCTCCATTTACTTTTCTGGAGCTAGTTGATTTTTTAACACGCCTCTGTTCTAATTTTTTAGTTATGAAAATACCTTCTGAAATTTAGAAGTTAATATGAAATGTCATGCTGTATATTCTGAAAGTTTGCAAAATATATATGTAAGAGAGAATCTTTGGACTCAAAAGTATGAGAAATACAATAGGTAAGCTTTTTCATTAAGAAATGGAATATACTATTACTTGGTAGGAAGTGGACTCAATAAACATAAGAAAATTTTGTATATGATTAATTCGAATTTCAACCATAGATTCACCAAATAAAGCTTTGGATTCAATTTGTAGACGCTAAGGTTGCATGTGCAGGGTTATATATATGTATGAAGATTGCTGGGCTAGGTTCAGTGTAAGTGACTGGATGAGTTTGATTTTCGGTTGAATTGATCCAAATTTACCTGTGTCTGTTCTAAGATCTTCAATGACTGGAGCATACAAATGTATACATATGTATTTGCATGAAATGCATTCATTGGTGTGGTGGAGTTAGGATGGTAAAACATTAGGCAGTGCATAGATTCCCCATGACCCAGACTATGTTCAACATTTGTTGAATACCCTAGGGGCGTGACTATGTATGAACAATGCATATTTGACTTTCATGTGTCGATGCAAGAAAAAGAAAATTTTGACAAATATGCACTGGAATAATTTAGTTTTACTACCACACCTAACATAGATCATAAGCAAATCTGTCCTCCAATTTATACACTGGAATAAAATTATTGATTTGCCTTCAAACAATCAATCTGATGCAGATCCCATTATCTACAGTTTTGCTAATGCCCCCGATGCTGCAAGAATGGATTGGTCCTCGTTCACTAAAGGTTATTTTCTGAACCGAGAAAGTCTGGTATCAGTTCTACTTTTGGTTGATGCCAGTGTTCCACCACAGAAAATCGACATTGACTGTGCAAACTGGCTCGGGAGAAACAATGTATATTTACTTCAGTCCATAAGGTTGTATTCTTGAATACATACATTTGTTAGAAACACTATTATGTGGCCATGTGTTTGTGTGCCCTTACAGATACCAATGACTTTTGTTTTCACAAAATGTGATAAAATGAAGAGAAGCAAAGGGAGGAGACCTGATGAGAACATCATAGAATTCCAAGAGGTGATCAGAGAAAACTACCGGAAACATCCTCCATGGATAATGACGAGCAGTGTGACGGGGCTGGGCAGGGATGATCTTTTACTGCATATGTCACAGCTCAGGAACTATTGGGACAACGAGTAGTCTGTATGTACACGGCAACCTTGAAAAATGAAGGTACTCAAACTTCTTATCAACAATTTATTTTTTTTATTTATTTATTTTTATTTTAGACTAACCACTGTGCCTTGTGAACTCCCGACATGTTAGTTATTTGCACTATCCATTTTTGTTGAATTACATCCTAAGATGGAGCCTTAGTTAGCCATACTTAGTCAGAAGTTGTTTTGGGACAAGATAATGCACTCTTGAGCAGAAAATAAGGTTGTGTCTAAATATCTTTTCGGATTTTTGACTGGTTTGGAAATAGTAAAAAGTTAAATGAAATATTAGTATTTGATATAATATAAACAAATAGTGTTTAGATATGATGTTTAGAATAGAACATATGTATTTTGATGTAAGAAAGTAAGTGAAAAATAGTTACTGAATATGATGCTTTTATGGAGAAATTCTAATAAATACTAGTAATTACACAAAGCATACGAGTTTGGATGTAATGTTTTAAATAAAAAACAAATATTTGATTTGATGTTTGAAATAGTTGGTAATATTTGGACTGTATCATATACAAAAATTTCAGCTAACTCTTGGAGTAGTGAATGTTAGCCGAAGAAATGCTAGATGAAAAAAGGCGATCATTCGAGGCAAATCTAGCCGATCCTGGACGCTGTAGGTGGGAGCAAATATCTGGTTTTCACACTACAAGCTTCCATACAATTTGGTATTGAACAGGTGCATGCCTATATATCCTTGCAAATTGTAGTCTAGAATACAAACTCTGTTCTTTTACTGTTTTTGTAATAGTGAAATTTTTATTGTTGTTATTGAATGAGAATTGTGAAAATATGTTGTTTAGGTATAACGTAATTTTTGTTATCTTTTAAGTATTTTGTAGGAGGAAATAGCCAAACTTGTTGTATTCATAATATATTTTTATTATTGTTGGGAGAGGAAAAGGCACCCATTTGTTTAGAAAGACCCGAGAAAAGTATTAACAAATTATATATTAAATACATAACCAAACAAATCAAACAAATTATTAATAAGTTCACATTCTATATATTCAACGATTAATATTATTACATCTTATCGTAAAAAAATTAAATATTTTTCACGAAATATATTGTATAATATATATATATATATGGAATCCAAAGAAAGAGAAATAAATGCAATAAAAGACCATTGACTATTTACTGAGTATTATATTTCATTTAAACAGAAAACCAATACTGTAAAATACATGCATATATATACATACATAAATACCTGAGACTTGCTGTGAAGTTTTAACATTCATGGAAGTAGCAAACAGGGCTTTTCATCAATTACAGGGTGGCAGTTCGGCAAAGAACCGCCGGAAGATTCTCCCTCCGACTCCAAATTCTCGTAGCCGCCACCGGCGATGTCCACATCCACCAAGAGAGGGCTTACCGGCAACGAATCTGCTGTTTCATCGACACCATCAGCACATCCTCCATTGCTGTCGACAGAATCATGAGTCAAAGAAACTTCGGCGCTAGATTCGACTGTTCCATACAGAAGAGCTTCGAGTAAGGAGTCGGGATTGCTGGAGGTGACCGGAGTGAATTTAACGTCTAAGATAGGGAAGTTGAAGTCCAATAAAGAACTCGACGACTCGAATGTATGATCTTTGATGCACTCTTGTTCTGTCGAAGCATTTCCTTCTAGAACTTCGGATGTGTTCGTAGAGTCGCGAGGGGTTCCGGGATTAGTTTCATCATCAATCTGAACCGATATGTTGCTTTTCACCGAATCCTTGGCAAGATCCGACTTGGGATCGTCACTAGAACTGTCCGATGTATTTGCTTCCGAGCTTGGGTCTACCATACTTACGTCGATCGAAACATTCGAGGATTCAATGCCATGAGAGGAAGCCTCGAGGTTGTGTCCCTTTTCGTCGTTTTTAAGTTCAAAGACTATATTCAAAGAAGACTGAGCATCATTCAAATCATCGTCATTTCCGGTTTCATCTGCCGAAAAGTCGGGAGCTGTGATTGAAAGGACTCGGGTGTATTGCAAGGACTCTTTACTACCGATGTTTTCTGCAACAAGAAATTCTTGACCTTCGATTACCTCACAATCGCCCGAAGTTGTTTGAACATCAGGAGGATGGTTCATAGCAGACGACAAAAATCCATTGAGTGCTGCGGCTAAGGCATCATCAACTGAAACAGCTTTCTTTGGTTCTAATTTAATGCGGGGCGAATCCTCCAATGGTGCCACGCTGTTGTCCTCTTCATCTTCATCGTATGTAAACTTAGGAGCAGAAACAACAAGGCTTGGTTGAAGTTTTGCATCATGGGACGGGGGTAAGTCAGGGATGGAATCACAGGACAGATCTTTCTTTTCAATGTCGGATGGCGCACGAGTTGGATAATCACTTTGGTCGTTGTAGAGTGAGCTTGAATTCGACTCGCTGCAAGAAAATGCAGGAGCACAGATTCTTGTGCAATGCGTCGTGCTAGAACCAAGAGAACTCTGAGCAAGTTTTTCAAGCTGAAGCTCGACTCGCTGAAGCCTTGTCTCTATGCTCTCGATGGGCCTCAGAAGTTTTTCTTCAAACCTCAAGAACATATCTTCCACTCTACTCACTCGAGAAACAAGCTCTTCCAGAGTATTTTCAAGATTTCGGGGGAGACTGTTTACTGGCTCAACACATTTATTTTCCACAGTAGATTCCGGAGTTTCAGCTGATTCAGATGTATTCTTATCATCAAGCCTTTCAGACTCTGCATTTTGTAGCTCAGCTTGGTTTTTCTGCAATCCATCATCAATTTGATCAGTAGTTTCTGACCTAGTTTCCGTCTTATCATCCTTAACCACTTCATCAGAAGCACATTCATCTCTAACTCGGTTGACACCTGATTTTGAAAGTTGCAGAAGAGTAGGTACAAACATGGCCATTAGAGAATTTTGAGTCGAGCTTCCAGTGAAGGGGGCCTCATTTCCAGAATCAGATGATTCTGCGAGGGCCACAAATACATAAACTTCATCAATGTATACGGCGCCTCTGTCCTGAAGGGAGAGCAATCTAATTGTAAGCGACGTACAGTGCTCTGCATCACTTATTTGGGCTGTAGCCTCGTAAAGATCCTACAAATACACATAAGAGCATCCAGTAAATTTCTTGCCTATATAGATAGAAACTGAAGAATGATGTAAGAAAGCAATTTAAAATGGAAAACTAGTATCACTTTTCAGTACAAACCTTGAAATTAAGAATGATATGAGATTTGAGTTGTTTTATGACTCTATCTGCTTGTGAATTGTGATAATAATAATAAAAAAAAAAAAAAAAAAAAAAAAAAAAAAAAAATCTAGTATAAGTTGGTCAGTATAATCTGTTACTACACGATCAAATAGGAAGAGAAACAATTTTTCGAAAATCTAACAAGGCAAGATATCATAAAAATAGGAGATTCAGTTTCTTTGTTTTTTTTCTATTCGATATAAATTTGTAGTATGTATATCTTGATAATGGACGGAATAAGTATTATTTTCTAGACGGACAAGATGGCACGAGGTAAAACAAAATGTGATCAATCCAGTCTACCAAAAAGATAGGAAATCCCAAATAAAGATTATGTATAAAGCACCAAACACAACCTTGATTCAGACAAGGATCCTATGGATATATTTTCCAAAAAAACTGCATATGAAACCATAACCATACCTGTATTTTTTCAGCTTGGCCAGAATTAATCTTATCCGACAAAGATCCGCTCCCAACTTCAGGTACTTTAATCTTAACCCAATCATCTTCACTGTTGGAAGAGCTTCCCCCATTCGAAATACTTTCTACTATGGGTTCCTCCTGCGAACAATCCCCACCCCCCGCCACACCTCCAATGGTAGCTGTTTGGAGTACTTTCCCATCTCTCTCAGCAACACCACACCGAACAGTACAGAGATACTCGTTGCTACTACGAGGAGAACGTGTGTAGTAGATTTCATACACACGAGCAGTACTCCTTACGTAAATTTGGCTAATGTCAAAACTTTCCTCAAATTGAACTGCAAGAATGTCAAAATGTGTACTATATCAATCATCAATAGATGCTTCCATTCTTTATCACTAAACGTGCACCTTATACATGAATTCGGAGACTAAAAACAATTCCAAATCATTTCAGAGCCCTAAAACCGAAATCATCAAACCCTAGAAAATCAGAACCATGGTAAGACAAGAAAGCCAAACAAAATTAAAAATCGAGAATATTACTGTAGATTTCACAAGGACCAAAATCGGGACCACGAGGCTTCAGAACAAGAGGAGATTCAGGAACCGCAATTTGCAGGTCGGATTCAGGAATCGGGAAATCGGAGGACTCGACGGCAATCGAAGCCTCGAGTGTGCCGCGAGCAACGGTCCAATTCGTGTCGGAGGTCCATTCTAGCACACCGGTTTCAGCGACGCCGTCCATACCGGAATGAATCTCTTCCACTTTGCTGCGCCGAGCCGAACTAGTGCTGGAATCACGGTACGAACAGGGAGCTTCTTCCCATGGACCGACGATCAACCCCTTCGACACCGTACCTCTGCCACTGCCACTGCCACACCCACAGCAGATCCAAACCCAAACTTCATCCTAATTTCAGATGACTGAAATGTAAATTCCGGGCCAATATTGGGCCTGCAATTATTGGGCCGCCCAGTAAAAATTATCATTTCTTAATTTAACCCAAATTCTTTGGATATGTTTTATTGTTTTCAAACCAATTTTACCATTTTTCGATACTCCATACTAATATGCAAAACTTGTGACTGTGACAACGTGACTGATAATTTTGTTTTCATGCACAATATTCTCTATCATTTCTAGTTAACAAAAACCAAAGGGGGCCAAAAAGAAAAGGGGCCAAAAATTTAAAAAGCCGAATATCGTTATCGTTATTGTTCTCCAGCCCGGCGGCATCATCATATATTACATGAGAAATGCCAACAACACAATGTCACAGAAACTACAAAGGTCTCCCTCATCGATATGTATATATAAATGTATGTATATCCTGAGTTCTATTCTATTATAGCCAAGAGATATACAAATCCACAAATGAAGGCAGCTACAGATCTCAAATCCAGGGGAAAACTTATATAATAGCGATGCCGGGAAACTTAGACGATCATTTCAAGCTTTCCGGCAGTTGCTCTTTTGTTAGTGCTGAGTCTAAGTTTGTTCGACCCGAGAGATTTATATCTTCGGTTTCTGAGACACAAACCGAATTCCTAACTTCCCCAGTTCGAAGCTCTCTGTTTTCCCATAATCGAAAGCTATGGACACCATCGATGTACCCTCGGAGACTTCGACTACAGTTCCACGGGGCCTGAAATGAAAATGGCGATATAAATTGAATTTCATTTCTCTAAGTTCTTCGATTGTCACAAGCATTGAATTAAAGATATTCACCAGGAATCATCAGATGGCTGATGAACTTCTACCCTTTTCCCGGCAGCATCTTTTCCTAATTTCAGCAGTATCCAATTAGCATCAGATAAGTCCTCGATAGCTTTGTTCTCATCAATGGCTGCTGCTGCTGCTACTGGTCTTCTCCGTTTGGACCTTTGACCACGAGTATAAGTGATCTCATATTCATCCATAATCGGATCAGGCACCGGGTCCTGATCCCCAGTGCTCGAACTACCAGCAACATCATGGTTACCACTGCTAACATTTCGGGGAATTTTGAACTTCAAATAAGTCCTGTGATCCTTCTGCCGGCAAACTTCAGATCCCTGCTCGTCATGTTTTGGTTGGATTGTATCTTCAGAACCTACTAAAACATGTAGAAAAAGATACGAAGCCTCAAAATCACAACCACAATAACAGAAAGTTGTTTGACCGTTACTTTAAGTTTAGCAACAATACCTCAGGAAAAAATGAACTTCAAGAACAAAATTAAATCAGGAAGAACCATACGTACCGTTCGGTAAAATCAAATCTTGCCTTTTAATGCTCGGTGCTTCAGATCTTGGAGGAGTAGCGGTATTTCTGCCCAGCCCACCCAAATTTATTACGAGCTTTGGCCCCTGTGCAGCCTTGGGTACACTGCTGTTAGTTTCGATCTCCTCACTGTTAGTCGAGCTAAAATATTTATTACTCTTTATTCTGACGGTTCTCATCGCCTTTGTTACATTCGTAGGGATAACCTCATCGCCAAATTTCAGTTCGGAGGCTGCTGCTTCATTTGCTTCGGTTTTCACTTCCATCACACTTCCAATAACAGGAGAAGTATCGGGTGTACCAAAAAATTGCGTGTCTTGTTTCTTATTATTTCCAGTGTCATATCCAAGTGAAGCCTCGTCTTGCCCGTTCTGATCTGCTGCATTTGTCGAAGATGTTCCACTCCTTTTTTTCTTTGCATACTTCTTGGAAGATTTTTTTCTGTAATCTTTGCTCTTTTTCGGAGATTTAAACTTAAAAGAACTCCCCGGCTCAGGTTTTAGGAACTGCTCACTTTCTTCATCGTCAGAGAAAGGCGAAATGTTGAAAATTTCCTCTTCTGTGGGCAAACCTGCAGCGGCCCTCAAGCTAGCTATCAAATCCTTATCAGCTTCATTTCTTCGTCTCCATAGCTCCTTAACAGCCTCGTCGATGTTCTTAACCTGGTGAGAAGAGAATAAGTTAGGAGAAGATAACAACACCGGAAAGATATGATGTTTAATTCTTTTATGGTCCAATAATCGGACCTGACTGCATTCACCACGGCATGTTGGACAAACGTACTGAAGATTTCCATCAAGTTCAAATTCTGTGTATTTTGCATCACTGGAAAGTTGCACGACAAAAATCAGATCCAATAAATGACCATGGCGGAATTGAAGAAATGTTTCGAGATCATGAAAGAATAAAATGTATAAAGCGAGGAAGCGACAAATACAACTAATAAATACCAAATTGATTGGCGTTTCGTCTGTGTACTAAAGTTAAATACCATATAATCTGAAACTTTGACAAAATGCATAGCCATGAGAGTATACCGACTTAGCTGAAGGCAATGTCAAACAATTTACTTCCGAGACACAATCTATGGAGTTTTCAGACACCCATTGTGCATATATAACCAAAGATTTAACCACTGTTCATTAGAAAACATATGGTGCCATGGAAAAGAACATTCGGAAAAAAAATAAAATAAGTTAAGGAGCACAAAATAAAGAACCTTATCCCATCACATGTACAGTGCACCCAGGACTGGCAGGTATCACAGCATACCATAGGCGTTGATTCAGAGTCTCGATATACCTGCAGTTTGCAAGGAAAATATTTAAGCAATTACCTTCTTTTATGCATATTTTCTGCACATGAGTCGAAACAAATAAACAGGGCATTATGTCTTACCTTCAAACAAACAGGACAGTAATTTCCCTTCACGAACAATCTTCCACATGCGTCACAGCAAGTATGGCCCAAAAACCACCTACATCATTTCAATTATAACGCATATGAGAACAATGCATTTTCATTTTTAGCATCCGTCAATTTTCATTGGAATATCTTTATTGATTTAGAATGTGGGAAGCCAATAGGGAAGAACATTATAGTTCAAATACAGACCTCACGCTTAAGCCATTTCCGGGCACAGTAGAGTCACAGCTATGGCATTTGGTGTGTTTCGGACACAGATAAGGCCCATGGCCAACGTTCTGCACGTTGAAAATTGAACATTAGCAAATTTTTTACCGAGCATAGATGGGGGAATGAAATAACTAAGACGCACCTTGTGTGGGGGTTGTTGACAGTAACAATGGTAAGCACCATCACACCTTTTACAAAAACTAAACTTGGTTGGATCTCCAGTTCTTCGGCAGACCTAGAGTAGTGGAGTGTATCAAAATAAAATAACACATAAATTGTAAATTATATCATATTCGCCAATCCTCCATACGAATCAGAAGAGCTTTTGAGCATGTAATTATTATGTACAGAATGAATGTTTTGAAAACATTTGCTCTTAACAAAATAACTAATGCATTAGGTATTACCTCACAGGTACGGCAAGACGGGCAAGTCCATGAACTCCAATGAAAAAGATCTGCAATCATGAATCCATCACCAAAAAAGAAAAAAAAAAAAAACACGGGCATTTAGTTATACAATTGTTGTGGCGGCAACAGACAGTACCTCTGTTTTGAGACCATGCTTTAAGACAACTTCGGTGATACTTCTTGCCACAAGAATTACATGATAGCATCTTTCCTGCCCTCTCGCTACCTTCATCTTCACCAGAAAAACACAGCCGACACATAATCTTGGCATTTGGATTACCTTGCTCGTCTCCAGCAACATCCTTTGCAGCAGTCTGAGAGGAAAATCTCATTAGGGCCTTTCAAAACAACCATTAGCTGAGTGAAAGTAACATTCGAGAAAAGCTAATAAGATAGAGTATTTAGTGAATAACAGAAATCAACCAAAGGCACTTCGCCATTAACAAATTTATCTGCGCTGTCAAATATAATCATAACCATCAATTCCATGCAAGTCTATGGTAGATTGCAAAAGCACAACATAACAAAGAGTGGCTTCTGCCATGTCAATCAAACAAGTTTGGGAAAAACAATAAAATGTAAGTCTCTTGAATAACTTCTCTATGAGTGTTAGCCTAACAGTTCAGCAAATCCGCCAATCTTATATTTTAAAAAGTATACAAACTATAAAACACTATAAAAACAAAGAAGCATCGGCACTTTTATCAGCATACAGGAATTTCTTGATCAAAGACATCATAAATGCTGATAAGCGGCTGAATAAATAAGTCAAGTGTAACGACAAAAATTTTGTCGTTACTGCTGACAAATAGTTCTTTATACCTTTAAAGTGGCCTCCAATGTCGTTGGAAGTATAAAATCTTAACAAAATCATCTAACAATAACGAACTTTTAATCCATAATAATACAACTAAGAACACATACACATATAGCTATAAATGCAACTAGAAAAATCCACACCACGATCTCTGTGAACGGAGTAAATCACTTGGCGAATATTTCATTTATGACTAAAACTCGACATGAGAAACACACGTAAGCGAAGCTGCGGATAACCCTAATAAGACAATGATTACAATGACAAAGATAAAATGTACAAAATCAGCAATCAGACAATCACCTAAACAAGCCATTCTCATACATAAGAACAGAACAAGATCACTAACACAGAAATATCATACTCCAGTTTTCACACAAATATAACTTCAAGCTCGTGAGATCTCATCTATGGCATCCTCTTGAGGCATTCAAACAAATGTAGAACTTATTTTCCAACACAAACATACGATTTCCAATTCGTGAAAAATTACAAATAATTTTTTTTAAAAAATGGTAAAACCTCACCCCCAAATCCCCAGATTCAAACCTCCGGGCATAATCCTCGGCCTCCATTGATGCTGCAGCAGCTTGCTTCTGCAGAGCAGCTCTCTTCACCGCCGCCGTCTTGGCAGCCTCATCCCCTCCCCCTCCCGCCGCCGCCGAAATCCGCAGCGGCGGCGGAGGAGCCGGCGCGGGGGAGACAACAACCTTCGGAACCTTAACCTGAACCGTCGCATTCTCCCTCGACTTGATCAGCCACGGATCCTTCAAGAACTGCTCGATCCTATCTACCTCCTGCAAAAACTCATTCCTCCCCTTCTCGTCTCGCAGCTTCGCCGGAAACCCCAAAGCACAGGTGCAAATCTTCCGGCTGCAACCAGACAGAAAAAAGAACAGTCGTGAATTAGCGAAGAAATGCAAAACCCGCATCACTCAAACTTCGAAACAATTACGAAATTGGCGCGCAGAGAGTCAATCTTGGCTTCTAAAATTAATGGGGCTCCGATACCAGATTAGAGACGGGTTAACCGCTTACCAGGTAATGGGGCAAGCGACATGGAAGGCCATTGTACTGCGAATTTTTGGTTTAAAAAATTCGTAGCTGTAAAGCGAGCGTCGTTTTCGGGTCCAGGAATTAAATATGGTAAATTTTTGAAGGAAAAATAATGGAAAATTGGAAAAGAAATCTTGGGGACGAAAGCCAGATGGTTTTCGGAATAACCGAGGAGGTTCAAAGGTGTATGTATATCTGGCAGTCCTACGGAGTTTTCATTTTGATCCCTTTTCTATTGGTTATTGAAATTTGGCCCAATCTTGAAGTAGTGGAATTTTCGTTTCGGTGCTTTGTCTTTTGGGTTGTATTCGACTAAGCCACGTGAATTTACAGTCAATTAAATCAACCCCCGGGAATATTGGGTGTGTTCGAAGGGTTTTGGTTTTGATTCTACTGTTGTAATTGTTTCTAAAAAAATATTTAAGTCAAATAAATTTTTATTTATTATATTATATTAAAATTTAATTTATATTTAAAATTTTATATAATATATATTTTTTTCACATTAAATAAATATTTCACATCAAAATTAATATTCAAAATGCAAATTCAAAATTAAAATACACGGACAAACACAGCTATGATATTAGTTGGACGTGTCTGACATGGTAATTAAATTTTAATAATTAGCTTACTTATTTTAATACTTCATTCACATAATATATATATATATATATATATTATTTTGTGCGATCACAAAATAATTTAATAATTATATATATTTTATATAAATACTCTTATTTTATTATCATCATCTCATCATTAAAATAAAATTATTTAAATTATTTTTAATATTATTTTTAATTATTCATTATATTTAAATTTTATTATTTTTTATATTTTGAGTCAAAAATAAATATATCTTTTTAAAATTGGCAAAAGAATATATATTTATTTTAAATATATGAAATTTGTTTTGCTTAATTTATTAATAATATTGACTCATTGAAAAGATGTAACATGGTTATATTAGAGTCTTCACATTTGTATTTTTTTTTTTTAAATGTTATCGTTGATATCAGATTCTATGGAAAATTTTATATATTAATAATCTTATTACTAAAATGTATTTACATATAACAATAAAATATACATATGTTTTATGTTAAAATGGAGAAAATATATAATATTGGGTCTCCTCGTGCAAAAAAAATTTTGAAATTGCGATTTATAAAAATAATATTTTATATTTTTTACACAATTTTGCTATATGATACACAAAAAATAAATTTAAACAAAATATCAATTTTTATTACAAAAAAAGTCAAAAATATAAATTATTTTATTTTGGTCCGTCTTGTAACAAAATATTTATTTTCTTTTTTAAGTAATTATTATCTACCTAACACTACAAATATCATTTCAAATTACAATATATTACACAAATGTTATTACATTTATATCATACAATACTAATAGGGTTAAATTGGGTTTTTTATCTTTATTTCTACTTTATCCCAATATAATACTAATATTTTTAAAACTTAATACAAAAAACAAATAGATATATAAATATGGGAACGAGGGAGTATAATAAATTATAATCTTAAATTTAATTGAGTCTTATCCAACAAATTAAATAGTTTGGACAATTTTAAATGCGAGAGGAATCTTCAAATAAATGTGGATATGCTTACTAAATATTGCACTAGTCTTGAGGTTTGTTTCTTTACCCTTAAAACTTCGTATCTCTGCTATTTTTAGATTCTGTGTTTTCTAAAAAATATATATATATATATAATTTCTCTTTTAAAAAGCATTATATTATATATTATTTTAATATTAAAGTCAAATTAAATTTTTTTCAAACTAATAAAAAAGAAACGTACTTTTAGTATCCATGTTGTCATTTATGCATTTTATATATTTCATGTCACTTTTCTAATTGGAAAAAAAATTACAAGTTTTAAATTTACTTTATATTTTGAATTTACATTTAAAAAAAAAAAAAATAGATTAATTAATTATTTAATTTTAATATATAATTATCTTTGCTATAGTAAATTCATTCATTAATATATTCTTGATCATTTACTAATTTAATTCTTTCCTAAATTATTGTATTTATAATAATCTAAATGAGGTACTGAGAATGAGAAAGTATATAATATTATCATTACTAAATATTTTGTTATATCATATTTGTATATTTTTATGTAATATACTTCATTTGATTAGATAAAAATATTACTCTTTTTTTTTTTTTTTACTATAGATACAATCATTTAGAAAATATATAATTAGTAAATAATTAAAAATGTATCGGTGAAAGTAATTATCATATAATAAAAATAGTTATATAGTATCTTCGTCCACCGTCAATCTATCTATTTACTTTTTGCACGTTAATCTTTGAATATTAATTATTATATCAAAATATATTACAAATTAAAGAAAAACGAAAGCAATACTTTTATTGGTGTCTTATAATACTAATGTAATGATATTTGTACAAAAAATTATACAAATATAAGGATATTTTTAATGTTAAAAATAATGACGCCAAATGCAAATGGATAGATTGGGGGTGGACAGAGGTAGTATTAAAATTAAGATAATTGATTAGTTTAGTTGAAAAAAAATTAAAATTTTAAATAAAAATAAAATAAAATGAGACTAAAGTATATAATTTGTTTTTAAAAAATAAAAGTGATAAAATAAGTGGAATAAACTAAAAATGGACACGCCAAGTGAGACAGAATGAATAATATTTATTTTCATGTATAAATATTAAAAAATATAGTACTCCTTATGTCCCGTAGATGATTTGTTTTATTTTGTCCATCTCATAATGTATGATTTTCTTTTATTATTATTATTTTTTTATGTTTTTAATAAATTTATTCATCTCTCATCCGAGGAATTTGGAGGTTCTTCTTTCCTGTTGATGCGCGCCTCTTCCCTTGATGTTTCTACTGTTTGATTGCTCGATTTGTGCCTTCTTGGTCGTTCACAGTGTACTTTGTCTGCGATGTCGTTTAGGCTTTAATTTCGTCAATGTTTCCTTAAATTAGGATTCGGGTTTGCGTGTTACTGAGAATAGGGTAACCTAAGTCCGAAATGTTTTATTCTGTTCGGGTTCGGGTTCGGGTTCGGGTTCGGGTTCGGATTGTTTATTTAAGGAAACAATGTTTTATTCATATTTATTCTTATATATTGTTTTATTCCCTTTGGGTTCGGGTTTATAATTTCCTTATATTAGGGTTCGGATTTGCGTGTTAATTTCGTCAATTTTTCCTTAGATTATGGTTCGGTATCGGTTCGGTTTAATAATAGAGTAACCTGAGTCCAAAATATTTTATTCCGTAATAAGTCGAAATTTTCTTTATAATTTTGATCGATATTGATTTGGTTAGTGAGAATACTGCTTAGGGATTAGGAATAACAGATTAAAACAATATAATTATAAAAATATAAAAATAAATATGACACATAATATACAATGGTCTGCATTTTTATTTTTTAAAAAATAATTTATTTCTCAATTTTCACTCTCAATCTTCTGACTTTATTATCCGTAAAAAAATATTTTTATTTCAATATTTGATTGAAGGTTTGAGTTTTGAATTAAAAAAAATTAAATTCGAACAGTTACATATGATATAAACAGGAATTAAAACAATATTTTAAATATAAAATAAATATTTAATACCCTATTTTTGTATTATTTAATAAAATAACACTCATCATTTAATTTAAGTTCGGCTCGGCCCACTTTAACCGTATAGTATATTCTTACAAGAGCTTGATCCAAAGCCTTTAACATAGAACCCACCTAAGCTCAATCATTAAAGACCATTGTAGCCCAAATACACGAACCGAAATCGAACCGTCGAACTACGGTTTCGGTTCGAACCGCTTCCGATTTCGGGTTGAACCGTGACATTCGGTTCGAAAACGTTGGGCAAGTCTTGTGCAGAATACTTGTATTAATTAATTAACTAAAATAGATAAAATACAGGAGTTTTTATTCTTCGAAACTTTCGAGGGTTCTTCGTCATTCCTACGTTTCACTTCCGATTCCCACTAGCTTCGCTATCTTTGCTCTGCAATGATGAGGTGTGTTTGGTAGCCATCGTATTTTGTGAGTGTATATCCTTTCTATTTCAGTTTTTGGGGACTTCAATTTATCGTGTTTGTTATGTGAATGGGCGTGGATGAGATTTTGATTGCATGATTTGGAATAGGAAGGGAATAATCGGATGCTAGGCTGTTTGTATTAATCACTTTGCTGGAGTTTTCGCGATAGCTATGTAAATTTGTATTGTGCTTCCCTTTTTAAGGGAGATTTATGGCGGTGTATTATGGAGACAGTTTTGGATCAGAACATTCAACATAGTGTGATTCGTTTATGAGAGTGCAATTTCTGCTAACGAAGTTTGATTTATTTATTTATTTATTTTTTCTTTTACGCGTGCTTATTGAATCAGTTGCCTGGAAGATTAGCTGGTAAAGGATTCGATTCCTTTCGTGACAGGTGAGAAATAGAAATTGGCTGCTTTCTTTACACTTTCTCCCCTAAAGTTTTCTGAAGAGTGGGCTACGGTGTTGGGCAATGATTCATCAGAAATAAAAGATCTAATGCGATCGTAGCTGTTTTAAAAATCTTGTGACGAAAATTACCTTTGGAATTTGGCAATGGCGGAGAAATCAAAACCAAGTACCTTGACGGTTTATCTCTATGTCCCTAACATTATTGGTATGTCTTTATTAGCAGTTAATAATATATTCCTAATTTACCAATGTGAAATTATACAGGTTTATGTAATTGATCTTGTGCCATTCATCTCTTCTTAGGTTATATAAGAGTGCTATTGAATTGCTACGCATTTTCTGTATGCTTCCAGAATAAATATCTGTTTGCTGTTTTATATTTTGTCAGGTGAGTAAATTTTGCTACTTATTTTTCATCAATTTCTCTATCTATGCTTGGATATGTCGAGACTGTTTATTTGGTTCACAATTCTGTTTTCCAGCTTTGTATGTGATGCGTTGGATGGTTGGTTTGCACGCAAGTTAAATCAAGGTCAGGGTTTTGAATCTCCCTTTACAATTTACATAACAAGCTGTAGGAAATGTGGGCATTGGTTAACTTGTTTACTTATCAACCTAAAGGCTAAAAAATTGAAGAACTGCCTCGGAAGTGTAATTCAATAATCAATAATCAATTGGATGGAATAGGAGTAGTCTAGCATACTGAGTACCTGTATTAATTATGTTGCCTTACTCTGTTCATTTTAGTTTCGACATTTGGTGCTGTTCTGGACATGGTTACCGACAGGTACACATTATTTCTTTCTTTGTTTGTCCTCACTTTTGCGTCCCTCATTTTGATCACTTTGTCTCACTTTGGTTCATTAGCCTCTGAACTAAAGAATGTTGCATCATTTCTGAAGAGGAAATCCATTTTTTTTTTTTTTTTTTTTTTTTCTGGCAATGTTTTTCAGTCATTTGTGTGTAGAGTAAAAATATGAGTTAGGAATACCCTTTTTGCAAATATGTTTGCTGACCACCGTCCACATGAAACGGCTTGGGGGAAGACATCATTGGAAAGGCACAACAGATCACTTTCTTTTTTTTTTCCTAGGACCAAAGTGACACAAGTGACCAATTTGAGAGGAACCCAAAAAGTAGTTAATAATTACTTTATGCATTTTTTTCTTAAATCTCATTGCCCCATTTCCCTTGTTAACAGTTTATTTTGGTTATTGTGATTTATTTCAGGATAAGCACTACTTGTTTGTTGGCCATACTATCCCAAGTTTATAGGTGATTTGCTTTTAGTATAGTTAATTCTGATTGCTATTAACATATGATAGATACCCTGTGATATTTTCCAGGCCAGGGCTGATATTCCTGTCACTGCTAGCTTTAGATATTGCCAGCCATTGGTTGCAAATGTATAGGTACACACATATTTCGGTACTTTTGTTAATCTCAGCAAACAGGTTTTCGTTAAAATTAGATGTGTTTTGATATTTTGCTCTTTGAGTTTTGATTTATTGATATACTTGGTCTTCTGCAATAGTTCCTTCCTTTCTGGGAAATCTAGTCATAAGGATGTGAAAGATAGCAGCAGTTGGCTATTCAAGCTTTACTATGGCAATCGAAAATTCATGGGTTACTGCTGTGTATCCTGTGAGGTGAATATTAACTATACCAGCAATTAGTTCTGATTCGTCTATCTTGCTAAAGACCTTTATTTTATCACTTGCAGGTTCTTTATATTCTTTTATTTCTTCTAGCCAAAAATCCAACAGAGAATCTCACCGAAGTAAGTCCCCTTTGCTTGATTATGGCATACCTTTTTGGTCAAAAAATTAAATTAACTTTCAAAACTCCCCGGCTGTTTTACTTTACCATGTTAACTTTATCTCAGGTTTTGGTAAATGCTGGTACAGAAAGCATGCTTTATTTGAGTTTACTTGCTGTAAGCATCTTTGGGTGGGCGATCAAGCAACTAGTTAATGTTATACAGGTGATGAATTATAGTACCTCAGTGGCATCCTCCAGTCTTGCTTTTAATTGACTGTTTCTTCAACCGTTATGGCGTTGTTTGTTGTGATGTTTGTTTTACCTTAGCTGTACAAATGTCTTGACAAGTAATCCTAGAGCATGATTAACTTCAACTGTACAACATTTTTTCTGGAGATGCATTCTGTCTTTATATTTGCAGTCTACTTCGAATAGGCCAAAAATTCGATTCTCATTTTTCATTTTTTGTTTCTTAAATATCCGAATATTTATAAATGGTGTGCACCCTTTCCATGGATGAGTTTTGATCTTGTTTCTTAATATTTGGGAATCTCTCTTTTGCTACACAGATGAAGACGGCTGCAGATGCCTGTATACTCTATGACATTGGCAAAAAGCAGTGAGACAAACATGGTTAAGCACATTTGCGAATGCATGGAATCTGCGTTTGGTTTCAATGGTTGAACACGTATCATTTGCACCCATAGCTGAACAAGGTTTGGTTTCTTTCAGTGGAGGATCATCACTGAACTTGATGTTAAAGTTGAAGGGGATAACCTCCCCTTCAACAAACTCTTAACTTGTCGGCATGTTTTCAGTCATAGCCTCTTGGACACTGTAAGTGTGATTCACCTTCCTCAGCATTACTTTTTTGGTGTGTTGGATTTTATTTTCGTCGATTTTTGTACAAAATATTTGTGGGGTTTTATTTTGGTGGTTTTGATATTGCTACTTGCATGCATCATCAATTAATTGGTAATGTTAATGTTAAGTTTTGAACTGGTTCAAGCTTGAAAGGTATATTAGCCATTCAGTGTACGTAGGAGTTATTTGTTTAGTTTAATCGCTATGCTCCCAATCACTTCTTATTTAGCTGTTCAAACATCCAAATGGGAATAGAATAAGCCCATTTTCCAATTATTAGTTGGGAACACATCTGTTCTTGATTATTTAGGGTCTATTTATTTATATAAAAAATATTTTTAAATATTAATCATATACAATACTCTTTTAAAAAATAAATTATCACCTCAAATATATGTAGGATTTATTTGGTTTGAGTTTATTTATTTAAATAGCATTTTAAATTTTGATGTGATGAAAAAATTACTTTTATTAAAAATCATAACGATGGCATGATAATAAAAATGAAATAAGGTAAAAGAATATTGTTTTTGATAAAATATTATATCAAATATTCGGGAAAAGATCCACCACTTATTTATATTTTCATTATTGTAATAATATATAAATATAATTATACTTGTATACCTTGCTTTGTACTCCTTATACTCCACTAAATTATATTTATAATAGTATAAGCATCAGCCCAACTAGTTGGCTACAGTATAATAATAATATTAATAAAATTAGCGTGTAAGAAAAGTTGACTATTCAAAAGCGATTGGTGAGCAAAAGGTTGTTCTAGTCAAAATTGACCGAACAAGTCCATTTTAGTACAGTAAAAGCCGCAAAATCAGCCGAGCCGAGCCGAGCCGACCGATGAAGTTGAAATTCTAGCCGTTTGTTCTTCTGGCGCTGCATGAGTGCAGGGCATCAACTACTAATCAATTAGCTGTTACGCGGCTCCACGGCATCCAAATTCCAATAATAATAGTATTAAATTATTAGTATTTCTAGTTATTATAAAAAAAAATAAATACTAACATTAAATTATGTAGGGTGTGTTTGTTTTATTATTTTTATATGAAATATAGAGATTTATGTCATAATAATAAAATATTAAATATTTATAATATATTAATTTGTTTGAAAGAATTTGTTAAAATGTTTTTGAAAAATAAACAAATACTTAGTACTTGGTATTTGAATTCCACTAATCCAAACAACCCACTTGCTTACACCTACGCTACGTACATACCAAAATAAAATAAACCCAACGATCCCATTCCTTTGTACCTTTTGATTTTATTTCAAAATAATAATAATAAATCCATGATTATGGCTTATGGAATTGTTTACATTATTTTCAAAGCCATATTGTGAATGTTTGAAGTTTGGTTTCATATGTATATTTTTTTTAGTAGTTAAGAATTAATCAGTAAAAAAAATAATTTTAGAGAAATTAGGAATTTTAGGAGAAATATGAAAAGTGAATAATGTAATAATAAAAATAATTATAAATTTTAAAATAATTAAATAATTTAATTAAAATTAATAAAATATAATTATTAAAAAAACAAATTATATGGAAAAAATATATATATATTTCTTTTTTAATTTATCAAGATTTATGGACAGAATCAATTGTATGGCGAATGAATAGAATAATCAAATCCCAACACAAATCATTAAACAATTGCAAAGCAAAGAAATCAAAAGAACAGTGAATTCATTCCTTCGAATCGAGCAAGTCTCTTCCAAAACACAAAGAATCATTTAAAACAAATAATAATAATAAAAAAAAGCTAAAGCCTCAGGCAACAGTATACAGAATGAGATCCGCTTTGTCAACAATCCTACAGGCAACAGACTTAGACTCCGGCGATTTCGCCGCCATCTCCGCCGGATCCACGGATCTTCCGTTGTGGTGTGCGACGTCATCCTGGCCGGGGGCCGGAGGATGGTAATACATCCGCGCAGTCTGCGGACAGTGAGAGTGAAATCTGCAAGCCATTCGCACACCTGCGTCAAGCAGCTCCATGTATTTCCCCATTACCGATGGATCTTCCTCGCCTCACAAGATTTTTCTCAAAATTGCGAAGAAATCTTAAACGAATGAGTTATTGCTGGTTAGATAGAACCTAGAAGAGATGAGTTTCCCACGGCCAAGGATTTTTTCTGGCTCCCATTAAAGGGGAGAAGAGAAGATTTTGGAATTAGGGTTGTTTTAAAAACTGCGCTTTCCAACTGGGGTTTATATGCATATATATATATATATATACATACAGGTTTTTGTATGTATATACGCTCTTTCCACGAGATTTCTTTCTTTCTCTCCAATTATATATTTGCTTTCGTGCCCTTGCTTTCTATGTGATTTGCATTCTAGTCCTTTTGCGTGTTTTTGTAGACAACAATTGAACATATAGTATTATTATTTATAGTAGGTAATTATTATTTGAATATGCCAACTAAATTAGGTGATCATCAAATCAAAAACTTTAATTATTTTGATTTTATATTTTTTTTATAAAATATTTTATGATATATTATTTTAATATTAAATTCAAAACAAAATCATAAGAAATACTCGTGTGTATATATATATATATATAAATAAGTCTGACTTCATATTTAATAATGTAACTACATAACTCAAAATTTTCGCCATTACATAAGTTATGTTTGTTTGTTAGTTTAGAAATCAGATATTGAATTTTAAATATCAAAATTTTAATTTTAAATAATTGATGGATTTGATATTTTAAATTATTTTAAATTACTTTTTGATTCGCTTTGATATAGAATTGAGTTCAATAAGTGGTAAGGTTTGAATTGTAAAATTTTTGATTTAAAATGATTTTCTCTTTTTTTTTTTTATATATATATTATTTTAAATAAAATATACATTAAATAATAATAATAATAATAATAATAATAATAATAATAATAATAATAATCTGAATGTGGTCCCCTATTAATCTAATTAATCCTGACCGTCCAAATACCTTTATTATAATATTTTCAAAATTTCCCTTTCTTTCAATATTAATATTAATGAAAAAAATAATACAGAAACGACGTACGATGAGCCGCGTCAAGTTTCCGCCGTAAAAGATTCTCTCTTACAGGAAAAGATAATTATAATAAAAACTGAAAAAGTTTTCTCCTTATTAAAAATGTGGAATATTTGCAGGGACCATGTACTTTTGTAATAACTCAATTGCCCCTTGGGTTTCTCAAAACTCCAAAAAGTACCATTTATATCATAAAGGAACATATTTACCTGAAAGTTCTGGCATTGACCTTCTAATTTTTTTAAAAAATAAACATTAAATTCAATTTTTTTTTTTTTACAAAATATCACCTACTATCTGTTTAAAACATTAGAGACATTTCTAAAGAAAAACATTAGGGACTTTTGTTTACCCAATACTTTTTAGAATTTTCATGCAATTCATTTTTTTTTAAAAAAAATATCATACTCACTTCACATATTAATTTACTTTTTGCGTATTTAAATATTAATTATTATATCAAAATATATTATTAATAAAAAATAATAAAAAAATAATACTCTCTCTCCTGATGCAGAAAAGACAAAAATACCCTTTTAGTATTGTGTAATATAAAAGTAATAACATTTGTATAATATAATTTAAATTGAAAGAGTATTTATTATATTATGTAAATTTAGAGGTGGATTGGAGCCCCTCCCCCAAATTTTTGCACAACCCACTGCATTTTATGCAGTGGGTTGGAGTTGCCCTTAAAGGGCAAATCAAACACTCAATTTTTATTTATTTTATTATACTAAAATTTAATTTTACATTCAAACCATCATATCAATACATATTTATATCACATCAAACAACTATTTCAATTCAAAATTTTACTATTCAAAATCAAAAATCAAAATCAAAACATCACAGGTAAACACATCCTTAATTTTTTTACTATTTTCAAAATTTTCTACATCTCACAAAACTCATATTTAAATGGAGCCTCAATAATTTTTAAAACTCTTATCTAAAAATATTTCACACATATTTTTACAATATTCATCACCTATGCCAAATGTATGGGCCGTACATGTAGTAGGAGGAGCTGTGGTTTAACTTCCAGTATTGGGCAAAAAATTTAAAAAATTAGTGATGAATCAATCTTCAAATATCAGACAACTATAATAAAATTTTACTATATCATTAACTTATTGCAATACAGAAATACCCAATTTCAGATCACACATCAAACTGTAGGAAAATAATCTGGAATGGTCATATTATTTACCTCTGAACTTCCATACTCGGATGTGCTTGTTGCCATGGGCTGTGACAACTTTCTGCATTCCGACACACAGGCATGTTATAGGAGGCCGTGACGACGGCGTTAGGTATAGACGGTCCTGGTCATCCTCCGAAAGCCTTATAGCTTGTTTGTGCTCAATCGAGGGGTTCTGGTTTTTGCTAGTTGAGCGATGAGACGGGTTTCTGTTTTCGTCCACAATGTATCTGGAAATGATCTCTCCGCTGTCCTGGTCGATGACTCTTAACACACCGTCGATTCCTCCAATTACCAATGTTGATTTGTCATTCTGCAGGTGATGCATAGAGTAAATCACGTTTGGACTTACTCGTGTATCCCACAGGCGTCTCGATGTTCTGTAGGAAACCCAAGTTGATTTAACTATTTAGTTCACAAAAAAAAAAAAAATTCATACAAAAATCACTTATATTCAAAGTTGAAAGTAATGCTTTACAAAGGTAATAAAACCAAATTCTAGACTGCTCAAGACTAGTTCTGAACATTCATATATATATATATGTACACATATATATGCAAGTACTTACGGATAGAAGTAAACAAAGTGAACTAAACATTCTGAAGTTTCAAAGTAATCACGGACAGCATACCTCAGGTCCCAACAAGAAGCATGGCCAGCAGTAGATCCAGCAAATAGTAAATATGAGGCTGGATTGAAGCACAGACACTTTATACCATCTGCAAAAATGCAGAATCAGGGAAACAAGATTGACTTCTAACAATTATATTCCTATTTTTAAATTAAAGCAACAGCTGTGGCGGGAATAAAGGGAGCAAGCAAACTACTGCATTACAACTGGCTCCACATTAACCTTATGCATTCAGCAAATTGATCTCTACAACATTTCCAGAGTAAATTACTGTGCACATGGAACTTTTTCGAAAACTAATGTGACTGCCTAATGATATGAATTTCATTCTCTAAATAACTAGCAAAGAAATTAACCAGAGTTCTTGCATCCACCCCATAACTAGTATTCCAGAGATAAGTTGCAATATTATGCATAAATACTCATAAAAGATTAAGGATTCCAAGAAAAACCGGGATTTATCTAGAGACCTGCATAACTAGATGTGCGCAAGGTAGCCACTCGCTGATCTGAAGAAAGATCCGACATTGATATACCACCATGAGATGAGCCACTGATAATCAGTTGCTCATCAGTGTAAGATAAACACGATACGGAGCCAGGATGCATCCTGCCATAATATAAGAAGAAAAGTGCAATGTAAAGGGAACGAGCCAACTGCAGTTCATGGTAAGTAAATAAGATTGTTCCACAGCTCTGGAACATCTGATTTATTTATTTTATTTATTTATTATATGCAATAAAACTTTAAACCACAGGTTAACAAAGTGTTAACAATTGTCTTTGAATTATGCTGATGAGGGAGGGCCATCAATTCTATTGGCCGTTACAGAGCAGTTCATGTGTACAAGAAATTTATATAAGGAATGCCTGGTTCATGATCTTCCACAAGTCCCCACATTGGGAAATGATCTTATCCTTTACATAAATAACTATCTGGAAATATGTAATAGAAGCAGTACATACAGGGTAGTATAAAGGAAGAAGAAGCCAAGGTAAGACAAGACTTGAAAGTAATATAATTATGACTTGATGAAGGTAAAGGTTAGACTGAAATTTGACAAACATACATACTTGATTATTTGTGAAATCTTTCGGCTGTACATGTCATATATACGGACTTTCCCATCTTCACACCCAACTGCAGCCAGTGGGTCTACATAACTGCAAATGAGAATAAAGAGCCGTTTCAGCAAAACATATTTCTATCTCAATTTATGAAGAATAACAATTACTGTCCTTGCTGAAAGAATAATGTGTAAATAGGCTAAAAAGGTAATAAAACCTAACGCCCATTCGTTTGCAGAATTATCCCACGCATGTCAAGGTGTGTCATTTCCCATCATCCAGTCAATTAATTGTGTAGAGTGGTTTGCGATATTGCCTTATAAATCTCATCAAACATCATTCATCTTATACAAATGAACATGTAACTGTAGCTAGGTTCACTACACCCTTGACCCATCTAAATAGCTTGCTATAATCTCAGTGCCTCTCATAAATCATAATAATATTAAAGTTTCATATGAATTTTAGGAAAGAGAAAGGTAGAACTTAAAACAAATTGTTTGACCAAGAAAAGGTAAGACTGGTCCAGCTCATGATTCGAAAGATCAGAACTAATATAGTCCACATTTGGTAGTGGCTGTCAATCAATAAAAGAACTTAATCTCTACAGAATGTCATAGTTATATATTACAAGAATAGTTTGCAACTAGGATAAAGTATATCTCACCGCATACACAATCCACTTGTAAACAATCCATCACGAGAGGAAAATAGATCTCTAGTCCCAATGCGCCTCCATATACACATGCGAGTTCCCAAAAGACCAACAACCTTCAGGATCATAATCAAACAAGCCCAGAGGTGCCAGTTAGATTTCAAGCTAGACAAAGATCTAGCTAAGCAACATATAAATCTAAGGCAGGCTATTCTTTTCTAGTTTTCCAAGTAGTATATGGCAGGTGAAAAATCCTAAGTTTGGATCTCATGTTCCAGTCTCCTTAAACCCAAACATATCGAAAGTTTTTGTTAGCAGCACCTTACAATGATGATGACCATAGCAAGCAAGGAATAATTACATAAATGGTATCTTAGATCAACTGTTTGAAAAGAATGATTAGAATATCTAAAAAATAGTATATCAACACCTTGAAGACAGCAACTCAAAAATTGATCCCAGCAATCCAGGAACAAGAAGACACTACCACAACAATTTCAGAGCCTTATGCAAGCAAATGAAAATTGTACTGGCAGGAACAAGTTCACAGTTACCTTCCCTTCATCAAAATCAAAATCAATTAATGGCGCTTTATCAGGAAGACAATATTCATCCAACCCTTTGCAACTCTCTGCTGACCATAGGCGCATCACCTGCACTCATAGAGCTCCAAATGCCAGAGAGAATACACAAGTGAATTCGTCCAGTAATATTATGATCATCCAAGAACACATCCAGAAATGGAACAAAACTGGAAATAATAATGAGTTGAAAATTTGGAATGAAAATTATGTATCTGCTTGAGTACTTTATAATTTTCTATGTATAATTGTATATGTATATGTAACTACATTTTACTCTTTTAAATTAATTTTATCCAGCTTGTGCTATTGGTCACTTTGCTCAGTGAGAAGTACTGATGAAGATGAGGTTTCTCACAAGACATGAGAATGTGAGAAAATATTACACATGCAATGATAAACCAAACTTGTGCTACCTTGTCTCCAACACCAGTCAGAACCAAACCCATCTTCATTCTGCATTTGTTAAACCTGAAAGAGAACATGCAAGAAAGTAGAAAATTAAAAAACAACCTCATGAAGAACATCAAATGATGCATGCAATAATGATTTAGAAAGGACTAAAAGTTGTAAATGCATGATTAATAACCTCAAACATGTTGCACAAGCACAATGTTAAATATGTTAATATACTGGTCATAAAAAAGTAGACAAAGCTTTAGAATTAGAAGAATGATATAAATTTTAAAGATGTTTCTTGGAAATTAGGAGAACTACATATAAATGACAATGACCTTGACAATATGTAGACTTTCCATAGAATAAAGGTTTTTTAAGAGCCTGTGAAGGGCTTAATTCAAGGCAATAATACATAGTTGCACTAGAATATACATTTAATTTTATATTGGGAATGATACCACACCAAAGCTTGGACCATAGTTGCAAAAACAGCCCACAACACACTATGGAGTGCCAGTAAATTAAATAGAGATTTTCTATCAACATTTCACAAGATTAAACATTTAAAATTTTCTACAATTTTGTTTCTAAATCATTCAAGAACAGATTTTAAGTTCTCAAAAAAACTCAACATGAAAGGTCAGCTTAGAAGCTCAAGATCAAAACAAAGGAATGAATAGGTCATTTACCCTACCGAGTGACCTTTCCACTTAAAGACATCAACAGGACCTTGTTGCAAAGACAACCTTTGTCGTTCCATGGCCAATTGCTCCATCTGAAGATTTATTGATCTTTCAGAACACGTAGCTCCATCATGAAGGCCTGCAGATTCCAACTGTCGTTGCTTTTGATACTGTATTTGCAGCAACTTGAGTTTATTAATCGCCGCGCACCTTCAACAATTAAAGAACACACATAACATCTATTCACTGCATCGCACAACGATTCAGCTTGAAAATAAAGAAAGTAAAATCCACGCACTAAGCAATTTCCACCAGGTAATATATGCTAAACCATCATTTCACCTACAAAACTCCCCGAGAAAAACTTCACAACAAGTAGATAATGACTTTTACGTGCGTGCACAAGTGTACCATGATTTGCAGACGGCAGAACAGCGAATAAGTTGGACGAAGTCGAGAAAAGCGAAAATCATGCAAAGCACATCGTTTCCCAATGCATCAGCCTTAGTTGTTGAGGCGCTCCGCCGCTTCTGCGACGGCGGTGGATAGAGGGCCGCCGAAGCCGTCGGTTCCATGGCAGAAATTGTCCTCGCTTCTCTCTCGCTCGCGGACTTCCGGTGCAAAAGCAATCCAGAGCCGTTTGTATGATGATCTGGGCTCCAATAATTCGGGCCGGGCCTTGAAGAATTGCATGAGTACGGATTATAAGGGCTTAAATGGGCCGAACTATGTGGGCTAGGACCTTAAGTGTTGTATAGGCTGGGCTGGATTTAATTGGGCTGTCTAGGTTTAATTGGTTGGGCCCATTAAGGAGTGGGGCTGAACCGACAGAATTGGGATGGCATGTGCTCATTTGGGCTGGACACGTGTATTTATTTATTCATTTTTCCAAAGATTGCTTTAAATTATTCAATATAATTATAATTTAATTATTTAGGCATAATTTAAGTAAATTAAGATGGTATTGTTCTGCATTTTGATGTATAAGAATAATTCTTTTTTTTTTTTTTTATATATCTATTTAAATAAAAGGGTATTTCAAATTATTAATATTGTATTTCAAACATATACTTAAATACTATTTCAACTCAATTTTTAATTATTTCTAATAAATCTAAAAAAGACACACAAATGCTTAGTTTATAACAAAATATTATTTTCTATTTAAACTTTTACTATTATTACACTAATATAAAATGTCAAAATACTTCTAAAATACATCTTAATACACTCTATAATTATTACTGAACCGTCGAAGGTAGTTGTGTATCTGCAAACAGCACATTGCAGCTGATGATATATATACATTCATTATATATAGATGGATAATTAATTAAGTGAAATAAAATAAAGTAAATAATTAATTATTAACCATGGATCCAAGCAAAAGGGTTGTTGTAGAGTGTCTTGCCATCACTGTTACACTATAGAATCCTTGTTACAGGTACTCTTTTTTCTAAACGATCAAAATTACTGGACTTCTCGCGTTGACGCGGGTTCGTCGGCGCCCGTGCGCGAATCCTCGTTCGCAACATACGGCTGGACGGCGGGTCCGTGAACGGCAAACAAGATCGTCGTTCTCGGTTTTTTGCCGTGACGTGCATCGCAGGAAATCCATTTTTGCTGCATACAAATTCACAAAAATCCGCGCAGGAGTTTTTTGGGGCGCCCACTCTGTCTCGCTGGACGGCCTGACCGGCATTCGTACGTCGGGTCACGAATTCGTTGTTGTCTGCCGCGCAGACATCGACAACGACTCTTTCGGAGGTTCAACTACAGAGTCGTTATTACGAGTACTCTTTTCTCTAAACGATCAAACATACTGGACTTTTCGCGTTGACGCGGGTTCGTCGGAGCCCGTGCGCGAATCCTCGTTCGCAAGATACGGCTGGACGACGGGACCGTGAACGGCGTACAAGGTCGTCGTTCTCGATTTTTCGCTGTGACGTGCATCGCAGGAAATCCATTTTTGCTGCCTACAAATTCATAAAAATCCGCGCAGGAGTTTTTTGGGGCGCCCACTCTGTCTCGCTGGACGGTCTAACCGGTATTCGTTCGTCGGGTCACGAATACGCTGTTGTTTGCTGGCGCAGACATCGAGAACGATCCTTTCGCAGGTTACACTATAGAATCCTTGTTACGAGTACTCTTTTCTCTAAACGATCAAACTTATTGGACTTCTCGCGTTGACGCGGGTTCGTCGGCGCCCGTGCGCGAATCCTTGTTCGCAAGATACGGCTGGACGGCGGGTCCGTGAACGGTGGACAAGGTCGTCGTTCTCGATTTTTGGCCGTGACGTGCATCGCAGGAAATCCTTTTTTGCTGCCTACAAATTCACAAAAATCCGCGCAGGAGTTTTTTGGGGCGCCCACTCTGTCTCGCTGGACGGCCTGACCGGCATTCGTACGTCGGATCACGAATTCGTTGTTGTCTGCCGCGCAGACATCGACAACGACCCTTTCGCAGGTTCAACTATAGAATCGTTATTACGAGTACTCTTTTCTCTAAAAGATCAAACTTACTGGACTTTTCGCGTTGACGCGGGTTCGTCGGCGCCCGTGTGCGAATCCTCGTTCGCAAGATACGGCTGGACGACGGGACCGTGAACGGCGTACATGGTCGTCGTTCTCGATTTTTGGTTGTGACGTGCATTGCAGGAAATCCATTTTTGCTGCCTACAAATTCACAAAAATCTGCGCAGGAGTTTTTTGGGGCGCCCACTTAGTCTCGCTGGACGGTCTGACCGGCATTCGTACGTCGGGTCACGAATACGCTGTTGTCTGCCGGCGCGGACATCGACAACGATCCTTTCGCAGGTTACACTATAGAATCCTTGTTACAGGTACTCTTTTCTCTAAACGATCAAAATTACTTGACTTCTCGCGTTGACGCGGGTTCGTCGGCGCCCGTGCGCGAATCCTCGTTCGCAACATACGGCTGGACGGCGGGTCCGTGAACGGCAAACAAGATCGTCGTTCTCGGTTTTTTGCCGTGATGTGCATCGCAGGAAATCCATTTTTGCTGCATACAAATTCACAAAAATCCGCGCAGGAGTTTTTTGGGGCGCCCACTCTGTCTCGCTGGACGGCCTGACCGGCATTCGTACGTCGGGTCACGAATTCGTTGTTGTCTGCCGCGCAGACATCGACAACGACTCTTTCGCAGGTTCAACTACAGAGTCGTTATTACGAGTACTCTTTTCTCTAAACGATCAAACATACTGGACTTTTCGCGTTGACGCGGGTTCGTCGGCGCCCGTGCGCGAATCCTCGTTCGCAAGATACGGCTGGACGACGGGACCGTGAACGGCGTACAAGGTCGTCGTTCTCGATTTTTCGCTGTGACGTGCATCGCAAGAAATCCATTTTTGCTGCCTACAAATTCATAAAAATCCGCGCAGGAGTTTTTTGGGGCGCCCACTCTGTCTCGCTGGACGGTCTAACCGGCATTCGTTCGTCGGGTCACGAATCGCTGTTGTTTGCCTGGCGCAGACATCGACAACGATCCTTTCGCAGGTTACACTATAGAATCCTTGTTACGAGTACTCTTTTCTCTAAACGATCAAACTTATTGGACTTCTCGCGTTGACGCGGGTTCGTCGGCGCCCGTGCGCGAATCCTCGTTCGCAATATACGGCTGGCCGACGGGACCGTGAACGGCGTACATGGTCGTCGTTCTCGATTTTTGGCCGTGACGTGCATCGCAGGAAATCCATTTTTGCTGCCTACAAATTCACAAAAATCCGCGCAGGAGTTTTTTGGGGCGCCCACTCTGTCTCGCTGGACGGCCTGACCGGCATTCGTACGTCGGGTCACGAATTCGTTGTTGTCTGCCGCGCAGACATCGACAACGACCCTTTCGCAGGTTCAACTATAGAATTGTTATTACGAGTACTCTTTTCTCTAAACGATCAAACTTACTGGACTTTTCGCGTTGACGCGGGTTCGTCGGCGCCCGTGCGCGAATCCTCGTTCGCAAGATACGGCTGGACGACGGGATCGTGAACGGCGTACAAGGTCGTCGTTCTCGATTTTTGGCCGTGACGTGCATCGCAGGAAATCCATTTTTGCTGCCTACAAATTCACCAAAATCCGCGCAGGAGTTTTTTGGGGCGCCCACTCTGTCTCGCTGGACGGCCTGACCGGCATTCGTACGTCGGGTCACGAATTCGCTGTTGTCTGCCGGCGCAGACATCGACAACGATCCTTTCGCAGGTTCAACTATAGAATCCTTGTTACGAGTACTCTTTTTCTAAACGATCAAACTTACTGGACTTCTCGCGTTGACGCGGGTTCGTCGGCGCCCGTGCGCGAATCCTCGTTCGCAACATAGGCTGAACGGCGGGTCCGTGAACGGCGGACAAGATCGTCGTTCTCGGTTTTTTGCCGTGATGTGCATCGCAGGAAATCCATTTTTGCTGCCTACAAATTCACAAAAATCCGCGCAGGAGTTTTTTGGGGCGCCCACTCTGTCTCGCTGGACGGCCTGACCGGCATTCGTACGTCGGGTCACGAATTCGCTGTTGTCTGCCGGCGCAGACATCGACAACGATCCTTTCGCAGGTTCAACTATAGAATCCTTGTTACGAGTACTCTTTTCTCTAAACGATCAAACTTACTGGACTTCTCGCGTTGACGCGGGTTCGTCGGCGCCCGTGCGCGAATCCTCGTTCGCAAGATACGGCTGGACGACGGGTCCGTGAACGGCGGACAAGGTCGTCGTTCTCGATTTTTGCCGTGACGTGCATCGCAGGAAATCCATTTTTGCTGCCTACAAATTCACAAAAATCCGCGCAGGAGTTTTTTGGGGCGCCCACTCTGTCTCGCTGGACGGCCTGACCGGCATTCGTACGTCGGGTCACGAATTCGCTGTTGTCTGCCGGCGCAGACATCGACAACGATCCTTTCGCAGGTTCAACTATAGAATCGTTATTACGAGTACTCTTTTCTCTAAACGATCAAACTTACTGGACTTTTCGCGTTGACGCGGGTTCGTCGGCGCCCGTGCGCGAATCCTCGTTCGCAAGATACGGCTGGACGACGGGACCGTGAACGGCGTACAAGGTCGTCGTTCTCGATTTTTGGCCGTGACGTGCATCGCAGGAAATCCATTTTTGCTGCCTACAAATTCACAAAAATCCGCGCAGGAGTTTTTTGGGGCGCCCACTCTGTCTCGCTGGACGGCCTGACCGGCATTCGTACGTCGGGTCACGAATTCGCTGTTGTCTGCCGGCGCAGACATCGACAACGATCCTTTCGCAGGTTCAACTATAGAATCATTGTTACGAGTACTCTTTTCTCTAAACGATCAAACTTACTGGACTTTTCGCGTTGACGCGGGTTCGTCGGCGCCCGTGCGCGAATCCTCGTTCGCAAGATACGGCTGGACGACGGGACCGTGAACGGCGGACAAGATCGTCGTTCTCGGTTTTTTGCCGTGACGTGCATCGCAGGAAATCCATTTTTGCTGCCTACAAATTCACAAAAATCCGCGCAGGAGTTTTTTGGGGCGCCCACTCTGTCTCGCTGGACGGCCTGACCGGCATTCGTACGTCGGGTCACGAATTCGCTGTTGTCTGCCGGCGCAGACATCGACAACGACCCTTTCGCAGGTTCAACTATAGAATCGTTA